ATAATCAGCTTCCGCATCATGTCAATCCACACCTGGAGCGGGGTGCGTTTGAGGGAGTTGACAACCACGCCGCCTGGTCTCTTTTGAGCAATCGAAGGAGATAGATAATAGGTCATTGAGATACAGCGGAAAAGCAAGCCACTGGCATCCAGTGGGAGCGAACTTCACCCTTCTGTGACTACCGAACCCCGACCAGAGTAAGATCTGCTGCTGAGTCAAACTTCTTTACAGCGCAAAACTCCCGGCAAAAAGGGCTAAATAGCCAAAGAGGGGACCTAAGAAGTAAAATCAGGGGGTACCTTTATCCGGCCGTCGTACCCCCCGCTGACAAGAATCTTATTGCTCCCGTCGCACTCTACCCCGACCACCGCCCCCTCGTGCGCCGGGCTGAACTGCGCCTTCTTCTCGCTGTACCCCCCCCGGTGAATCCCTGACTGCAGATTAAACCGGTCGATCCGCCCGTTCGCTGTGCCGATCACCGCAAAGTTTCCGCACGCGCTGATGGATGCCGCCTGGGAAAGAAGGAAGGATGAGGGGCTTCAGACTGGAGCTGGAGCGCAGCTGAGAAGGGCGCCGGGCAGAATGCTTTTTCCGGTATTCTGCGGGTGCGTACGAACGCTGCGCAAGACTGGTTGGAGGTGCTGGGGGGGTGAACGCAGTGCAAGAGCAAATCAGCCAAAACAAGAGCGATACTTTCAAGCACCGGCGATCTCAACCCATTGTTGCAATTTTTCTCAAGAATTAACTGACAACCCTACGGATGATTCTCCACAAACGCGTCTACCGCCCTCCAAACAGGTCCTGACGGGCCCGTTTTGGCGTCAAGCGCTTCCATGGAGGAAACGCCATTACAGCTGTTTGTATCAAACGTGCCACCGGAGCCCCGACGTTTCAGTGCGGTTCTCCATCGTGAATTTCAAGTTCGGTTCCCAATCTTGGACGGGGGTACCCCCTGGAAAGGCATTCAAGAGTCGTAACCGGCCCGTGATTCTCACTGAGGCCGTTTCTGAACTTCTGACTAGCCCGGGAACTCTTGCGAAGCTCCCGGCTAATTACCCTCTTTGAATGGACATGCTAGGGGTGTGCAAGTATCGAAGATCAGGAACCGAAGTCGAAACTCAGAAAAGGAGAACCGCAAAACTCGTGTTGGAGCTCCGGCGGCAAGTTTGACGCAAAGAGCTGTAACAGAGAGTCTGCTCCACGAGAACGGGCGCTCCACCAAGACCAATATGTGAACGTCCAACACCACACGTTGCTTCCACGCACGCTTCCAATCAAACCCACGCTCCTCCGCACAACGAAGTTCAAGGATCTACTGTGGGTGAAAGCCGGGCTTTCAAGGTAAACGGGCCTCTTATTATTATGGGCTTCTTATTCCAGGCGGCTTTCAAGGTAAACGTATCGTCTGACATCCAAGGCGCCCAATGTCTTCGAAAGACCATGATCACCTCGCACGATCCCAAAAAGAGAGGGAAGACAGATAATCGAGTGTCCCTTCGATATTGATGCATCTGGTCTTAAGTAAGAGAAAAGCGGGGTAACTAGACGTGTCCTCACCCTGACTGGCGACGGCGTCCCCCCCGGCGCCCGCAGCACGTGCTCCCCGATCACGTAGTTCTGGAGGCGCCACGTGTAAGCCTGCGGGTCGCCCTCGTGGCACGTGACCACGTTGCACCAGTCGCGCGCACGCACCTCCGACACCGCGAAACCCGTCACTCGCGCCAACTTCAGTTCTTCTTCCCGCAGCTTTAATCGTTTCGCGCGCTTGGCCAGGTGGCCTTGGGACAGCTCGCGGCTCTGTTGGTCCTAAAAAGAGGAATACAACAACAATGGTGTGCGTTAGTAGACGAAGGTCTGTACCGGTTGACAGCCGAAGAAGCATCGGAAAAGTGTTGGCTGTCGTCCTTAGAAGTTCGACTCACGGAAAAAGCGACCGGGAAAAGTTTTTCAAAAGGAAAGCAAAGCGGTGCGGGATTCAACAGGTTCTGAATTATTGTGAAAGAACGACCAGCAAAGCACGAAGACGAGCTGCGGAGGGACTCAGGCATCCGGACAGGCTGCGCTCAATGGGGCTCTTGCTCGAGATAGAAAATGGAAGCTGAGAAGGAGACGTTGCAGCGGGTTTCAAGATCGTAGAAAGAAACCCTGCACACTCGATTAACGACGGGACAGAGAACCATGAAATGAAAGCGGATAACCGGACTACGACAAGCGGACCTCAACATTTATGTTTGCCTAGAACGCAAACGTTCGACTTAGCTCGCCCTTCTGCCCGTGACGAAGTACGCTGCACCCGTACCTGGATAGTCGAGAAGAGCCGGAACGCCCGGTCGTTCCCCGCCGACAGAATATGCCTGCCCGAAGCGTAATACTGAATGGCGCACGGGGGCGCGCTGTGCCCCGACCGAAACCTCAGCAATCTCGCCGCCCCGTCCTCCTGGTCAAAGATCCACATCTTGAGCGAGTTGTCCGCCCCCGCTGACATCAGCACGGGCTCGCTCGGGAAGAAGTAGAGCGCAGTCACGGGCCCATCGTGTGCGTCCTTGATGACCGTGCTCAGCTGCTTCTTTTCAAGGTCCCAAACCGTTACCATACCGTTCCCGTTCCCGGCGGCCAGCAGCGGCCGGCCGTCGGTGCGAAAGGAGAGGGCGTTTACGGGGCCGCCGAAGGTGTGGGTTAGCGTCATAACCGTCTCGTTAAACTTGAGGTTATGGACGATAACTCGACCATCGGCGAGGCCGACGCCGACGACGTCGAGTGCAGGTGAGGGAACGGCGCAGCGCACGGGCGATTTCCAGCCGTCGAACTGGAAGACCATCTGACGGCTAGAAATGTTCCAAAGCTGGAGGCGGCCGTCTTCGCTGCCAATGAGGACCTGTAGGGGGAAGAATTTGCGGAAGTGTAAATCAAATGAGCGCTTATCACCGCAAGCTATTTTGAAACAAAGAAGGGAAGGGAGGAGGAGTTCGTTAGACGTTCAAAGTTTCACTGAACAAGGATATTGATCAAATCAGCAACAATCTCTAAAGTATGTGGAGATTGGATAGCGAGAATGAGCACCTGCAGAGGGTGGAGTTATCACACACCGTTTGCAGCACGTCTACGTGAGTCCCTAACCAATACACTCTGGTGGACGCAGGCGCCCGCCCCACCAGGACCAGTTCGGAACGAACTGAATTGCACGCTTCGAAGAACCAGGGGAAAACGCCCAGGGGGAAACACATCTACCAGCACGATTCATATCGTCCTTCATGAAATAATAACCACCAAGGACTAGCACAGATTGCAGGGCGCAGTCCAACACAGACGCGAGGGCAGCTGCATCAAAGAATGAGCTCTACGCCGGGAGCAAAGGCAGATGGTCTGTACCAGATTAGCGCAACCCCCGCAGCACTTCATGCTGCAACATCCGATGGCCCTCGTATTCATTCAAGTGGCATGAATTCAAGATCAAAGGTAGACTGAGCCTAAAGTGTGTGCTTGTGTCTGTTTACCTTGTTCAAGTATGTGTCGGGATGCATGATCGTTGTTGGCTGGAAACCGTCCTCTAGTTCGATTTCGGCCTCCGGCTCCGTCACGTCGGGCCTCCCGAGGGGCCATAAGAGCAGCTTGCGGTCATCGCCTATGCTCAAGAGGTGGCTGCCCAGAACCAGGAGCTGGACGATCTTGCCGGTGTGCCCCTCCCAGGTTGCCACCTGCCAAAGCCACAAACAGTCACTGTCTACGCAAAGATGGGGCATTGTAAAGGAGCAGACAATTACAAGTACAGAATTCAAATTTCTAAAGTCCCAGAGGTGGCCTATCTAAACTGAACCGGTGTTGACACAACTCTCTGCTCGATGATTGTCCTTTGGTACTCCACATTCCAGAATACGGCCCCGCTGCCCAGCCCATGAACGACGTACTTCAGAATGGGTGTCACAGAGCTCGAGAAAACCACCTGCCTGATCGCAGTACAAAAAGTCGAATGCCTTCTGGAAGATGAGAGAGGATTCTGCATCCCGACATATAACAGGATTGACCCGTGGCCGGGTCATTCAGCCAGCAAGAGTACCCAATCGTTGCATCTTGAAATGCCTTCGAAAGATTAAACTGGACGGAGTAAAGCTCAGGCAAAAGCACCACCATCTCATTGTCGAGCAATTCGGTCAAAAACCTGTGTTTGCAATCTTTAAAGGTGCCACTTTCCTTAACAATTGGCTTTGGTCAGAGCTTGTAGGTGCGTGCGCCGAGAGCGCTGCAACCGTTGAAGGGCGGCAGGGAGTGCTTAACATGTGGGCAAAGTGAGAACCTCTAGATGATGGGAGATGTAAGTTCCACGACAAATGGGGTATACGAAAACCCTAGATAAACTGCCCCCAAAACCATAAAACTTAAAAACTCTACAAAGTGTCGCTTGCTTTCAATTTACAAGCGATGGCGGTGGTGGTGGTCGAAGACAGCGAGGAAGGAGCAATCAGCAGAAGCAAGAAGAAGCCCATTGTAAGACAGAATGAGCATGTTCTCTCACTGGATCAAGCTACATACTGAATCCACAAGTGAATGGTGGTAAAGGTGGCCAAACAATGGGCGAGCTATCTGAGCGTTTCAGAGCACCAAAACAATCTTATCTGAACAGAAACCCAAACCAACCCCAGATGGCGCTAGTCACCAGAAAAGCACCACCAATCTACAAGAATGTCCCAGAAAGTTGCTGACTGACACAGTAATCGCACCTGATGTGCCCGATTAAAGACGCCAATTTTGCGCCCATACGCCGCAAAAGTGACGTCCCTGCGAGAGGCGAGCGCCCTGATATTTTTCTCCAAGGGGGGGCCTACGAATGTCAACTGCAGCTTTCCGCACTTGTATATCTGCCAGGCCTTCCCAATGCTGACTGTCACGTAGACATCTTGCCCACGCTTTTGGACGCTGAATGGCGTCGACTCCGTAATGTACCCGAGGGCGCGGTATGGCTGGAAGATCGGCATGGTGGCGCAGCCAAACCGTGATGAATAACTTCTTTCCAAAATTACTCCATGCGGTCTCCACAATTCAAGCAGAGCTCAGCTTGAGCCTTGAGCCTTTCAAGTTTCACTATTGATCAGTAGAACTGGCATTTGCAGCCCGCAGGCTCACCTAGCGCCCCTTCTCGCTTGCCGAGCTGCAGCCGCCACAAGAAAGCGCAGCGCTTTTCTGTCAGTGTGGGCGCTGGCGGCCAACTGAGCAGCTACCTACTAGTACTACTACAGTGCTAGATATCGAGTACCGTATATCCTGACCCCGCTCTAGATAGATACTGGGCTTATCCAAAGGAGCTCCCATAAGCTATTGACTCAGACGCTGATCTACTGGTAGCGGTACCAACCATACGGGGTTCGAGGGGTGCGATGGCTGCGTACCGGGAACCTTATGGGGTCAATTATCAAGCACTTATGCGGGATACGGTATGTGAAACAGTCAGCTGCATTCACCTGGCACTGGCAGGTTCTGCTTCTGCCGTAGGTCGGTTGGCTTCTCTCTGTGTCTCTGCAGCGCTGTATCATCAGTGGTGCATCAGTGTATGGTTGCATTTGTGGCTTTCTTGCTGCCAATTACGTAGGACACCATCGCTGGCACTGGCAGGGGTCTGCCCTTTCTAGCGAACCGGTCTACTAATGTCAGTGAAAGGCAGAAGCTGTTGAAGGCTGAGGGAGCCCAAGAAGTCAAATGCAGTGCGCCGAAATTTTGCTTTTTGGACAATCGTATGTAGAGGAACTCAGGTGGCCAATTTCAGGAAGTTCCAATCTCCTTGCAGAAGGTTGCTCACTTCCTTGGAGGTGCAGGAAAAAACGTGGCAGTGTCCAGTTGAAAGGCAGCTGATTAAGAGTTGCTTAAGACTCCTTATCCAAAATTCACATCAGATCCACTTCTCTTCCTGAGCCCTTCCTTACCCGTCAGCTGCTCATCCTTGATTCACTATCAGAAGACCTTTGTAGTGGCGCCTGTCCCGTGTAATGGAGGCGCAAGTCAGACTGAACGGTTGCGGCATTCCGTCTGTTTCAAGACAGACTCCCAAGGCACAGCATTCACCTTCCTTTAGCTGCCACCAAGCTGTTCCGAGGCTTCCACGATCTCAAAGATGGAGATCTTTCCACAATGCTTCTGCTGTTGAGTTGCACCGCTGCTGGCGCTGCCAAATGAGCACCTCCCAAAAGATCTCATCAAGCTCTTCATTGGGCAACCCATCCGTCTTTAGTCCTTCCAATAACCAGAGGCAGTTGCCCAGAAAAGGTGGCCTGATTCGGGCGCTCGATGCGGCGATGCCGTTTGACTATGAGTCAAAGAAGCAACGAGAGCTGAGGGAGAAGAGCAAGCTGCTGATTGGGGTGGTCGGCTTTGGAAACTTTGGGCAGTTCATAGCGAAGCGCATGATCCAGCACGGCCATACGGTGCTGGGATACAGTAGGGGCGACTACTCCAAGGTTGCTGAGGACATGGGGGCGCGCTACTTTAGGTGAGGGGGTGGTCTGCAATTCTCCTCGTATACCAAAAAGCAATGTGCATCCCCATTATTCACACTAGATTGGGTCCTTCTACTTATCTTGACCTTCTCCCTGTACATGGACAAAGCACAGAATGACCGTCCCATATATGCCCCTCTTTAGCACTGTCTGCTCCTCCAGTCCCAAACCCACATTCAAAAGCCCCTGGAATTTTCTTCCCTTTTCCCCCTAAGAGGCCACTCTAACGCGCTGCTTCTCAATCCCACATTCTCACCCGCCTGGTCTCCAGGGATATTGATGACTTCTGCGAGGAGCACCCTGACGTCGTCATCATCTGCACGAGCATCCTCTCCACCGAGCGCGTGCTGCGTGCCGTCCCCTTCCAACGGCTCCGGCGGAGTACCCTCTTTGTCGACATGCTGTCCGTTAAGGAGTTCCCCAAGGCCCTCTTCCAACAGGTGGTGCACCGGCTGTGCTCCTTATTATTCTCGCTACTCATCCAGATGAAGCGCAACTGAGCAGTTGCACAAACTTCCGTTTTCTGGCCAGGTTTCTTATGAATCAGAGGGAGCTGCCATGACCCCCGGTCCGTGAACATTCTCTCCCTTCGGTATAACTCAGCAGTGGCCTTCGATTGCGTACCCTAGCTCTTGGCGTGTGGTCAAACTGTGAGTAGTTTTCCCCATAATCATCCCCTCCCTTCTAATCTACAGGTGCTCTTGACGCAGACAGCTCTTCTCAAACATAAGCAGCCTCGGCTTTTACTCCTGGTGACATTTGCCCCCTCATTTATATAGCATACAAGAAACTCAGTGGCAGGACCCATAGTTTGCCATAAGGCACCCGGTTCTCTCTGTGCCAACCCCGGCCCTGATCTTAACCACTGAGACACATATCTCTTGCTTCTCTAGCTGCTTCCCAAGGACTTCGACCTACTGTGTACGCACCCCATGTTCGGACCAGAGAGCGGGAAAGGCGCCTGGACGGGGCTCCCATTCGTGTACGACAAGGTCCGCGTCGGCAAAAATCATGCGCGTCAGGACCGCTGCGAGCGCTTCCTCAAGGTCTTCGAGCAAGAGGTACGTTCATGATGTTTGCCTCCTGGTCCCCTTCTTCCCCGTCTTTTCTCTTCGTCTCCTTCAGGCTCCCTGATTCAAGCAAGACAGCCTAGAGCCTTCACGGCACGGTTCAGCACACTGCTTTTTGAGGCTGCACGAAGATGTTTGCGAAAGGTAATACGCTTTTGGATCATCGGCGCTTCCTTGAAGGGCTTGTAGAGCAGGCACGTCTGACGCTTGTGGAAGAGGTTGATTCCCTTGCAATCATTTGCTTGGTCCACGAACTTAATTGATCGAGGTTACTTGTCGCTTGAAAGGACGAGTTCAAAACTGAGCATGCTGATACTTTTTACACTGTTGATCCAATGTAGTGTCCTGACTCTAACCGTCCTGACTCTAACCGGTCAACATTCAGCGGGAGGGATGTGTGATACTGAAATTCCGAAACATCGTTTGGGTTGCAAGTCGAACCTCTCCAAAGTCGCTCTATTGCAATACGGTCTTGCACGCCATCGTTGTCTGCCATTTGTCTGCCGGCATGACGATCAGCCCGTTCGATCACCGGAAGCCTCAGTGAACAAGCAGAAATAATATCCCGTTTCCAGGGGTGCCGCATGGTGGAGATGACATGTGAGGAGCACGACAAGTACGCGGCCAGCAGCCAGTTCATCACGCACACCGTAGGGCGGGTGCTGGGCCAGCTGGCACTGGAGTCGACGCCGATCAACACCAAGGGATACGAGACGCTGCTCTCGCTGGTGAGGCAACAATCTGTGGTGTCAAGACGTCAAGGTCGGGGTTTGAAGCGGTGGATGCCGTGTATATCTCGTTTGGAAGAGCGCAACCGGTTCGGTCCAAGCGCATCATCTCAGGCCGTTGAAAGGCCGCTGTGAGCTTTTGTCAGCGTTGGATGATATGAGAGACTTTAACCGCGACCGGAGTCCATGGCAAGATGGCTTGATACAGAACGTGTCCGGGCGCTGCCAGATAAGGTTAGGACTGGATTGAGCGGGAAGGCGAACACTGAAACGTGTATGCGACAACCGTGATCACTACAAGGGCTTGAGAAATCAATCAAAGCAGGAGAGCAACCGCCATTACGGACTTAAAACCTGCGCTTCTGACACCTCACCTGAGATGCATGCAGGTGGACAACACGTGCAAGGACAGCTTTGACCTGTACTACGGACTGTTCATGTACAACATCAACGCCACGGAAGAAGTGAGCCGCCTTGCCAATCGGTCAAAAGCACATCAAGGATGAGGGCTGCTTTGCTGCTCCTTTGGCAAACGCTGAAGAAGTTTCCCAATGAGGGGACCTCGGAGCTTGTATTGTCCAGATTGCACAGAGGCGACTGTGGTTAGAACAATCTCATTGCCAATCGTGTTTCTCCAATTGAGTTCTGGTCAAAGCTGCAATACTTCGCTAAGTGAGCGCAGTTCTTGGCAATTGCACCAAGCTTTCATAGGATCTCTCTTACGGTGCGCTTAACTAATTCACAAGATTGTCATCAAGGGGATTCCCATCCAAAGGCTCTCCTCTTTCTCTTCAGCTTGAACGGTTGGAACGGTCGTTCGACGCTGTCAAGAAGCAGCTCTTCGACCAGCTTCACGATATCCTGCGGACCCAGCTCTTTCAGAGCACACCGGCCAAGCGGGCGCCTCAAGAGCTCCCCCAAATTGCATCCACGCCGCGACCCCTGCTGTTGCCGGCTACGAGCTCAAACGGAGGTGCTTCTAATGGCGTGTCATCGAACGGAAGTGCCTCAAATGGCGCGGCGGGGCCTCATTTATCGAAAGAGGACGGGGTAGTCAAAGTTTCTGAATAGGAATTGCTTCTAAGAAAAGCAGGGGTCTGATTGCAAGAACCTTCTAGAAGGTGTTGGCGCAGTAGTCTCGTGCCAGTTTTTGAAGAAGGTCGTGTCTGCATCTTGACACACCCTGTCCGTTGCTTTGCGGGTCAAAGCATTCCGACGTCTTCAATGGTTTCCGTGTTGGGCTTATCCACATTGTCTATGCCTCTTGATGTGAAACATCTTGCGTCCAATGGTTGCTTGAAGAATCTGATTTGACACAATGCTGATGGCAGATATTACGATACACCTTTATACACCTTTGATCCTTCGGAGAAAACTCATGTGACACCGCCGATCCATCGGGTCGACTCCCGCCATTTATGAGTGGCGACGTGAAACCGCCCATGATGATCCCGACTTCTGCACTTTAAATGCTAACACTTCGACGATCCAATAAATGCATGCCGTGTACCGCGACCAAGGCCCTAGCTGGATTAACTTTGATATTCCATGAATCAAGCTACTAGCTGTGTAAAAAAGCTGGCACGCATACTATGATCATTGGTAGTACAAATTCAATCAACAGGAGGAGCTACGCCGCTGGGTGATAGAACGGATGCAATTTGCAGTGGCAGCAAAGGTGCGCCCGCATGCTCGCGAGCACTTGCAAATCTCGATTCTTGGATTCTCAGCCACGTGCCTCCGTCTAAAGCTTGCTATTGGTTAGCTTCAGTGGGACCGAATCTCTCGTCTCCTTGTCAGTCCCGCTCTAGTTCAGAAAGCACTGTTACGTACAGGGGGGATCTAGCATTTCAGCCTGAGGAGTCAGCCTTCACTGTCAGGGCCAGGGATCTCAAATTCAATGCCATGAAGGGCGCTGATCAATGCTGCTCAGGGTCGCAGGTAGGGTGAGCAGAAGGCAAGTTGGAACATTCTTGGTGAGGCGTCTTTCCCAGGGTTTTTACGCTGACAACATGGCTACCGCACAGGTGGATGCAAGCAAAGTCAACGGGACACCCAGCATTATGAACACATTGGGCACATCCGATCAGATTGTGAAAGATGCTCTGGAAGGGAAGCACGTCCTTCAGAAGCTTGGCAAGGATGACATTCTCGTTGAAGACGAGGAGCTCCTGTCAAAAGAGTTTATCAACATTCTCAGGGAACTGAATGGGGAGGACATCGCAGAGGTGGTAGGTGACATTGGCCCTCGATGGAGTGTCAGCATGCTGACAACAGCTCACTGAAAGGAATCTGCGTTCCATCAATGGACATGCTGTTGATGAGAGATCCAGTGCAGATGATTATGCCAATGGATGCAAAGGATCCGAGTTTGTTGCCATCCGTAGTTTGTTATTATGAGCACAAAATCCTCAACTTTACAGTCAAGTCAGATGCAAAGTTGATACACGGTCTTCCTGATGCAGGTCAAAGAATGCCACACCCTTGCTGCAAGCTACCAGACTTCAGGCAAAGTGGAAGATCTCAAAAGACTGGAGAAGATCATCAATGAGCTCTCGCCTGGCGAGTCTATTGTGGCGACAAGTGCATTCAGCCACATTTTGCAGGTGCAATTTCATCTCTTGGTATCTATTTGACACGAAACTTCTACCTCGACGACTTGACTGATAATGCTGTGATAGGTCCTTGGTACATGCACTTTCCCGACCAGAGTACTTTGCTGATCGACCTTCTCAACAATCCCATACCCCATGATTGAGCTCCTGAAGCCTGGCAAGTGAGATGCACCATCAACTGGAGGAAGAATGGCTGTACAATTCTTATGTCCTCATTGCTGTTCTACAGCTCTCCAATCTTGCCGAGGAGGTCCAGATCGCACTCCGACAGAGGGCACAGAAGAAGTCAGGTCACTTCTCTGATGAAGCACATGGAATGACAGAGTCGACAATCCAGGTAAGCTGCGCACGCGGCACCAACATATCTTTGCATCAACTGTGTCAGTGGCCGGGGCAAGATTGGTGCGAAACTGCTGTGTAGGCTCAAGCATGCTCTGAGTTTTCAATGCTCTCTGATGAAATTTCAGGGCAGGATTGTAAAGAAAGTCAAGCATTGGCTGAGTGAATGGAGGCACCAGGTGTAGCTACTTGAATGCTGCAATTGACATTCAGAAGCGTTGAGCCGTGCTGCAACGTCTACATTGGAATGTGTACCAAGCTCGCAACATTTCATGCAGGAAACATTCGGGAAGCTGCTGAACTCTGGGAAGACTAAAGAGGATATCCATGCTGCTTTGAAAGCCCAATGCGTGGACCTTGTCTTCACCGCGCATCCCACTCAAGCTGTGAGAAGGTATGTTCATTAGATGGACTCCATATGTCACACGGCTGGCAAGGAATCTTCTGGCCACATGCTTCGACATGTGACATGATGTTTGCACTTATTTCAGGAGTTCTGATCAGCCTCCCGCACCTTGAAAGGCTGGTTCAACAACGGCGTTGTTCTAGTGCAAGCAGAGTTATGCCTGGGAATTCAACTCATGCCTGTCTCCTGCTCTATCCTGCAGATTGCGTTGAGCCACATGCCTGATTGCTACACTGTCCTGCAGATCTCTCTTACAGAAGCACTTCAAGATCCGGAACATACTGTCCGCACTGCATTCGTCTGCTGTCCTCTCAGAGAATGAAAAGAATGAGTTATTGGAGTCTTTGAGGAGCAGCATGCAAGGAGGTACGCCAACTTCTTCCTCTTCTGTCAGGTTTCCTCCTCCTTGCCTGTTACTTCTTTTGAAGATGGTAATATGTTCCTGTATAGCTCGTTGAAAGATTTGTGGAAGACTGCTTCTGAATGCGAAACAAGCGGACAGTGTGCTGCATTTAGTCGAAAGAAGTCTCTGATATATGAAGTACCGTTTACGAGACTTTTGCAAACATTCATGCAAAGTCAGTGCAAGAGGACACTCATGGCTCCCTTGCATCTGCTTCAACCAGCCTGGCGCACAGACGAGATCAGGAGGACACCACCAACCCCCCAGGATGAGATGAGGGCTGGAATGAGCTACTTCCACGAAACAATCTTCCACGGGCTGCCACGCTTCTTGAAGAGGGTCGATACAGCACTCTTTTCGATCGGTATTGAGGAGCGGTTGCCTCTGGACACCCAGATCTTCAAGTTCAGTTCCTGGATGGGTGGAGACAGAGATGGTGAGTTTCGTCACCACGGTTTTCTCAGGTCATAAGACAAGGGTTTGCCGTTCGCAAGAAAGTCTACTTATTGGAGAACGATGGTCCAGTGCCTGTCTGTGAAGCCTATGCGGCTCCTTTATTACGAGATTCTGGACGAGTTCTCTTAGTTTTCCGCGTATTCTGCACAGGGAACCCCCGCGTCACTCCTCCGGTGACCCGCGATGTGTTGCTGCTGTCTCGACTCATGGCAGCCAACCTCTACTTCCACGAAATCGAGTGAGCTGCCGTTTCATGGAGCCAACACTTTCGACCAAAGCTACTTGACATCTTTCCAAACCTGTAGTAGTCTGACGAACCTTAGGAAGACTACAGGTGCTCGCAAGAAAAATCTCCGTTTGATGGAGGTTGCCTCAATGCTGGTGTAGCTGTTATAACTCATTGCAGCACTCAATCATACTCAATCATTTACGCTTGTTAGATGGAGTAGCACATAGTCAATATCACACACCTTCGAAACCATGTCACGTAATTAGCCCCAGGTTCTTCGACCCTTTTTGTATCCTAACAGTTGCATCCGTTTACTCTTGTAATGCCAGGGGCTTGATGTTCGAGCTGAGCATGTGGCGTTGTAGCGACAAGATGAAGCAGGTCGTCAAGGAGGTTGTTGCGAAGCAAAGCGGAAAGGAAAACGTGCAGCGACACTACTCGGGTAAGTCGCCCCTGGAATGCGGTGCGTCTGGGTCACAGGCCAGAGCTAGACTTTTAACTTGGTCAGGACCATTTTCCTGCGGTCCATATATGCATGTGCATCTTAGAATTTAATCGTAAGAAGCGCTTGACTTCTTATTGGTTCACTACCACAACAAGTTACCTTTTTCAAAATTGCTATTACTGTTTGCAGAGTTCTGGAAATTCATTCCCCCGACCGAGCCCTACCGAGTCCTCCTGTCGGAGGTCCGCGATAAGCTGTACTACACACGAGAGCACTTCCAGGCACAGTTGGAAGGGCGGCAGTCATACACGGACGAGGCCGAGCTTGTCTTGCGCACCGATGACGTAAGCAGAAGACAGACTGTGGTGCTTCCTTTCAGGCCGACTGCGAAGTAATTTGCACCGTAGGCTGCATGCTGCGTTGGACAGAGTGCTTCATCATGAAGAGGCCTTCAAAGTACCGACACGAGTTTCATGTGCACCGTGTTATGCTTTGCAGTTGCTGGACACTCTGAAGGTCTGCTACGACTCCCTCTGTGCCACTGGGGACAAGGCCATCGCTGACGGACGTCTTCTAGACGTTATGCGCCAGGTGGGTTTAACTTCCTTGGAGACACGTTCCTGCTCCATGAAAGCGAGGATCTGATGGCCGGTATCCGAAAGCGTGCATGACATTCATCGCTGAACTGGTCGCAACCCATATTGTCCCTTTTCATGAAGGCACAACCACGAGTTAGTACCAATTCAGGATTCTCAAGCAAAAGTGTTGAACTGCATAAGTTGGTCTTTCTCGGACCCCTGATTGCTCTCCCGGCTTGCTTCCGCTTACCCGTCGAGAGACATTTGGCCAATTCTAATTCCAGAGGTTTTTATGAACCCCAGGTCCAGGCATTCGGTATGTCCCTGGTGAAGTTGGACATCCGCCAGGAATCCGAGCGCCACACGGACGCCATCGATGCCATCACGACGTACCTGGGCATCGGTTCGTACAAGTCATGGTCTGAGGAAGACAAGCAGGCCTGGCTGCTCAAGGAGCTGCAGGGGAAGCGGCCCCTGTTTGGGGCGGACCTAGAGACGAGCGACGAAGTGAAGGAGGTGCTCGACACGTTCCGCGTGATTGGCGAGTTTCCAACCGAGTCGTTTGGGGCGTACGTCATCTCCATGGTGAGTTGTGGACCGTGCTCGTTGTGGCAAAGAGTCAAGAGGAAAGGTCGCAAACGAATTCGAAATACGAGGAAAGACGCTGAGGACCAATCATCATCCTTCAAAAGAAACAACGTGTACATAGGTTCTGGACATGAGGGAAGAAGTGCGAAGGACAAATATTCTACTTCGCGAAGGGCTTTCAGGCCCAATTTTGCATTAGCCTATAGGGACGCGTTCGTGTTTGGGTCGGGCTTCAGAATTATCCGAGTATCATCCGTCTATTTCTAGCGAAACCTCCCGGTCCGTTTCTCCACCACCTTGACGCCCTGCCGCGGCGGCCGTGCAGGCGACCTCGCCTTCGGACGTCCTCTCCGTCGAGCTCCTGCAGCGCGAGTGCGGTGTCAAGACGCCGCTGCGCGTGGTGCCCCTCTTCGAGAAGCTGGCCGATCTCCAGGGCGCCCCTGCGGCCGTCGAACGGCTCTTCTCGGTGGACTGGTACCGCAAGCGCATCGACGGGAAGCAGGAGGTCATGATTGGCTACTCGGACTCTGGCAAGGATGCCGGGCGGCTGTCCGCGGCCTGGCAGGTGTACGTTGCACAGGAGGACCTGGCCAAGGTGGCCGCCAAGTATGACGTCAGGCTGACGTTGTTCCACGGCCGAGGCGGGACGGTCGGCAGAGGAGGGGGGCCCACGCATCTTGCCATCCTGTCCCAGCCGCCAGGTAAGCGTGCAGTGGTCGACCCCTTTGAATCGAAGATGCATCCTGCTCCTTCAGTCTGCTGCCTCTACCTCACCAACATTTTCTTCCCAAGCCTGCTCGCTCCACCGGTCAGGTGTCCGGTGTCTATTGAGGATCCCTTCGGTGTTCGACTGTTGCCTCCGGTGTTTCCATCTTTTGTGTGCTTCTCAGACTCACGTCCCCTCCCCCGACTGACGCCTCCCATTGTTTGCCAGGCACCATCAACGGCTCGCTGCGCCTGACCGTTCAGGGCGAGGTCATCGAGCAGTCCTTCGGCGAGAAGAACCTGTGCTTCCGCACCCTCGAGCGTTTCACATCCGCCACGCTGGAGCACAGCCTGCACCCCCCCATCTCGCCCAAGCCCGAGTGGCGTGCGCTGATGAACGAGCTTGCCGCCACGTCCGTTGTTGAGTACCGCGAGGTTGTCTTCAAGACGCCCCGCTTCGTGGAGTACTTCCGCTCGGTAAGGCCGCCGTTCGCTTATTACCTCTTAATGGACTTCAACCCCTGAGCAGTGCACCGTGCTGTCGAGATTTACCTTACAATAAGATTCTCGTCTAATATCTCTTTGCTCTTGCGGCGGCTTGTCACTTTGGGGCTCTCTTTCTGTTCTGACAACCCCTGAGGATATAGACTTTGGTCGTGCCGCTGATGTCGTCGCTGGGTAATCTCTCTGCTGCGGAATGGAAGCTATCATTTGCGAATCGCCATTTAGAGACTGTATGAAGGAAGCTGTCATTTCTGAATGGCCGTCTCGTGACTTTTGAACGCTTGTTGGGCTTCGAAAAACCTCGGCAAGGCACGCCACGGGTGTGATGCAAAGACTGAGGAGATGCAACAAGAGTCTCTGTTGAACTTTGCAATTGATCTAAAGTGTTCTCCTCTTAGGCGACACCCGAGCTGGAGTACGGGCGTATGAACATTGGCAGCCGGCCAGCCAAGCGGAAGCCGTCTGGCGGCATTGAGTCGCTTCGGGCCATTCCCTGGATCTTTGCGTGGACACAGACGCGCTTCCACCTCCCCGTCTGGCTTGGGATCGGTGAGTTGCAATTTGTCCGTCGTCAATTTTGGTGATTAATATTCCAAGAACGATCATATGGACTCACATTGCCGAGCACATGCTTCGAGTTTTGCCTCGCCCTGTTGCAGGGGTACCTCACGAATTGGAGCGTGCGGCCATGAGGTTCACTTCGTATCCGTAAAGGTAGCTTTACTGATATTAGACCTAGAGTCAGAAAGGAATAGAGAATCCCAGTGACCAGATGTGCTGTCACCCGTAAGCATCCGCGCACTTCCAGCACACTTGCTCCGTCGGCAATGAGCTACCTGAGAACGAAACAAGGGTCGAAGTACTGTAACTTTCCTGTCCCCTGTTTCGTTTCCACCATTCCACTGGTATTTCGGTGTGTGAAAGTCCTCTGATGTACAGCAGCTACGATTTCCCGCAAAACGGATCCCGTCTCCCTTCTCTGCTAGGTGGCGCAATCAAGCAGTCCCTGGAGAAGAACCCCGACAACCTGGCGCTGATGCGATCCATGTACAACGAGTGGCCCTTCTTCCAGGTCACCATCGACCTTATCGAGATGGTCTTTGCGAAGGCGGACCCGCGCGTTGCTGAAATGTACGACAGGCTCCTGGTGAGTATTCCCGACTGCACGAACTTTTCCTGTGCGAGATGTCTTCCTCGTTCATGTCGGCGCTTTCAAGCCATATTCTTGGAAAGGAGAAACTTTGAATGAAAGCGATGGAAGAGGAAGCAAATTGCTCTTCAAGAACCCTGACTCTGGCAAGTTGGGCAGCCTCGTCCATTCATTTGTCGTTGGCAACGATGTATTGGCTGCAGATGTTGCGATTATTACAGACGCATGGAAAGCTGAAATCTGCAAGACTTTTATGTCCAGGTGAACTCCGAGCTGCAGCCGTTTGGGGAGGAGCTGCGGAACAAGTTCAGGGAGACAAAGGACTTTCTCCTCAAGGTGAGCTTTTGATCCGCTTTCTGATTACGCCATTCACTTTCAATAAGCTCGTGCGCAATTGCTGGCGAATTCCTGAGCCTCGCCATCTCTTTCCCTTGCTGATCTCTGACAAAGCCCTGTTTTTCTGAACGTCTGCAACTTCGACGTCTGCTGCATAATTTAGACACGAAGAAAAAACCAAAAAGACCCAGACGACTTCGCATGTGGACTGGTCAACATTCCTGCCTAGTCAACCTAAAGTATTCGCGTTACTCACACGAGCCTTGTATAGGTTCAGCAGGACACAAACGATGTTCTGTACGCCAATCGAACGGTTGCTTCATACATACATACATCGCCCATACAGCTAAGCGATGACGGTGCCAGTGTCTGTCTTTTGCGCACGTTGGTCAACTCTCGGATTTGGCATGAATACCTCGCCTAGAGTCCAGTGAGGGGGACATCCTTGAAGCACAAGGTTAAACGAGCCCGCCAACATGACTGGTTGGCATTTTGCGGCTGTTTGCAGATTGCGGGGCACAACTTCGTTCTGCAGCACAACCCGCAGCTGTTCCAGAGGCTGATCATCCGCGATGTGAGTCGCCCGTTGCGCAAGCCTCACCCCAATATCTGCCCGACTGGAGCTCTCTCTTCAAGCTTCGCGGTTCTAATCTGCCCTGCATGCATCTTCTTTGAGAAGCAAACTGAACAGTGCCAGTGGTACGCTCCTCTTGACACCGAAAATCGTCGAGAAGGACCCAGATTTGTCACGGTCTGCTGGCGGCAGTGAGTTCTCGGAATGGGTGGGCGCGAAACCCTTGTCAGAGACGTTGTTCGTCAGGTCCGAAGCCCCACTGACCGTGACAACGTAGAGGGCTTGTTTACGTTCACCAACCTGACGAGTCCGACTTGGAGAGGCCAGATTCTGGAACAATTACTAATGATGTTGCGGCCTTACCTCGGTCAACCTTACCTTTCCACGTCCCTGTTTGGACCTCAAGAGTTTCGATTGTTTAGCACCAGAATCTATTTTTACTCAACCTAACCCAATCTGGTTAACCCGCTCCTTCCAGCCCTGGATCACGTGCCTCAACGTTCAGCAAGCGTACTGTCTCAAGCACATGCGCGACCAGGGCCACCAGATGAGCGTCAAGAGCCCGCTCGCTACTGCCGTCAACCCCATCTTTGGAACGGCAACGGCCCCGCCCAAGAAGTCCGACGAGCTGTTGCAGCTGAATCAGACCACCGAGTTTGCCCCGGGGCTCGAGGGTAGGTTTTCGTCCTTGAGAATGGCCGCAATCTTGTTGACTTCTGCTCTACATTCGGCCGGAGATAACGTCGTAGCGGAGCAGATTGATAGTGCATGATCCTTCAGACGTGTCGGGTGCCAAGCCGATGTTGGATTGGAATCCGAAGCTTAATGCGACAGAGAGCCATTTGGAATGTCTACTGCGTCCATCTTCGGCTGGCCTTTTGAGAGAACAATTGCGTCTCAGGTAGCAGCGGCAGACATATTGCAATACTGCTTTGGGAATCTGAGACACTTTCGAACCAGTTCTGCTCGAGACCATGCGCTTCTTGGTGCATCCTAGTCACGCTGCAGTGGATTTCCAAGTGCTCGCTGCTCCCCAGCCTGCATCATTTTAACCGCTTTCTTCCCTGCAGATTGCCTCATCCTCAGCATGAAGGGCATTGCTGCCGGGTTGCAGAACACGGGTTAGGCAAGAGGGTGTCTCACGGGGAAATGGAGTGGGGCCGGAGAGGAAGGAAGGTCTCCCCGGATGCTCCCTCCCTCAATATACTATTTTACACTTACTGCTTCGGTGGCCTGTATATACATATGGGTTCAATACCAATTTGTTTGTGCACGGTTCGAAATTTAGCGTAGTCCAGCTTGGGAAGACGCTGTGTTAGACATTCGCTGTTGTAAGAAACCATACAAGGTACCTAATCTGCTTGATGTTTGCTAAATGCAGCAAACAGTGTTCAATGCTTATTTTAACATAAACGGTGCAATGGAAAAATGCCAGAAGAAAAGTATTTGCAATCAGTGTGCATGGCTTGTCCAATTTGTGGCTGAGGCCAATCGATGTGTCGCATACACCTTGAAGCATGTGCAAACATTGTTGTCGGGAAGGCCCTATTGGTGCTTGCGTGCATGTGCATGACTTTCACTTTTCGATTTGTTCGGTCTTGACAACAGTGTTCTTTTCAAGCAAAAGGCCGTATACACTAGGGCCCCTGCGACATGCATGCATGCAAATTCGACAAGCATGCGGCCACTCAGATCGATCCTGGTTCTGATGGCCCAAAGGCACATGTGCGCGACCGCATAACATCGCGATCACGCGTATGGACCTGCGCCATGGACCATGCGCGCGCATCGAAGTAAACTTTGCAGTGACTTCGCACTCTACCGTAAACGTTGTAGCAATATCATTGGTGTTAAAAAACCTGCAACAAAGGTCTGATAGCCCGAAATTACCTGCGTGGTAGGAAGCGACCATAGACGTGTGTTAACAAAGGACGACTCCCTGGACTAGCTTGCAGGGAAGTTCTCCTAGTTCCCGACGGACTAGCTCGAAGTTGCGTTTCGATGTGGGCCCCGGTCAAATCGTCATTGCGTGCGTTTCGACTCTCTTGCTACACACCCTCTCCCCCGGCTTCCTCAAATGGTTTCAACAAGCGGACAGGAGTTGGCCCGAACAAGCGCCGCGTCCGAAACATGACGGCATCAGCACTTGCAAAGCGATCGAGGCTCGAGTGCAATGCAGAGACTACATGCCAACTAGCCAGGCCAACTGCACTACCGGTCCTCCATGGACCTCTCCCCCAGATAAGTTCAGCGCAGCCGGTGCGCAGTGTCTTGGTTTCGGACGCCGTGTGTACGGTATGGTCCTTCAGCGTTCCTCCGTCGGAACCTTCGGCGTCCGAAACCCCTCAACCCTCATCAGCTGCCTGGCAGGCCGGCGCCGGGCGCTTTCGCGATACACGCGGCCGCGGCAAGCCATGACCTGCTTTCTTTAGTTACAGACGCCTCGAAGCAGCAACTTGAAGGACTCCAAGTAAAAAGCAGCGGGTGTACTTGACGGATCCCCGGTCCAAAGCGTCCGCACTTGAGAGTATCGGCCCTTATTCCGGAATTCTGCAATTCCGGACGGGTAAAGCAAAAACCTTATTCCGAACCTAACAAGCAGTTTACCGAGCACGCTGGGACTTTCACCTGTTCCGAGTCCGGATGGTATGAACGCAATCCAGGAAACTGTGTGTCAACTTACCGACTGAATCTGTTATGTCCGAAATAAGGTCTTTGCTTTACCCGTCCGGAATGCAAAATTCCGGAATTAGGGCCGATACTCTTGTATTCTTGTAATATTAGGTTGGACACGCGAGGGAAAAGTCTTGGAACCTGCGTCCTTGTTCAGTGTGCCTGGCGAAGGATGATGCAGGACCTTCCGGGCAACGTGCTTCAGGTAATCCTCCACATGCACTACAGAACCCGTATGCCCTGGTCGCCGCCACGTGCTTCTGCAAAACCTCTCGCCGCGCACCCGCGGAAAACCCGGGCGTCTGGAAGTAAGCGTTTTACGGCGCAGGGACTGGGAGAGGCGAAGAGCCGCTCAAAGACCATTGCGCGGAGCAGAGCGCACATTGGAGGCGGAGGTTGAGCACTTGGGGGGCTACCGTTAACATAGGCGAACGCATCTCTGAAAACGACGGAAAGTGAATATCATCTTCTGTGAGGAGCATGAATCTTTCTTTCGGAGGTCGATTCAGGCTGGCGGCGTCACTACTAAAGACACCAAATAGATCACGAGAAGTACGTTGCCCGGAGTTCCAGCTGTTCCTGGGGCCGAAATTACGTCTCGGGCCGGGGGCCGAGGCCCAGTATATCGATCATCATGTGGCAGCCGTTCCATTGAGATATGATAGCATCGGCCGATTGAAAAAAGAAATCCTCGATGAGCTGCGGACGCTCTCTTTAGCGAACATGGCTCGTTTACTTCTAGAGTATTGATCACTGTACTATATTCTGTTTAAGACGTAAACGCACACTTTAGCAACCATAACGCATCTAGGCTACTCACATATTGATCGGCCAGTGCTCCTTGACTGAAACACGACTTTCTACACTAAGAAAAAAGTTAGCCCCGGCCACCCTTCCGTCAACCCTCAAACCTGCCAATGCCGCCTTGCCTGCAAAGCTAAGCTGCAAGTTGTCTATAGCTCCGGCTCTAAGCAAACCAATCCTCGAGAATATGTGTATCCAACGCACTCACTCATAGCACTTCGTAGCAAACAATCTCACAAAGTTTTCAAGACTAGCCTAAGCACAACAAGGCAAGATATATAGATTACGCCTATCAAGGGTGGAACAAAAGCCGCCTGCTGCCAAAATCACCCAGCCCAACCCCAAGCCGCGCGCCTAGGGTCGTAGGATGGCCTCAATCGATTTGTACTCGAGATCGGGGTACAGTTCTGCGGTCGAGAGGTCGCCCTCCCGTTTCGGCTGAGTGTGGTCGCCGGAGATCCAAAACGCGTACCGCAGGCACGCGAAGAAGCTGACCTCCTCATTGGAATCTGCGACAAATGAAGAGGGCTTAATCAAGACAAACTTCCGTTCACCCGCAATCGCAGGCTGTCAAACTAGTATGTGATGGAAACGAGCTTCTTCCAAGCTATGATCTGAACCCTTCAAACTAAGATTTTGCCTTGCTAAAAGACTAGTCACAAGGCAGATGGTTGGAACCGGAGTCAAGCGAAGTCGGAGTCGGAGGGCAGCTGTCGGCAGATCGGAACCCGCAAAAGACAAGACGAGTAGCAGAGGCTCGCCCTCGACACTGTCGTATAAGAATCTGTGTTCGGTCCTGCAGGTCGGGCAGAATAGGCTACTCCTATCACAGATGCACTCACGGATAACGCATTGCAGCCTACTTCGGTCACAGACAAGGAACTCCCTTTCACAAGCCAACGAGTCAGCTTCCCCAAGAGCTGCGTAGAAGTTGACAACTGCCTGGATCCACTCACTCTTGTACTCTTCTACGAGCATCTCCGCAGTTGCGTCCCGCTTCTTGTACGTCTTTCCCCGGAGCTTCTCGCAGAGGGCAATCAGCTCGCTCTGCGTGACTGCGTTTCTGGGCGGCTCCAAGCGCACCGTCTTGTTCGCCGCCCGGGGGTCGAGAGCCGCCTTGATGGTGTACCGCCCGATGTCGCCTTCGTCGACAGCGACGACTGCGAACAAGGGGAAGCGTACAAGAATGTTGCAGACTGACAATTTGATTGCGGAAGGTATTTGTCACCGTCCTGGACATCTTCTCCGTACCAGTTGCGTGGGACTCGGAAGGACAGCCTGATTGTCTAGGCTTGTCACCAGTCAGCGATCGTGAAAACAGCCGATGTTAAAAAATCCGATGCGACCTCTTTCGCTGAGCGGAGCGCCTCCAAAGTGGCTCTCAAAAACTTTCAAGAATGAGGTCCGTATGTTTGACGATCAGCCGCTTCTCCTTGTTGACTCCTTTCCGCACTGTAAGGGATCGGTCATCAGCAACCAAGGAGCGGCCAGATTAGGTGACGAGGCCCATAACCACTGGAACGATACCTCGACGTCTTTCAGCCATCTCCATCATAAGCAAAGAGACGACAGATAAAGGTGACAATAAACGATTTATTTTCACCTCTACATGCTATTGAGACTCTCTCTTTGGAAAGCCACTAGAGAAAGAGAAGGTCTGTTAAACACGCGCGGTCTGTGAAGAGCACCTACAACCACAAGACACGTTTGGCTCGAACAAGCACGAGAAGGGACCTCACTTTTCTTGTCGGTTCCATACACGTCGATTTCGTCATTCTGCATTGGCATCTGCCGGCCCAGAGCCATCTCGGCATAGGCACCAAACAGGTTTGCCCAGATGAACGTATACGGAATCCCCGATTTGTTGGCCGCCTCTGCTGTCGGCTCCTTGAGAGTGAACCGGGGATGAACGTCTCCAAATGCGGCGATGGTCTCCTTGCTGCGGACACCAAAAAAATGCACTTGTTTTAAGTTCCTTGATAGTCCCTGAGCAGCTTGGTCCACGTCATTCCCTTTTCGATTCCCCTTGCAAAAGGGCGATGGTTTTCAAAGTCCCTAGACCAAGTGAAGGAAATGAGAGCCTCAGCACAAGTTTGACAACAAGGATGCGCTCTCTGGAAGAAGAAAGCGCTGAGCGTAGTAAGACTGTCGGAGAGTTCATGCCCTGACCTCAACTTCACGATCACCTACGTGAGTCCTAAAAGGCAATGACTGTGCACTCAAGAAAACCATCCTGTACTAACCACATTGGAAGGCAAGAGCGCGCCGTTGCAATCAAGAAGTTAATCCAGGCATCGCCTGTCGGTGTGAACTTGCCGTTGTCTTTTCGGCGGGAAAGCAGGCTGAAGAGTGTCGTCCTTGAGCTGCTGGTGATCGAGCAGACACATACGCCCAGAAAAAGTCGGAACAGATTCTATGAGCGCTAGGAGGAGTTCAGTGACTTGTAGATTGACCTTCTCAGCTGTAGCACTTGATGCATACATAGTTTCTGAAGGCATGTTGCCTTAGGAAAGTGAAGCATTGAGCCCACTTCTCCAAAGCTGGTGCGCGGTCACCACTGCGATGTTGCTGCGATACTTCGATTCAGACCCCGACCTTACATGCTACTCATTATAGTAAGTGTCACTTTTCAATTGATTGACCGTAGAGACCCACCTGAGGGCGAAAGCAAAGTCGGACGGCAGGAAGCGTGTGATGGTCCCCGCTTCTTTCGCTGCCTCCAGAATCTTGGGCTGGTCGTTATGAGCGGAGAAGCCCACACAGGAGATGACTACAGTTACTCTCTTGAGGGCAGCCACCAGGCTGGCGTGGTCGTTGATGTCTCCCTGCAGGCGGATTCTTAGTTGCCCTTGGATAGGAGAGCAATACTCATTTCAAGAGAAGCACGTGAGCTCACTTGGATTCGAGACTGAAGTATCGCAGCGCTGTATCACAGTAGTTCCAACGATGCAGAGGCTTTGGAAAGGATTGCTGGATGCTGGTGAGTTCTTTTGAGGGGAAAGTGAAGCTGGCTTGCCAAAGAAGCGCTGGCCTGTTGAACATACGATTTTCTTTTTAAAAGTCGAGCTGACTGTGAGCAAGTGTTCGCCCGACAATGAAGTCCTACTGTAGGCTTCAACAGCGTTTGTTTCGGATGTCTTACAAGGCTCATCGGCAGTCAGAGGGGCCACTAACCTCCCCATAGCAGGTCAGACTAAGGCAAGTTCTCCGGAGCTGCTTTCAGTTGTGCCCCTTCTTGACTGACTGTGCATATTTGTGCAGTACCTATTCTGTGCCTTTTCTTGTCACAGCTGACCTCATTCTCATACACATATTCTTCTGTCCTGATGTGAGCTCCGAGAAAACGACCTGCACTCAGGACAGTGTGCAGTGCAAAAGTACACCAATATTCCCCCTCATAATCGCCAACCACAGGAGTTTCAATCCTATAACTTATTTGTTTTCCAGCTCATGCTCGGCAACCACACAAGTTTCGAACCAGCTTTCCCAGCTCACCTCCAGGAACTGAATCCCTGCGCTGCGCAGTTTTTGCAGCACCTCAGCTCTCTCAGGCTTGGCCTGTGTGGCTTTGCTGACAAGGGCATATGCCTTCACGCCAGATTCCGCTGCCGCCGCCAGGGCCACAAACTTCCCAATGTACCCGGTAGATCCCAGTATCAGGACTCCAGTTTCTACCGCCATGGTTGCTGGCAGGGTCGGTTCGCTTCTTAGATCTTCCTCAGTTCAGATGGCGGTTCAATGGCTCAGTCGCATTGAGGAAGGGGCGCAAACTGACCTGCTTTAAATACTTCAAAATCCGCTCGGATCAGTAGGTATCCAGAGGTGGGCTTCATCCAGTGCTGGTTTTATCAGGAGGATATGTCTGACAGGACGTCTACGGGAACTGGTCTGCACCCGATCGGGTGATCATTTGCAGGACTGCATGCAGCCCAGACGTTGACTGCATGCAGAAGTGAAAACCAGTCTAGCGGATCATGCATGCAGCGGGGAGGAGGCATAGAAGAAAGATGAGGATCCCTCTTTCTGTCTTCGGTGCGAATGAAGGCTGGAAGAAGCCTGGAGGCCCAAATTACTGAAAGCACATCGGTACACTGCTTTTGAAGTTCTTCCTGTGAAGTTATACTACCTACAGCAACTTCATTCCAAAGAATCTCAGAAAACGGGCCTACCAACTCTTGTCCTGCAGCGTCAGGTTATGATGGCTACTGCATACTACAGTATTAGCATGCCTGCTCTCATGCAGACGGATTCGCATTGTGGACCATGAGTCTGTATAGATCTTGGGCGCGCGCTGGGCGGCGCCGGCGCCTTCGGCGCGGCCGCTGTGAAGCGGGGGGATCATCCTTTTCGCCACATGGGTTTGCAAGGGTTCTGATCATTCGGGCGGCCTCAGCGCGGCCGCGTGGCATCAAAACAATAGAGTTGCATGCGTTGGATCGAAACCCTAATCAGAGCAACTGTCCCATGGCCCTGGGCGCCCTCTCGGAAAGTTACATAAAGCAATGGCTCTAGAAGATTATGGCTCCTTTAGGCGTGCTGGAGCGCAGCACAACTTCAAGAGCTGCCTTTAAAAACTCGCCATTGGTAGCATGCAACTCCTCAACAGACAGCGTCTTTCTTTGGAAGCGCCATGGGTGGATGCGTTCCAGCCCCCATTGGCATGTGTGCTTAGCTCCGCGGAAGCGCGCCCAATGTGTTTTGGGAGCTGAGAAGGTGGGTTTATCACGTTGTTGCCCAATTGCCCTCTCAAGTGAACCACTTCCGCTCCGAAAAAGAGGTTCTGGTCCTTCTCAGGCATGCAATTGTTGGGACTGACAGGTTTCAATCTCAAGCTGATGGATTTTTACTTTTCCTTTTGATTTCGGTGGAAGCAGCACGGGAGCAGCACATGCTGCATTAGATGCTCGCTGCCCACTGAGCTGCCAGATCATTGTCCCTCTCGACCCTGACAGTTTCCATCTTCTACTCAGCAATTTTTGGTCTAGGCGCATGCACCACCTTTCTTTTGGACACTGGACGTGCCCTTCTGTGTGCAGCAAGCTTCGTCCTTCGCTCGCCCCATTCGCCCCAAGAAGCCCACCGAGATGGATCCTCTCCGTGCGAAAGCTACTCCTGCGGGCAACTCGCAGACCGAGTGAGTTTCCAAGCCTGGTACAACTAACGCCTTTTTGAAGCCATGTCTGTTTGCAAGTAAGAGTTTGTTTACTTGATCTAGATAATGTTGCAGCCTGCATGGCTCAGCCCTCTCAGTGTTGCAATCCAGAAAGCAAGCTGGGAGAGTGAATCTATTCATATACATGATGGCAAGCTTGGATTTACAAATCTGGACATCGGTTATCTTTTGTTGGGCGATGGTCCTCTGAAAGCTAGCGCAATGCTGGTGGCACCACGTATGGATATTCGCTTTCACCAAGCTGATCAAATCAAATTGAAAAATCGTTTTCCAAGCTTGGCTTCATCAGTGATCCTGCACCACTCAGTATAGTGTACTGCACAGAAGGGCACCACAGAAGCAGCGTTGGCATGGCTTAGTCAAGTCAGTGACTCTCACATACCATGTTCTTTGCATCACAGAAGCGCCCCTTCGCAGCTTCCCCTGAAGCCCCTGGTTGTGGTGGGTTCAATCAATGCTGACATCTATGTCGAGGTTGACCGATTGCCGAAGCCAGGGGAGACTTTGGCAGCCGGCAGCGGGTATACTCTGCCTGGGGGGAAAGGAGCAAACCAAGCGGCGTGCGCAGCGAAGCTGGGGTATCCGACTTACTTTGTGGGTCAGGTGAGAACCCCAACAATTTGATTGCTTTAAAGAGTCCGCCGAGCGGGGTTAAGAAGCTATATAAACAAAGGCACCTCAGGCTGCGAATGAATCAGGACTAAACCAGGCACCATCTGGACTGATCCCATGACTGACACAGTCGGGGCTGGTCAGCGTATAGCTCCCTACTAAATGCAGACGTGAGCTTTTGGAACATGTTTTCGCAGCTGTGGATTGGCTCCTCTTGAGACTTCGGGAGAGGCGGAATGCAACGGACCAATACCAATCGCACTGGCACGCTGTGTGGCATGGCAGTAGAATGCATTCGCTTGATGCAGCATGTCAATCAACTCAAGAGTAGGACCAAGGAGAACCTCAACAATGAGTGCAGACAACAAAGACAAGTCTCTCTCCCTGGAGATGAAATTCTCTCTTTCCAGAAGGGCCATTCAAGCTTCCAAGAACCCCCAGAACCAAAAACCTGATTCTCTCAGGTGGGTGAGGACGGCCAAGCGATTATGCTCCGCGACGAGCTCCAGCAGTGCGGCGTGCGGACCGACCACCTGCGGTCAGTTTCCGGGCCCTCCGGCCAGGCCATCGTGATGCTCCAACCGGGCGGCCAAAACTCGATCATCATCGTGGGCGGGGCAAACACAGCGTGGCCGGAGCTTTCCCCCGGGCAGCGGTTGACGAGCGAAGCTAGGAGTTTGATACGCGGAGCGGGCGCGGTGCTGCTGCAGCGGGAGGTGCCAGAGGAGATCAACTTGGAGGCGGCCGCAGTGAGTTGCGATGCTGTCGGATTTAAGAGTCATTGTGAGTTGAAGAACGAAACGGATACTGAACGGAATGTGAAATATGAAAATGAATGCAGGTGGAAGCCGAGCTGAGTGAGACTGGTAAAGGTCGACATGGGTGCAAAACGTTACTTCGGTGCGACTCGAGCATTCAATCGCACTCCCGGATACAAGATCAGCTGCAAGATTTGTCACTTTATTGCGCGAACCTTTCGAGAAACACTCGAGTGTAGGTCGGTTCGCCCAATTCTTCTTATAAGAGGCTCCTGCTGAAAGACCAAGGGTTTCTTTCTACCTTCCCAGCCGGCAGAACACGGGACCGTTGAAAATCTTCTGGACCTTAGAAAGCTGTTTTAAATGTTGCCCAGATCCTCCTTGTCATTTGTAGCAGGCGAGGGACTGAAATGCGTCCCGGAAGACCAGTTCTAAGTTGATGCGTACTGTTGGGGCACTCGAAATGGAACATTCCTACCGGTCGAGGACTGCTCATACAATGAGCTCAAAAGTCACACAGCCAGAACTATTATTTTCCACACGATGGGTCAATCCCCTGGACGCTTTGCACCTAGTCAGCAGAACTAGGTGCGAAGCTTTTCTCAGTGGGCCGTCCTCTGCAGGTGGCCGAGTCCGCGGGCGTGACGGTGGTCCTCGATTGCGGGGGCGCGGACGGCCCCGTGTCCGAAGCGCTTCTCCAAAAGGTGTCCGTCATCAGTCCGAACGAGACGGAGCTCGCGCGCCTCACGGGACGGCCGACGGACACGCCGGATGAGGTCAATGGCGCGGCGGGTCTTCTGAAACGACAACAGGCAAGCGAAGCCGAGCTGAACGGTGGCTTGAATCTGTCGGGTCGAGCTGTGTTTACCAGGGACACCTCATTACTTCTGGGTCGGGTTACCCGTTGGCATTTCACGTGTGTGTTAAAATTCTTCGAGTTGTCGATCCCCTTGGCCTCATTGACAGCCGTTGCTGATAAGACTAAGGCTCGAAAATGGTCGAAGGCGGATTCTAGTATGTCGTGTGCGAATGGAAGTCAAAATGACCATCTCGACCAATCAATACATCCGACCCTTCAATCAGTTGATAAAGATGACAACTGAGGTTGCGATTCTACTTTTGCCCTGTCTGGCGTGTTGCATTTACGTGGTCTCCAGTGTTCAGATTGATTCGAACGCAGCGAAAGCATCTCAACAGGGGTGTCACGCCCAGCATATTTCCAGTTCTTCCGACCTCTTCTTGCTCACCATTTCCGTTCGTAATGTCACCTTTTAACGCATCTTCTTCCTATCTGCAGCACTTATCCGTGCTCGTCAAGCTGGGCGAACAAGGCTCCCTTCTGTTCCCCGCTGTCGGAGAGCCCCTCCGGCAACCGGCCGTTCCCGCTCCGTCAGTTGTCGACACCACGGGGGCCGGAGACACTTTCACGGCGGCGTATGCCGTTGCCACGTTGGAGGGGAGGTCGTCCAAAGACGCCCTCGCGTTTGCGGGTACGTCGGAAGCGCTCCCCCTGTCTTGGTTAGAGAGTTTGGTTTGGAGAATCTCGAGAAGATCAGCGAAATCAGCGCTGAGCCGCTATGGAGCTGCGTGGCCCAAATGTGCCAGCTTTTTATGAGTATGCTTCTGCCGAACCGATTGCTGCGTCCATCCCTGGCAGGAGAGTCGATCTCGTTAGTTCACTATGTTTCACCGTGCTGCGTTTCTCTCAACTTCTTCGAAAGTTTGTAGAGGGGTACACTATTTCAGAGCGAGATAGCACGTGGTAGTGATGCGTCGTTTCCCATCCGATTCTCAATTGTCGCTATCCAAATTGCCACGTTATTAACCGTGCCAGTCTTCCACTGGCGTTTCCGCGTTCTTGCTTGTCAAAGTTGGAGGCTAACACTCTTGTTCATTTTTCTGCCAGCTCTCTGCGCCTCTCTGTGCGTCCGCTCCAAAGGGGCGATGCCCAGCATGCCAGACCGGGCCACCGTCGATAAGGAGCTCAAAGCAACTCAAGCCGTTGCTTGAAAGCCCGGGATGAAGTTGGTGCTGCAAGAAGAATATGAAATAAACTCAGAAGCGCGCCGAATTTACAAAAACTGGGGGCTTAGATTTCGTGCTTACTTTCCTGTACGTGCGCACGCGTGATAAGGCCGTTCAAAGGTGCTTAGCTCTTTTGCAAAAGTTGACTTCCGAAGACAGAAAAGTACCCGCGCAAATTGCAGATTTCGACGTTTCGACTCGGTTCCTGAAGCTTCGAGCCGGTCTTCTCACATACACTTAACGATTCGAACTTCGCAAGGTTGCTCGCTGCTTCACATTCACACATCCTCGCATCAACGTCGCCCACTTGCTTTAGCTCCATTCTGGTCGTCCTTGCTAAGACACAATCCAGTACATCAATGACTGCTGCTGAGCGCAACCAAAACAATCACTAGGACGGATCCCGCGTCCTAATGATTATGCTCGCATGGGCTTCTATGTATTATCCCCTTGTTACGCGCGTAGGGTGGGAAACAGGTGTCTCATATGTTGTACGAGTGACAGCTCTAGCTTGGCATTCGATCTTGTGAATAGTAGATCCCGGCAGAAGGCGATCTGCGATTTGATCCGTTGAAGTTGGACCTGCAAGGATCTAAGCGCAGAATTACATGCATTCGAACACGCCAAATGACCATGTGGTGACATTCTATGGCCGGCCGGCACCAGATCATTGTCGGCAGTCGGGCAGCCGCCAGCCCATATCACGACATCATTGCTCGCGCACAGTATTGTAGGCGGGAGGATCGGATGGCCGCGGCAATCCGACTGACCGCCTTTCTTCAAACGTCTGATGTATGAAAGGTTATGCACAGCGAAGTTGCCAAGATGAATATACGACATGTTGAGTCACTCCGCTTCACAGCTCTTTAGCTCTTTATAGATAGTTTGCAAACCGACCGGCCTTCAAAGATACCTCAAAAGATCCTTAAAAACAACCAGCGCACAAGCTGGCCGCACCCCCAGCACGTAAACTGGAAAGGGGCAAACCCCAGCCGCCGGGCGGCCGCTGCAAAACCACAATGAGGCCCGTCGACTGCGGGCCGCGTGCAGCCTCCGACCGTCGGTCCTCATGTATGATCTGGCGGCCGCGCAGGCTAAGCGCCCGTCAAAAAGTCCCGCGGCCGGGCCGCGCCCGCGGTTCGGATCAGTAGATCCAGAACCCCGAGCCTCAGCTTCTGGTGGTCGAAGCGGCGGCCGCACCTCGCGCTCAGATGAACAAAGGCAAGAGCAGAAACTTGCTCCTAATCAATTTGCAAGATCGCTTAAGACGAGAGCATACTTACTATAGTCTTGTAGTAGCCTGTCCCGCCAAATTCTCCATCGTACCAGCTATTATCTTCCCAGGGAGGGTTGGATGGCGAGGTGTCATGAAGCAAGCGCTTTTGAGGCGCTGTATCCTGAGCTTATAGACCACATTCTTGAGAAAGTTGTAGCCGAAGGTGGATCCGGATGGGAGAATCTCGCACCGGTAAACAAAGCCTTCTTGGACTCTTTTCGCCGCTGCAGCACAATTCTGGTGATCAGGAGAACGGAGAGACACGCAATAAAACCAGAGTTGTTGAGATCGGACCTGCGCCTAGACGCCTTGTCTGAAAGGCAGAAGAAGGCTAGATCCAAAGCTCGTGTTAAAGAAATTGGACTGCGGCCGGCCCTTTCAAAACTAGTCATATTTGAAAGACCAGCTTCAAAGGAGCTTACGTCAGCCTTGTCCCAAATCCACTGGAGCAGCGTGACGACGCATCGTTGTGACGTGTGGCATCTTTTCAAGTATCTCTCTGGGTCCAAGTTCTCCCTGAAGAAGCTGGATCTGAACGTTATAACTGCAGGGGCATACCTTCCCCGCCGTGATGTTCACGACGACATCCAGCGCATTGTGCACGCTTTCCCAGCCTTAGAGAGCCTCAACCTCCACGTCACCGACGAGTGTAGCTACTCAGTCGAAGGGCCCTGGAGACCTGGCACTACTCTCAATAAACTTACGGACTTGGCAATCTCAGGCGTTACTTTCTCACCTTGGTGGGATGCTCTCAGGGCTCTGCCGGCGGGTCTTACTGGCCTATCCAAGCTTGCTTTCCAATGTGACGACAAGTCTAGTTCCATCCTTCCTCCAGAAGTGGACATTTGTTGCTTTGGCTTCACGTGCCTCCAGACACTCTCGCTAGAGGTTCGAACCCTGCATTCGACTGCTGCGGTGCTTGAGAGCGTGACAGAGCATTGTCCGTATTTGCGCGACCTCCAGGTCTGTGCCATTCCCCAAGGTTTCGAGCGCGTCACAGCACCGGCATTCGAGAAGAAGCTTCATCTATCAGCACTCGTCAAGAGCTGTCCAACGCTAGAGCGGCTCGTAATCAGCTGGGGTTAAGTTTTAGCGCCTAGAGACTTCTTAAGCCTTCTCCTCACCCGTAGGTTTGAAACAGATGCTCCTTATATGGTGTACCGGGTTGTTCTCTTGTCGATTATAGCTCTTCTCAGAGAAAGCTCTATGGAAGCAGAGCTCCTGGAGCTGTCTACCTCGTTGAAGATTGTATCGCTTTTCCGCTTCGTCGTACCAGCTGGCTCGCCCTGGTCTTGCCTGCGCCTAGACGATCCGCAGTTCAAGAAGTGGTTGCTGGGAGAGCAATGGGACAAACAACTCTGGTGCCAGACATTTTGCAGGGGGTAACGTCTGAATGGGCGACTTCGATGTTTTTTCTGTATATATGCCAGCTTCAGGCCTTTCCGAAGCAGGCCGTCTGTTCACAACCTTTGCTCAACGAATCAGGATGTTAAAGACTGGGTTTGTCTGGTGGCGGTTTATGCGACGCCGAAGCTTTGACACCTTTTATTGCTAACTTGAAAGCCTTATTACCTACCACCACACCCCGGACGCAAACCGTCTATGAACGCCAGGTGCCTGGCCGTCTTTGCAAGTGCAAGTTATGTCGTTGTATTGTTTCCACATGTCTCCAAGAAATCTTTAAAGTTTTAAGATCCGGTTCCACATGCACGTCGTCTACATGTGGCCGAACAAATTTCTCAATCAACCCATTCCGAGGCTGCAATGCAAAGGAAGATTGCGCGTTCGGGTTCGATGCATTCATGCATCCAGCACTCTGCAGTCGCATACGCTCTCGTCCACAAAGCGACCTGCTAATTGTCGAGCAACCTGCCTTGCTCAGGCAGACATTCAGACCTTGAATAAACCGTTGATATATGCATATTGGGAGCATGAGAGTTGCGACAACTCAATCCAGTTCCGCGTGGCACATATGTAACAGTAGGCGGCCAATGTTAGTCCATGCTGATTTCACCCTGGTCATTACGTGACAAGGTAGAGAGGTGAGCCGAAGGATGTCAAAGGCACCTCGACCTCGACCTCTGAACTTGGTGGGTACTGCGAAAAGATGATCGGGATGAACACCCGACAAACGAACTGCGAATCGCTAAATGGTATCCCATTTTTATTGCAATATACGTTTATACATACGCGAGCCACTTCTGACAGTAAAGGAATGGACTCTTGTGCAGACAACTAAGTTGTATAAGTCAACGACGACACAGCCGGCGTTCAGATTTCCGCTCCTCAGAGGCAAGTCTTCTCAGTGGTTATTGGAAGTTTTCAATCTTGGCATTCCCTCCTTCCGCAACTGCTGTCCTACTTGGCATGCGGGTGGCGCAGCTTTGCGAGCTCCCAGTAGAGGCGTCGTTCCTCGCAGTTGACACTGCGACCCTGAACCCATGCCTTCTTCTGGCAGCCTGCATAAATATCAAAGATCCTAAAAGCGGTCTGCCGATGCCCATGTTACGCTGCGAGAGTGGGCTGACTGCTAAAGCTGGCCGTTCGATGACACGATCGCACGTTCAAGATCTGAATTGTCAAAACTTCGAGGCACATGAGACGCGACGGCAATGGTGGCCCAGGCCGGAATACTTAGATTGAAATAGCGATGCATACTTATTATGCCTATGAGACTCTTGAGAGTTCGCGTGCTTCGAGACGTGATGAGTGAGGTTCAGTAATACAACGAGCCGATGTATAGAATTGCGCCTTTTGGCGGATGACGGATTCCAAAATGTGCCGAGATAAATGCCGTCTGTTACGACGTTGCGGAGCGTACATGGCAGGTGCATTGAAACGCCTAGAGTTGACAAACCAAAACCACGTCTCTCAGTCGAAACATGAAACAGAATGGTTGAGACGACAAACAAACGGATATCCGGTCTTTTTTCGAACATGTACAAGTCACATATGTCTGCAATGTGCACCCGGCTGTCAAGAGTGTAGACGTGTTTGCAAAGGATGTCCTGTCCTGTCCTGTCCTGTCCTGTCCATCGGCCAGTCTTGCATACGCATAAACCTGCCATCGACCAATGGAGCGCTGGGATTCCCATTCCTAACTACGTTGCTGACGTGGTCCACTCATGTCGGGTGCAACTGAAGACCGGCGCGTTGAAGCAGGTAACAGAACAGAAAGCTTCTACCAGAGGCCTCAACTACGAGTCGACCTCGACCTCGCGGTCTTTTCACTGGTCAGAGTCCACACGTAACATGGCGATTCCAACCGCGAGCTTATGATGGCACGATTATGACGATCCAAACGTCGCATTAGCCCGTCTTGACTGTATTTAGAGAAAAGATCGTGGTGACCCTCCTCACAATCTTGATTCGCAGGCTGTTCAATAACCATAATTTGTTTTACGGATTGATCAGTTAATCTTACGGCTTGCTACATTCTTTCCCAAACCTAGGGAGGAGCTTTATTTCCGGCATGGACTTTCCTTCGCAGCCACCGCTTTCTTTGTGGTGTGCGGGCGGCGCAGCTTTGCGCGCTCCCAGTACAGCCGCCGCTCTTCGCAGTTGAGACTGTGGCCCTGTGCCCACGCCTTCTTTTGGCAGACTGCAGTAAAATCTCGAAAAGCTTCGTTTGAAGGTCTTTTTATATTCTACTAACCTTCAAGACGAGTCGTTAGAAAACGACTTGGCGTTTACCTATGGACAAGCACTGAAGGAGACACAAGAAATTCAATTGCCTTCGGATCCATCTCAAATAAGGCCACGGTTGTAATCTAGCTCTGCAATTGGCTTGTATGATCGATCTTACCACAGTCCCTCGTGACCACGAAAACAAATCAACACCGAAACAAATCAACAGCAAGTACTCTCCCGTTCAACTTTCCGGGGCTCCTTTCAGACCAATATTCAAAAGCTTTCAGTGCAGAAGACGATCTGGACTCTGCCCCCCTGACCCTCACCTCTCGAGCAGTACCGGGCCTTCCTGCAGTTGGCGCACTTCTTCAGACTGTCGTACGGCTCACGGCACTGCATGGATCCAACAGTTTGAAGATGAAGTTAGGGGTCAAGTTCGAGGACCCTCCACCCTTCAATCATGTCCAAACATCCAAATCTTTTTCAACTGACCAGCTTCCTTCGAAGCGAGTGGAATTGGTGGGGTCACCTAGCCAGATAACATTACATCTCGAAACCTAATATCCTCGTACCTGTTCCAAGCAACAACCGCAAGGAACAAGCATTTCGTCAAACACAGGGCTAACGAATACCGAGTCAAGGGCGTAAATGCAGATGCGTCTTCAGACCCCTTCAGTCCTTGTAGCCAGGACCTTCGTAAATAGGTCACCCTTTCACCTGCCAGCAGAGACCTTCGAGGAAGGCGCTCTCAGTAGAAACCTTGATTGGCTTCTCCTTCTTGGGTCGGGAGAGAGTCTTCTCGAGAAAGGCGAGGTCTTCTGTGGTGCGCGCGTACGGATAGAACACCTTCATCTTGCCTCCGTCCAGAGTCTGCACCGCCACGCGGCCGCCGTCCACCAAATAGGGCTCGAGCTCGACCAGTCCCTTGGCGTTGCGCAAGCTTCTCACCTGCGCATACGTACTTGCTGAGAGAAGTATAATGAACAAGGTGCTTTAAGAACAGATTGTCCACAATTACCAGAGATGGAAAGCACGATTTTGTTGGCCATGTGTCGAAGAAATGGAGATCAAGGTAAATGTGCAGACGTGCATCAAAGAAACAACTTAGAGCAGTTTGAGATTATTTAAAGCAAAACCTCCAACGACCTTTTGACTGATTCCGGAAGTATGCATCACCAATGACCATCTGTATGCCTACATCGAGTTACATAAAAGGTCGAGGAATGTTTCTCACCCGAAATGGACTGTGTGTCACTTTGTGCTTCGTGTGGAGGCTGTCCCCTTGAGCATCTGGGGCGAACTGATGGCGTGACATCTTGACCATGCTCTGGCAGTCTTCTCCGCAGGCAGTGTGAAAGATTCCATCCTCGAAAGGGACCACAACCAGAGATGTCGCGTCACATCTGAGCACCTCAGCCAATCTTTCAACAACCCGGGGGAGGAGCAGCCGAGGCAACGCGCGCTGATCGGAGAAGATGACTGACAAGGATCCACGATTTTCAGGAGATGTCACACCGGCCACGTCATGCAGAAGGCTTATCTTTCTGCTCGTGCTGCATCCTGTAGCTTTTTCAAACTCTGAAGATCTGCTGAATGATTTGCAGATGAGTTTGGCTGGTGTGATTCGGTCCAGATTTTTCACTGCCAAGTCGAAAGCCCCATCCTCTGTAAGTTTCCACTTTCCCAAGCACGCGGAAGGTATCCAAACATCAAGAAGCTCTTCGCCTCTTTCCATCCCAAGCACCAGCCCCACATAGATCTCCCCTGAGCCACCGCTGAAAGGGCGGAAAAGAAGCGTGTCTGTGAACTCCCCAGAGATTGGATCCCGGTTTCCTTCGTTGTAGCTTAAGATGAAGTTGTGCGTTTGGACCGTTGGGTAAAGATTCTTGGGGAGTCCATTGTTCTGAAAGATGGATTGCTTTCCTCTTGAAAGCTCGTTGGTTTCCTCAAGGTGCGCTAAGATTGATTTTGAGCAGGTTGTGGCATCCATAAACTTCTTCTTTTCGTAGAGATTCTTGATGTTAACGATAAATTCATCTTTCCCTGGCGGTAGGCCTTCAAGCGTGTATCTCACCCGGTTCCTCCCTGCGTCATACTCCACATCTTTAGCACGAACTGACAACAAGGCCTTCTCAAGGATTGTCTGGAATTCTTCCCAGCTAACCAGGATCTTGTTGGCGGGGATCTGCTGATTGGCATTTGTCCCGTCATTCCTGCGCGCAAGCTTCCCCTGTGCTATGGCTGGTATTGACATTTTTGAAAGACTGTCCTAGTATTCAATCTCAATGAGGATTCTTGGCCTCTTTGTCGTCAGCAAAAGCTCAAAGGCTGCCTTCTGCGGTGCGCCAGCATAACAGGGAGATGACAGTTCGAAAACACAGCAAACTGACCCCTACTCATGCGCTCTTCCTCTGGCGCCTGCGCTGCATGAAGGCCGGATAACAAGGCAGGTTTGGCCTCGATCGGGTTTTGTATGAGGTTCTTCAAAAGTTGAATTGAAGTAAAAAAGGTAGAGTCAATGCGGATGGCTGGTGGTCAACTGCACTAGATGAGTGCAACTGCTCCAACGTCAAAGATTGATCAGCATGCGGTCTGTGCAAACTCAGCAGCTGGCGTGGCACGAGCCGCCAGCATGCTCGTGCGCAGGGCCACAAATCGCAGATCGAACCAGACGTGACAGCGCCAGTCTGCAGTGCTTCATCCCACAAGCTGCATATGTCGACAAAACATCGAACTTCCGGCCATTTCCAACAAGCCAAACGCTTGTGTTGTACTTAAATCGCAGAGGCTCCCTGTCGCAACGGTTGTTGAGGAACGACCTGCCATCACATGCTTTGCGATTGTCACGGTTCACGCACGGGACTCGCGCAGGGGCTCCTGCCACTGCGCAACTCTCAACCGTGTCCCCAAGATTAGTACTGCAAAGCCTCCTTATTGTAAAACTTTGAGTCATTGGTGAAGCGAGCAGAATTTACGAGTCCATGAGCCGGCCAACCGAGCGGTGGTACTGAGTACATCTTACTAGATGCAGTCAAGCATTCATTTCATGGCCGGATGCGTCGAGCTGCAGTCAACTCGGCATCACTTTAGAATACGACGAGAGGCAGCCTGCATGCTGCAATTGCAGCAGACTTAAGCCATGCCGCCTGCACTCAGTTTGAGACGTGGTTGAGATGAACTTGATTTGTATATGCGCATGCATCCCACCACCACAACCTGCTGCTTCTCATTCATTAGTGCAGCGCACGGGTCATGCCGACCCTGAACGCTGCGCGATCTGCAACGTCCGGCCACAACTCTCTAGAGGCAGTCACTCTTCGTAGAGCGCCTTGGACGGCGGTTCTTGCTACGTATTGATTTGTTTCCGGCCGCTTTCTGAGTCCTGTTGCGTACCGATGCGCAGAAGGCACTTGCCATGGAAAGCTGCGCAAGGATACAAGTGGAATATGCTGGTGCGCAGACGGGTTTCTCAAGCGTATGCATAGCTTGCACAACAATTAGACAGTGTCACGGAGAGGGAGTTCCATGTACTTGCATGGTTGGAAGGCCGTTCTTGAAACCGCAAAATTCGGCTCGGTTGATTACAACCATCAATAATTTCAACGGAACCTTAGTCGGGTTCATTGAACGGCGTCCTCAGGCCGCTGCAGTGCGTGCGCGCGGTAATTTATCCAACTGTCCAGCTATGAGTACCTATTCAACACCGTGACTGCCTGCACCCTGTCCCCAGTTTACAATGTTTTCAGGTCACCCAAGGTTCCTTATCCAGTATACAACCTTTGGTCCGTTTGCGAGCTGGGCGGCTTGCACATGCTTGCAAATCGTCATGTGCTTCTTCGTCTACGCGTTCGATTATCACGCCCATAAGGACCTTCTAGCCAACGCATGCGCGACTGCGATGTATTGCCTGGTCAGAATGCTCTTGACATGTCGTGGACATGGTAAGGAGCCGTGTCCAAATGCGAAGCCTTATCCAACCCGACCCTAGTCTATTAAGCAGAAATTGACCCCACACGTCTCCGTTTGCAGAAGCTCTTACGTCGCAGCGTCGAAGTAATGCAACACGACGTAACTGATGAACAGCGCGAGCCACCCCCCCAACACAACGCGAACGGCCGCCCGCCCCCAGGGCGCACCCCCGAGCTGGGCCGACAAGATCCCAAACGCACCCAGCGCCCCCGTACAAGTGGCAGTCAGGACCGCCAGCCGGGTGACGTAATCGCGGATGAAAGCGGCGGACAGGATCGCTATGAGCGCGCCGACGGAGAAGGAAAGCGCCGAACTGATGGCGGCCAGCCAGGGGCTGGTTAGGTCGTCCATGTCAATACCGATTTCGACCCTGGCGTACGACTTGACCGGGTCTTGCTTGTATAGATGTTCCGCGACCTGGGAAAGGAGGAGGAGGCGACACTGAGGATCTTTCTGGAGGCACGACCAGCAATTGAGAAGGCTCGTGAGGGTTAATCTAGATAGGCTGAGGTAACAGGGCGCGTTTCGCAGAACTTAACGAGTCATGGTGTACAGGTGCTCTGCGACGTGGACGCGGGGAGAGACCGAGAGAGCCAGGCAGGTTGGAAGCGAGAGTGGGGTTTTAGATAGCAAGTGAGACGCTCGAACTCGTTCTTCTTTGATGAATCTGATTGGTGGGAATATGGAAGCAGCACTGGGCGGAACGCAGAAACAACGGTGGTGTAAGGAGAAACGCCGAGCACGACAACGATGAACAAGGCCGGAGTCCGGCTGCAGCTCTCAACAGGAGCCGTCCGGTTCGCCTAAACCTCTGTCGAGGCCTGCTCGTTGCCACAATCTCCTTACGCAGATTGGAGCGTTTCAAGAGCAGGCCTGCTTCTTGGAAAGCGTTCGGGTGAAAATTGCTCCTCCAAAAAGCGGCCCTGTCGAGTGCGAAATCTTCGCTTCAGAGACTTCGTCTCCACCACCTGAAAACCTGTAAGCCCTGAACTCTGCACCTCCTCACCTGGATACAAGACTCTGACGCGAGCCTCGCTTCTCCACAAATTGACGTGAGCATCTTCATAGCCCGCAAACAACGTTGCCAGACGTTACAAAAGCAACCTCCCCATGTTTACCTCAACTTCTCTCTACTCCGAACTCGCAAGCAACAATCCGCAACTGACCAAAACGTCGGATTGTGTGCTCACCTGAAGAGCAAGGACGCGCACAGCAAAAGCATGAGTAGTCTGATTGCTCGATTCGGCAGCCACGAAAAAGCATAAGCCCGCTCTCCAGTTTCGTACAGCTTATCAGGCCTAAACACTCCGAGTTCCAGATCCTAAATAAAATATGGTCGAACACAGAGGTGAACACCCAGATCATCAGCTCACCTGCTTTGCGAGGTTCGGGGGCAGGCCCTGTTCCTCGAAATTTTCCATCAGTTCCCGCAGCTGCGCGGCCTCCGCCGCAGGCCCTTGCGCGCGCCCGTCTGCCGTTCGCTGAATGTCGGCTTCTTCTGCATCTCGCTGGGAGGAAACAGAGACGTACTCCCCCGCCGCCATGCCTGCGCGCATCGTAGATAACCTGGTCAACAGTTGCTCAACACAATGAAACCGTCGAAGTCAAGAATCGCGAACCACTTCGGACCTAGGCTCCGTTGACCTTTCCCTAATTTGTCCTTCCAGGAGCTTGAGGCAGGTTTGTGGAGGTAAGCTTCCACGAAAAAAGGCCACCATGTTTATCACCATCTTTGGTTTTCTATTGCCATGGCCCCTGCAAGCAAAGGGGTTAATCACAAAGTCGATAAAATGGTTGAACCATTCGAGCAATCAGCGTCAAGTCAGTTCGTTACCAGCCGACATTGAAAACGAACTCCAAAATCCTCAACCCAACCCTTTGAAAGCTTACAAGTACTTGAATTGCTCACGTTTCTTCAAGCCTCACGTCTCCTGAATGCTAAGGCTACATGTACAAAGAGGCAGAATTTGGAATATGACTGGCTTAGGTCTGGGAAGACCTTCGAGTCATCCGCAAAGACCTTGATTCTGTCCTCCATCTCAGAATAGAGTAGGAAAAGGAGAGGAATAACCAAACCCACATCAAATGAGGACGGCGTAGGGGCGACCAGTCCCCAGATGTCATATTGGTAACATGAAGCATGGGTTTCTGGTGGATTGTTGCCAAAAATTGGTAATGTCGTATTTGCCCCAACAGATTGGCCCTGCTTCGAGGTGACATTGAGGACATTGCGCAGAGGCCCTCTTTGAAAAAGGACAAAAGAAAAACCCTTTTAGCAATAAAGCTGGACACATATTTCACACTAGGTATTATCCCCAGCATTCTTTCACTGCTGCTCCCCCCAACTTCGAACTAGGAGATAAGCAGCAATTCATAACTCACTGAGTGCTCCTGAGACTAGTCCCGCAACTCCGCTGATGATCATCTTCCTTGGGTCTGCATCAGTAGCACTCACACCCATCTGCAAATAAAATGAAACTGGTCTTAGTGGACATCAGAAAGACGTGACGCACTTGAATAGGCGCCAGAAATGGAAGGGTCTGAAGAGCACTCAACCTCTTCAGGCTAATTCACACCCATGGGCAATCAGGCGGTCAGCCTGAAGTATGTTGGCACTTTGTGTCGATAGCCATATAGATACCGAGTCTGATGCAAGGTTCATAAAAGGTTCCTCTCCTTTAAATGCTAGATCACATGACTGTGCTGCTGTCACCTTTTTGCAGAATGAGAATGAGGCGCCGTTATGCAGAGGCCACAGATAAAAGCTCCCAACATCTTCCCGAATTGGAGCATCTGATGCATTGAAGTGAGTACTTGCCAGTGGCGTCAGAAAGAAGAGTGACACAAGACTCAGCGAAATCTATTAAACCCTATTATCAATCTCTGAGATCCAAGTAAAAATGCTCGAAACCATGGTAGCTGAATGTGGGTATTGGAACTTTCTGCTGACCATTTCTCTCACTCATTACATTATTGAAATGTTCAAGTGCCTTGATGTGGCCAGATTCCAACTCTGTTGACTGAAATAATGGCCCAGTTTCCAGCTGAGCGATGTGCATGCATGCAGACGTGACCACCACATGCTCATTAGATCCCTTTCAAACATTCACCGCTTGTTTTTGTACAACACGGCCCTCAGCATTTGACCTTCTCACAGCATAGTCCACGTTGTAAATGAATGGCCTTTTGTCAAACCTACCATGATGCCTGCCGTGCTGATAAGGCCGTCATTCGCCCCCAGGACCGCTGCCCTCAACCACTGACTCCTCTGCGAGTAATGCTCCTGATCGACCAAAGGTTGCTCCAGCTGAGACTCTTCGTCATGAGAGGGGAGGCTGCCTCCAGGGGGTTGGCTCTGCTTGCGCTTCAGAGCTGGCAGGGACCCCTGCTTGCTCAAACTCCTTTGCTTGCTCAAGGAGCGGTCCAGACGCCGGCCTGTCGGCTGCGACATGGCTCCTGATTGTAGCGTGGATACAATGCAGCCCCACCTGCAGTGCGAGGCAGCAAAAAATCGCGCTGAAACCTAGGACTCGGAGTAGGGGGGCACCTTTCTCCTTCTAGCGTGATGGGGCAGCCAGGAGCTCAGTTCAATTTTCCAAGTCCAGCTTGCGGCCATGGTCACCTGGAGCTTGGAGACACCTGCGTGTGACAAGTGTCGTTCTCAAGACTGCTTTCGAGTGCCCTCCAGGCCAATCAGACGTGAGTCGAGTTTGACTGCGAAAACCGCGAACTGATGAGCAAAAGCACTCCTTTTCAAAATGTACCCATCCCTTGCCTGCCGTCACAGACGGTCCTCGGATTGGTCGTTCACAACTTACAAGCCTGGAGACTGGACTCGTGAGTGAGTCGTGACTCTGAGACTGGAGTCTGGACTCTGGTCGCCAAACCGAATTCGCAATAGGTACCGGTACAATTCCGAGTCATCACATCATGATTTGCTTGAAAAGATGGGTACAATTTTATTTCTGTAAGATATTGGCGCGCGATTGAACGGCGACGAGCCACCCCAGCCTCGCTTTCTGACAGCAGTCTGACAGCACTTTTAATGCGGAAGTTGCTCACTCACGTGCGTTCCGAGAATTTCATCATACTCATGAAAGCCCACACAAATTGGCCCCATAGGTAATAAGATATTTACCCTGAAAATGGTTCCCGGTTGGTTCACCCGGGAATGGATACAGCATTCTGAGGCGCAAAACAAGCGGCCCGTATTTTCAAGAGTTTCTCCGGGCAAGCTCTTTGTCCACGAGCGCACCGAGATATCACAATCAGATACGATTTGTCTCTGACACATGTTCAGAAGGCGGGTGACATGTTGCCACCTCCGGGTATTGATGTGCAAACCAGGTACCGAGCAGCCGGCCGGGGAACCCACTCGCCCAAGTTCTATAGGATACTGGTCATGCAATCTATTTTCTCAGCATACCGGTACCGTCCTTCACCCGGTGCTTTGGCTTTGAACCGCAAGGATTGAAGTTCGTATTGAACGGTATCACAAGTACCCGGTCGGGAGTGACCCGGGGGCGGGCTGAGCCGGGTCAGCCGGCCCGTTAAGTCGAATCTCCGTTTTTCCCGGAGCCTGTACACGTGGTTCACGATCATTCTTGCATTGTGTCGGTTTCCTCCCCCATGTTGGGGGTGAGCTCAGAACACTTTCTTCGGGGCTACACAATGATCGCGAGATGTACAAAGGGCGACACAATCGGAAGGTCAAGATGATACTGAGAGGAAAATGCGTCGTCGTTTTAGAGCTCAGGGGTTGGAACCGGGGGAAGTTGGCATCTGCAAATCTAGCAGATTCGACGCCAGACATTACGTCAGCAGCTTCCCCGCCATTCAAGATCTGCCACGGTCGACTTGCGATATGGAGCACTCTCAGGCCGGAGGTGTACACTGCACGCAGTGTGCTGGCACTGGGCAATGAAGGACAAGTTCTAAGGGCGATTTATCAATCGCGAAAAATGGCAATGCAGTCGCGAATGCCTGATTGTTGGTATTTGTTCGATCTAGTTCATGGCTTGTACGCGCGTCTTATGGCTACAGTCTGAGGCTACAGATGTACTACCCATCCGGCCCGATCCGACTCGCGCGCGCAAAATCACCGATCGTACGCGGCGGTCGAGCGGCTGCCCGTGGTGGCTCAACCGGGCACTATTTTGATGCGCGGAAGCTGTACTGTTAGTGGCCGGGGCCGGCGAGAGTTTGAACAACTTTGAGAACCTGAATCTCAACTCGGATTCGTCCAAACTTTGAAATTGTGACACTATCGAGTCATATATGAACTCTCCGCAACAACTCTCGCTGATTTCGGCAACGGTCTGTGGAGGCGGAAACGGGAGAGGACGTACAGGTGTAATACAAGGCAATGCCACGCCTGACGGCGTTTGATGGCATTGCCAAAAAGGCATGACTCATGAGTCATGAGCCCACATGACGTAGGACTGGAAATGGAAGGCTCGTCTTTTGGCAGAAAGCAGTGGGTATCGCGTCAGCATTGCAAGCAAGATTGGGAAGAAGCTTTGTATCTCGGTTCGGGGGACCCCACAAGTGGCAGCAAGGCCGGTCGAGCTAGGGCCGATCCTAGGACTTTCTCCAATTAGGTTGAGGCCAGCTTAGAGTAGGTAGCACATAATGGAGGACCCGTGTTCCTTCGACCTGCTCCCAGATGCGGTTGTGCTGGACATTCTGAGCCGCTTTGCGCGCGCCTCTCTGCAAGATCAGGGGGCCAAGGCGCACATCCTCAAATGGGACGCCTGTGAACAGCTCATCCGGTTGCAGCTGGTTTGCCGACGGTGGCAGGGCCTCCTCTTTCTCCTTCCTGAGCTTGGATGGAGGCTCAAAGGCCCTGCAGACGAGCGGGGCCTTGTAAAGTTCCTGGCGCGCTCGCCAGGCTTCCTGCGCAGGCTGCGCCTGTCGCTGAGCACCCGGTACAAGGCCTCCCCCGAGTTGCAGGCCCGGTTGGCTGGTGTGTGCGGCAGCTTGAGAGAACTAGAGATGGTTCAATTGAGGGATCCAGAGGCGGGCCCGGAACAATGCCTGCTGGAGCCGCACTTTGACTATGTGGCGTTGCTCAATTCGCTGTCACCGGGGGGCGCTTTGCAAACCATCAGCTTCACTAGCCACGTCAGCCTCGCTTCAAGGCAGACGCTCCTGCCGCTCCCTTCCATTCTACACCTGAACTTAACCTCAGCATTCATCTCCGACAATACACTGCAAACCATCACAGACTGCTGTCCAAACCTGCGGACGCTGCACCTGGATTATGTCCGGGGGCTGCAGGACACTCTGATTCAGAGCCCCCCCCTGCAGAGCCTTAAGATTAGCACCGGGCCGTTCCCTGAGAGCCTGAGCATCGACGCAACGAGCCTCACATCTATGGACTTGTCAGTTGGAGAGATGCTGTCAATCGCAGCACCGAACCTGCGGACGCTGACTATCGGATCGGGGCTGCCGGAACTGGAGGTGCGGCAGCAGTGGAATGTGTCGACGTTGCAATTGAGAGGGTACTACTGGATTTGGGACTACATTGAGACGCTGCTCAGGGTGTGCCCGAATCTAACGAGCTTAGACATCGACGTGAAGAATCAATTAAGCCCGGGGGTAAGTGTGCCAATCCGGACGTTTCTTTGGGAGCTATGTCCAAACGTAAGGGAGGTGAAGCTGGCCCTGGGCGTCCTGGAGATCTTGGAGTGTAGCGAGGACGATGTGGCGGGGGTTTCGGGCGAGCGGTTGCCGATGCGGACGGGTTTGTTTGAGGTAGACGGTGTGACAACAACTACGCTGAGGCAGATTGAGTTTTTCCTAAGGAGTGCGTCGTTTGAGGCGCTGCAATTGGTAGTGTTAGGGTCGAGCAGACCGGCATTGAACAAGGCTTCAGGCGCGCTTGCGGCGCTTCTAGAGTTGGAAGAGAGTTGGGCAGTTTTGGAAGTAACATTTGTGCCTGCTTGCCCTGGCTGGACACAATGGAGGTAAGAACGAACTGACCCAAAGACTTTTGTAGATATACGGTAGCCTGAATAAATCCTGGCTTCACATTAGGTGCATTACATAAGTTTCGGGCATGATCAAAGGCCACACTACTTCCATTTGATAAATGAAGTCAACAATCATTCAGGGCAAGAAGCAAGAAGTGACATAACATCAGTATCGCACGAAGCTCAGAGTCATGGAGCGTCATCCTTGCATTGAGTTGGCCTGACGACCGTATGAAAACAGCGTTACAGTGACGGCTGCGGCCCCCCTTAAAAAGTTCGAGGTCACACTCAAACTGGCTGCTAATCATGGCCGTTTTTCGGGCCCATAGGCCTGAACAAATGCGATTATGCATGCAGGATCTTTTTGACGATGTTGAACACAAGTCGTGTTGTTTGACTAATCCCAACTACTATAAGAAGCAGCCACAATCAATGACAGGGCATTTCTGATACAACTCGCCGATTTGTCACGCGTGGCATGACGGCCACTGTAGCTGATTGGCGAAGGGCCCGACGGCTGCGCTGCCTAGGCATATCAGGCACATGGTCCGATCTCATGCAGATAGCGCTGTAGATCTCGATATATTTGCTTTTACACATGTACTTGACAGCTACATGCACATACTTCACATCCGCTCATTTGTAAGACAGATTGCCAAATGTTTGAGCTTTCTAGCACTACCAGCCACCCAGATTTGATGGTCACGATCAACTCGAATGCTCTGTCAGCATCACGCTACGACCACCTTGATTCAGTGCATATATAGTCTGGCTAGATTAGCCGTCGCACCACGCACAGTAGCGTATGGCTTGCAAGCCACGATGGGTGAAAGGAGGCGGGTATAGCAAAGTGCAAGCAGGAAGAAGCAAGCGATAATTGGGGCTTGATCTGGCTTATTGTCTATCGCCACCGGCAACATACTTGCACATTCCAGGTTGACTCGGTATGAAAACTTCTTTACCTGCAATGCCTTAACTATATCGTAGGTGACCCTGTTCCATTTTCATGCTGTTAGATCGTCCGCGGACGCTCTATGATCGTAGAACTATCTATGCTTTCTATTGCCTGAAACCGACTGCAATGCAGCTGCCGAGCCTTCCTGACCTTAAATCCCTGATCAACACGTACGTCCCTCCTGACAAAATCGTTCGAACTTCTCGAATACTGCTCGAAAAGACCTCTAGAAGTTGTCAAACGAATCGATCATTGCATCGGCCAGGTATCCGGCTCTGGCCTTGTTTAGACCCGCCAAGCTGATCCTGCCGTCCTTGGTCATGTACACGTGCCACTTCTTGGTCATGTTTTCTACCTGCAAAAAGTCAGAAACAGCGTTCAGAGACTTCTCATACGAACGGCTTCCGTTGGTAGTAAACAGCATGTTCTTCCAGGAAGTACTCGGAATGCGAGTGGTAGGCGTCCAATTCGTCGGCATATGAATCCGACGAACGACTCCTTCAGAACCTTACAGACTGCCAAACGCTTTCAGAACGCCTTGATGACACGTAAGAAGCAACAACAAAAACAAAATATTCTGATGTTGTGCTGAGCACCGCAAAGAAAGGCTCGAGGACCGCCGCTCAAGTTTCAATAGGCAAGGGCTTCAATGCTACCGCTTAAAATTTCCCGCTTCAATCGCCACCTACGTCTGTTTCTGAGACCTGGGCAAACCGAATGGAAGATACAGATACCCAGATGAAGCAGAATCCTAAAAGCGGTCAATTGCACAGTCAACAACCTAGTAAGCAAGCACAAGCCGCACCTGCGCGGGCTTGAGGCCGGTGAAGGAGAACATGCCGATCTGGCTGGTGATGAAGGACCAGTCCCGGCCCTTGGTGTCGCGCTTCTTGAGCTCCTCCACGAGCGTGGCGCGCACCGCCTGGATGCGCCCCGCCATGCCCGCCATCTCCTGCTTCCACTCGTCGAAGATGTCGTTGTTGCCAACCACGTACGCGACGATGCGCGCGCCGTGGACGGGCGGGTTGGAGTAGAGCGCGCGCGCCAGCCGCTTCAGCTGGCTCTTCACCCTGGTAATGAAGGAGGACGGTACAGTGAGAGTTCTTCAGAAGAAGGTAATCAAAGGCGATGGTTTTCGCCTTGATGTAAGGAGGGCAGGTGACAGGTTCTAAGAATGTGGAAGTGAATGACGGCGTCAAGAGGGGAAGAAAGGAGATAAACCCGGAATTGAGCCAAAAGGGGACAAGGCGATTTGAAGAGCAGCGTGAGCTGACGCGATTCGATCGCCGGTGCCGGCTTAGGTCGCAGCCGCCAAGCGCATCACCAGCTCTGTCCAGAACACTAGTCGATCCGAAGCTCAATTTCGTCAGTTGGTTCTGTGAACGACACGGAGAATGCTGGGAAAACTGAAGGGGGTCGAGACAGTGAAAGGGCCACAATAAACAGAACTTGACTACATTCAAAAATAGTGCGCAAGAGTCGAACGTCGGACATGACAACAATTACGGGGCACTTCTCGCCTGCAAATCTGACCCCTGAAATCGATGTTCAGTCCGCACTCGAGAATAGTACCAAAAACTTGGGTACGACTTCTCCTGAGACACCGCGGACAACCATAAAGGTGACATCGATGACATCACCAAAGACGAAAGGGGGCGCTTACTTGGTGGCCAGGTCGGCGGTTGGCAGCACGGCGTTGAGCGCCCCTATCCGCTCCGCGTACAGGCCGAGGTTCTTGCTGTACGACTGCGCGACCAGCAGCTCAAAGCCGCGCTCGACGAACAACCGCACGGACGCAGCGTCCTCGTCCAGGCTGCCGCTGGCGAAGCCCTGCAGGAAAAAGGAGAGCGGTCAGCGCTCCCAATTGAGCCAGACTTCCGGTGTGTGTGCGTGCACGTTGGGGGCTTTGAGCACTGAATGACGCTTAAGTTAGTGATTTTGGTGATTGATGTGTGGTCAGCTTAGGATGAAACGGGTAGTGATGGAACATCTGGAACGACCACATTGAGAGGGGCACGGGACGGCCCTGGTTGTGGAGTGAGACAGCATAAAGCATAAGCGACCGTACACAAACCGCATCGAGATGATCTGAAACCGCGAAACGATTTCAGGCGAGGGGCTCTTGGTATCCCAAGTTCTTCACTAAAGAGTTGCAAGCTGTCTGTCCGCAGGCGCAACATTCTACCGTAACAAACGCTGCTGCAAGGTGATTCTGGTGGTACACTTCGGACGGTTCCTTCAAGTTTCCGCCATCCGACCAGTCTCTCACCTGGTAGGCAACGTCGAAGAAGGGCAGGTGGTTCTTCTTCTCGATGAGGTCGGCGATCTTGGACCACTGCTCGGGAGTGGGGTCGATGCCGGTAGGGTTGTGGGCGCAGCCGTGGAGCACGATCACAGAGCCATTGGGGGCAGCCTGCGTACAAAGGGAAACGCGAATGATGCAAGTCTGCAAAGATAGTGTGCTTACGTACCACTTGACTGCTGATGCAAGTCCATAACAGTCCACGCGACACCGGTCCTCTTCGACGCCGGGAAATGGACCTGCTTCCAGAATGGCTACTTCTTTTGGAAAGAAATGCTATCTAACATGCCATTGGGGTCTCAACATTTCGTCGCGTTCAAAAGTGGTCGGTTACAGGGCGTATCAGCCCTCAGCTCTCGCTGTGAAAAAACGCTCACACTTCGATTAAGCTCCATGGCTCTCAACCAACTACTGACCGAGTCTTTATCACACATGAAAAGCTTTCCCAAGCGCAGTGCGCCCCATCCTGGCTCACCTCAATATCCGCCATCATGCCCTCGAAGTCGAGCCCGATGGTGGCCGGGTTGAAGTAGCGGTACTCCTTCCACTCGACGCCAGCGTCCGCAAAGATGTTCTTGTGGTTGCCCCACGTCGGGTTGGAGAGGAAGACGGTCCGCCCGGGGTAGAAGCGCGCCAGGAAAGCCGCGCCCAACCGGAGGGAACCGGTGCCGGACAGACTCTGGATGGTGGCGACCTGCGGAGTCGGAAAAGCATTGGGTCAGAATCCTATCCAAGAAAGATACTCTCTACAGCTTTCGGGCCTCTCCAAGCGGAGGCGCTTGCAGAAGCCGATGAAAATCAAACCAAGCCTTTCGACTCTTTTCAAGTGACGGTCACCTCGTTCCCCTTTTGAGATGCACTTCCTTGGAATGGGACAATCTTGGAATTGGTCGTTGAGGCCTTCTTCAATGACCAGTTCTGGAGAAATGGATGAGAGAGCTGGCAGAATCTACAGAGAGGCTCGACTTACCCTCCCATCCTTAACGGCCTTGTTGTCGCTTCCCAGAAGCAGTGCAACGGTGGCCTTGTTGAAGTCCGCTAGCCCCTCGATCGGGAGGTACTCCTTGTTCTCTCCATTCTCAAGCATCAGCTTCTCAGCCTGGCAGAAGGAAAGTGGTCAGCGGGACACAACAAGGTGGTGCAAACCTACAGAGCACCCTCTGCCATTAAGTGCGGAATTCACAAGGAGAACAGATAGCCCCTCTTCCAATTAACAGAGCATAAGCGCAAACCGTCTGAATCCGAGGAGTCCCGCACTCAGCAAGCAGACGTCATGCGGAAGACATACTCGTTCATGTGCAACTGATCGTGTTAGGCTTGTTCTTGTGGTCCAGTGTGATACGGACACGAGCAGCTCACATAAATCCAAATAGACTCGAACGAGGCGCTACTTTTTTGTTACGTCCAGATGTGGTCAGGACTGGGGGAGCTGAGAAAAGAAAGATATAAAAGGCAAGAGCCCTACCTTCTTCACAACATCCAACACATAAGGCTTGATATCCTCTGTTCTGTAAGCACCTGCCCACAGTCAAGACAGGACAGATTAAACATGGTGACAGAAGAAGGTGCCCAAGCTGGCTTTCATGTACCAGAGGCCTCCTCTTTATTTGCCACCAGTTTGTGACCAACAAAAGTGCAAACGTTGCACATCGTTCACTGTACATAGGATGACAAGGCGAGATGACCCCCTAGATATTCTCCAATCCAGAAACTACTACTGCTGATTCTGGCAACTTACAACAGAAAGCATGCTTGACACACTTCTGACAGTAAACTTGCAACTCACCAACTCCAAGGTTGAGCTTGTCAGAACTAGTATCGGCCTTGAAGGCTTCTGAAACCCCAAGAATGGGGTCAGGGGGCGCCTGAGTGATGCTCTCAAATGCAGAGGCCTTGGTGGCCACTGCCTGCATGCTCACCCTAGCGGGCTGCAAAATCCAACACATGGCTTGGTCACATCAAAAAAGCCTTGATGACGCACGCCATGGCATTGCAGCGATCCTGTTGCTAAAACGCACCTCCAAGACATGGACTAACGTCCAGATACCATTGCTACTTAGGTTGGGTCAGAACAAGTAATCTAGGACGGACGGTCACCTGACTTGAAGTTAGTTGATCTAGGGAAACATGAGCTGGAGATGCGAACGGACGGAGCAGATATTCGGATTTTTTTCCATGCAACATCGTCGACTTTGTCATGATTTGAGTTGCTTACCTTGGCGGAATGGAGGTCAAGTGCTGCCTTTTTGAGGGCTACAGGTCTGAAGCCGGAGAATGCGGCAAAAGAGGCCTTGGAGGGCTGCACAAGGCAGAAACACGGAGTCACTTGCCATGCTTAAGTATTGACGTCAAATCAAACAACTAATCAATTTCTTTGAAACTGGTCGCCAAGAAGCGGTGGTACAAAGTCAGGGCATCCTGGCGTGATGTAGAGATTGCATTTATTCATGCCTTTGATTTGCAAACCATTGGAAGCCGCCCAGCTGAGAGTGTTGGAAAGCTCTGTCGAATACTCAACAAGGAAGACCAAAAGGAGTTTGTGCAGAACTCTCAGCTTTGTAGCTGGCAATGGGAAAAGCAAAAACAAAGGCGTGCATCTTTTGAAACGAAAGTCGAAAGCATGCTTACTGAAGACTGAGCAACCAGAAGCTGGTTAGATGGATCTTTGGGTGAGGTTTCATTGAACATAAGGTGTATGTGGATTTACTAGGTGGTTGAAAGCTTCTGGTGACCGACACTACCACAAACTACCACCATCAACCAGCGACAAGCCAGCAGTAAGCACGTCAAACACAACGGTGTGCATAGTTCACAACGTTCTCAGGTGGTGGTAATCACGATCTAGACAACAGCCATTAGCAGATCCATTCCAACACTCTAACCTAGTCATTCTGATAGGACTTGTTAGATCTGTTGAAAAGTGACCATAATCATAAGCAGGAAAGTGTTGATAAAAACAAGTTCATTCAACAGCCTGCACAAATTCTACAAAAGGAAAGCATGCACTCTGCATGCAACGATGAACACATGTGTACGATCCACAAGCGCTGAAGCTCCATAAAACCTGCCAAAAGGGTCTGCATCTCTGGGAGGACTTCACACACTTAATGAAACATGTAAAGCTTAAAGCAATAGAGCGCTACCTGATCAAGTGACCATATGAAGATCGCAAGCTCCCACCATCTATTTACATGTACCAGAAACAAGGCAACGGCAACAGATCTAGGTGGGAAAACCAATACTGACCTGATCAGCGCTTGGGATGCTGGTAGCAAATCCCTGTGCCAAGGCCGCCCTCTGTGCAGTGGCGGAGAACGCCATGATTTCACCGGTGATAGTTCGTGCAGCTGATCGGCGAGGCCAGAGCTTGAAGGAAAAGTAGGTGGAAGAAGTGCTCGTGTGCTGAAATTACCGCTCCTAGATTGCGTCCTTCACACCTCACCAATTTGCTGAAGACGTTTCTGGATGTCGCTTTCAGTCAGTGGCACTCACTCTCAATGCTGCACAGCCAGTTGCAGCTGCTGAAGAGAAATTTCAATTGGTGAAGTGCAGAGGATCTTGTTTCCTGACGACGTATACGGGGCCGTGTCGCTGCGCGTATACGGGTCAACTTTCAACCCTTTCTCCCGCAGAATCTTGGTTCTATAATATCGAATATACTCGCGTAGACTGAGCTTATGGGCACCAAATCCTGCAGATTGAAGGTGGGGGTAGTGCGCATGTTCATTAGTCGCGGTAATGGTGTCCGTCGAAGCCGGTACATGCGCGCTGGATGGGAATAATGTTCGACGTGGAATTGCGAGAGCTCTTCTTTTCTGTGACTCTTCCCGGTGTGACGTACCTACCTACTCAGGTCACGAAACATGCTGGGGCAGCCGGACCAACCTGACGCCATTTATGATTTTTCCAGTTGCCAATCGATGTCGGCAAAAGCGCCTGGGAAAAGACGCCATTGCTGCAAAACTGGTCAACAAGACTAGCATGACCACGACCACAAGGACTGCATCAGCACTCGGCCGAATGCGTTCCCTCATGCTGCTCCGAAGCAGTCATTCTTAGCACCGCCTCTAAGATGTCATTCGCCGATAATAGATCTTTGTGATTTTCTTCTTGGACAACATGCAACCGACAGCGGCTGACAAGGTCAGCAGACCTGATGCAGATGACGAGAGTGCTCCATCCTCGTCAGGCACCAGTTCTCCCAAGTCTTACCTCCTGGTTCACAATGTCTCAAAAAAGCACAATATTGGCACTCTGTCAAGGAGCTGCACCGCTTTTGGAGTAACGCAAGTCTGCATTGTGGGGCAGAACGCGTACAACACGTTCGGAAGTCATGGGGCTGCTGAGTATGTTGACATTCGGCACTTTTGGAAGTTGGAGGATGCAGCAAAGTATCTCAAGGTGAGTGATGGTCTCAAAAGAAGGGTGGTGTAATTTCTGCTAAAGAAGAAGTACTTTTCCTGCCATAAGCGCCAGTTGGCGCTGCCATGACCTCTATTGATTGTCAAAGCATTGCCTCGTCAATGCTTCCCTGGTTTTATCTTGATTATATTTTTTGGTCCTGCACCAAGCGCCGCCCTCAGAACCCTAATTTGCAACTTCATAATTTTGCCATATGTCCCTCTGAACGACCACCACCTCTTTATCATACTTGTATCTTGAGCTGTTGCATTGCAAGCGTTGACTTGAAACTCCTACGCAGGAAGATTGTCAGTGTGACATAGTTGGAGTTGAGATCGTGGAGGGAGCCCTCGCTGTGCACAAGCGCCCTTTCAAGAGGAATACTGCTTTCATTCTTGGCAACGAGGTAAGGCCCCACTGATAAATATTGGTGGCATTGGTAGCATCAGTCTTTTGGGCGGCCTGTGGTACACCAGTGTGTGCTCTGATTGTGCCTGTGCTTTTTGGTTTCAAACTCTCTTTAGCGACCTCCACTGTTGCCTGCAAAGATGACGGATGGAATGCAATTGACGGAGTGCAGGCCCTCAAAGCCTTTCTGGGGCTTACCTCTCACAATACCTGTCAAGCAGCCAGAAGCGTTTCACAACTACCAGCCCCACACATATGCAAAAGGCAATCATGGTGGTTCACGTAATCAGGGTACGGTTATTGGAAGGTGTTGTCTTTTCTCTAACAAACATGTTGCGTTTGCAGGGCACAGGCCTCTCACAGAAGCAGATCGAGATCTGCGATTATTTTGTGTATATATCTCAGTACGGGCCTGGTACTGCTAGCTTGAATGTGACGGTAGCTGCCTCCATAGTCCTCCACGCATTTGCTGGTGAGCCATCTGATACCCCTTCAAGGCTTAAAGTGCCTTTGGACCATCTGCCCCGATTCTAGTCTTGAAATATAGCAGTGATATTTATTTCTTGCAAGCAACTTATGCTTGTGGAGGACGAGGCTTGGCTGACACTATTTGACCTTGTCTTACACATCGAGTTTCAATCTGCGAGTCTCATAACCTTGGCTACGCAATTCATATTGCTCATTTTCTTGTCGATCCTGCCTCGTTTGATTGAGGTGTTTCCTAACATCGACGACGCATAGCTGCTTTCGATCCCTCCTATTCCTGAATCCTTCATCTGGTAAATGCAGTCTGGGCTGGGATGCCCGAAAGAGGCCGGGAAGGGCAGAAGTTCGTGGTGGCAGAGAGACCGGTTCGGCAGACGACTAGACGAGTGTGTCAAGATTCGCCTGAGGATGTGGCGGCAGCTAGGAAAGAGAGACAGGCAGCCAGCCTGCAGGATCATAGTGACGATTTAGGACTGGGGAGCATTGACCTCGAAGATTCTGCAAGTAATGAGTAAGTTGCTGGCAGGATAACGTCAGCGCGTTCATATAAGCAGGTAGCTTAGGAGGATAGCTTAAACGGTGCAGATGCCGGTGAAGAGGCCACTACAATGAATTAGATATTTCTGATCAGGTACACGTACATCTCAGCCCCGGCGCGGCACGCCAGTGCAGATCGCTGAGACGTTTGATCTTTTCTGAAAACAGATGGCCCCGCCAGGCAGCTCCAGCTGGGCCGGCGTGCTGCTGGTCTACACCTGTAGGCCCTTGCTTGCAAGATTGTCCTTGTCATTCATGACTCGTATCATGAGGATACGCCGCATTATAGTATGCTTGATCGAAACGTACATAATTAGTCCATATATGACCTCTGAGCGCATGTCAGGCGTGGCCCATGTGTGGCGCATGCAATAGACTTCATCCGATCTGTGCAGCTGTCTGGCTCAGAGCAGGTTTGGAAATGCAATTCGAGATGCATGCCGCCCATGTGGAGTTGCTCCTGCCTTGAACGGAAGGCAACTTTAGTATGGGCAATAAGAACTCTTTGTAATTGTAAGGTCTAGGTACATCTACTTCCTTTCGAGCTAGTAGACTTCAAAAAAATCTACTACAATCGAAGCATCAGTCTCTCTCAAGAGCGTATCGTTACATTGGCGGCCCAAGATCCGTTGCATTAAGCATGCCCAACAATTGACTTGTCAATGTCATCTGCATAATATCTCTCTCTTTCTACAGTGACAACAATGTACAGACTATCGTCTAGCGCGCCCATCGCTCCTCCTATGCTCCTCAATTTTCCTCTTCTTTTGCGCCTGCCGCTTCTGCCCCGAGGCAATCTTCCTCTTAGCCACTCGCTCCGGGTCGACCAGAGCCGCAATCGCCGCCTTCCGCTTCCGGTCTTCCCGTGAGACCTTCACGTCCTGACGGACGGCGTTGTATGCGGACACGAAATCGGACACGCCCACGGAGTCCCGGACCAGGCCCATCACCTCTTCCGCCAGGGCCTTCAGATCATCTGCACAGCACAGGGGGGCCGTCAAACTGATGGAAGATGCGACCGAGCGATAAACGCTCAAAAGGGAGGTGGTAATACTCACAAGTGGTAGCGAGTGGAAAGGTCGTGAAACTTGAGGTGGGTGGACACCCATCAAAGTCGGGGCGTGTTTGCAAGGCACGCAGATACTTCGTCTCTACCCAAAATTCTGATTACTCTAAACAAAGTCCATGGCGTGCCCCCGGAGATCGACGAACCGTTTCCACAAGAGCTTGCAAGCGCGGACCATGCCGCCAGCGCACGACCACGAAACTCGCCAGCTTCTTGCAGTAGAGTTCGCGCATCCAGAAGAATAAAATGCATCCAATCGTCCGGGTAAAAGCACGGGCCAAAAATGGAATATGGTACGCACCTGGCACGGTCTTGGCGGCGTTGCCCTCAGCGAGGCGGTAGAGGGGCACCACCAGCTCGGGGAGGTGGGGCCGCACCGCAGCGCCGCCCAGCGCGGTGGCCACCGCTGCAAACCACCGCAAAGCGGCCGCGCTCTGCAAATGCGGAAGTATGTTTGAGACCCTCTGAGCGCATAGCTTTTGAACCGCTTGAAATTTCAGATCAGCTCCTACCGCTGCAAAATACGGCAAGGGGAGGCGTGTTCTCCCAGAGAGGGGAGGCTCCGAGGGGTATGGGACTGACTTGGTACGGCACCCGAAGGTAAAGAAGATCAGCTGTACAAGAGCGGCATCCAAGCAGCGCCGGGCTCCTTCGATCCTCAAAACATCCGTGAGATGCTCCCAGTTTCGATAAGACGTAGCTCAGGACCCGCAGTGGGCAACAACCCTCCAAGGATACCAAGAACCTCATGTTGCTCGTAATACTAATAATTCTGTTCAAAGGCTGCGTCACTGCCTCGCGCAGAACCGGCAACGAACTGGGCTGACAATCGCGGATTGAACGTCAAAGAAACGCTGATTCCCTCCGTTGCTGGATTCGTGCTCACCTGTATTGGCTCCACTCTGAGAGCAATCCTGGCGATCCTCCGGAAAAGCGACTTCAGCGTGGGGCACCGATCCCGCTGCCACCGGCCCTCTTCCGACCCCGCCTCTAGTTCGTCCTCCTCCCCTGTCTCCAAACCCTCTTCGCCCCCGTTCGCTAACCCGTCTCCTAACCCGTTTCCGGCATGCTTTCCCTCACTCTCCAGACGCCCGTTCGCTCCATTAACCCCGGGCTTTACCCCGGCCTCCAGCACTGCGTGCATAGCGGTTGCGACGTAAACCAGGTTCTTAACCCCCTGTTCCGCCAGCTTCTCGTCAACTACTTCCGCCTCTAGTTGCTGGCACAGCGACGCTGCCACGCGCTGCAGTCCTTCGGGGGGGCTCAGAATCGTTTCCCCCGCCCAGCCGGGGGGTTCCCTTGTGGGCTGCGGCAGGGCTGCGAACAGCCCCCCCACGAGGCGGCCGGCGGCTTTGCGGACCCACAGGTGACGATGGAGCAAATGGGCGGACACGTGCTCCCAGAATGCCTGCGGAAGATCAGGGTTGGGTTTGAAAAGAACGAAGTGTATAAGTGGAGAGAGTTGTGGGGCAAGCCAACCCTAGTGTGTCTAGATCCGGTTACGATGAAGAGGTGCGGTAAGCAACGAGCCCAGAGGGCTTCGACTCTTGCCGGTTGAGTCAGAGCGGAAACCACCTAAACCCTAAAAAGCTTAGGAACGAACCCCTTAAGAGCATGAACGACCTACACCTGAAGCGGCTCAGGAATGAATCTTGATACGAGGGGAACGGAATCATGACAGCTGCGCAAAATGACCCGACTTGCCTCACAAAGAGACGTCCGGTGGGAAGAATTGGTGGGAGCACATCAGAGAGATTCCCAATGAAGATTTTTCGTCCGCAGTCTCCAGAAGGAGTCGGATGTCCCTATCTTCGCTTCATCACTTGTGCTCCAGTCAATAATCGCTTTTCTCGTTGAGGCAGAACATTTTTTTTGTATCGTTTAACGCCTCGTAAGGACAGCTAATCAGCTAATCAACTAATCAGCTCGAACAACACACGAGAGAGACAACGTCAAGGACTTGTAGAGGCAACGTAAACGACTTGCTTGGAAGGCAGAACCGTCGGAGTCTTCAGCAGAAACAATTTGGACTTGCACGTCATTTAGATGTTGTACTTAAGGCGGAGCGAGTCGAACAATTGAAAGTATGCAGATTCAAGATAAATCTAGTCTTTAACACTAAAACAACCAGATTGCCGAGCTCTTCAGGTTACGACCGTATTGAGACGGATCCGGCAAAAGCAAGAACATTACTTGTTTGGCAACTGTAACTGAAAAGCTGTGCAGTTCATATGCCCGTTCCATAAGACGAACGCAGGGAGGCCCTGGCATGATCAGACAGATTCTTAGGTGGAATAGGGGACTTATGATCACTTTACTTCCAGGTATAGACTCGAGCAACGGGGAGGGTGCGCATCAGAGAGATTCCCAATGAAGATGTTTTGTCCGCAGTCTCCATAAGGAGTCGGATGTCCCTATCTTCTTTCATCACTTGCGCACACCTTAACAGATGAAGTACTCTCGAATGAAAGACTATCAATGATCTCAGATACGGCCGACCGTTGTCTGGTAGGGACACAAGAAAACAAAGAAGCAGAATTACTGGATGACGAGTGGAGATTCTCAAACATTCGTGCTATCGTCTGATGATTTAAAACCCTGAAGAAGCGAGCCCGTTTCGCTAGATTCAGAGCGTTTCGAGACTTGACAGACCAAGACAAAGGAACCGTCAAGCCATCCCAACGGTGGCGAAGGCAGAAAACAGGAAAAATATCAAGCAGGGTACAAGTGGAGAAGGTTTGAAAACATTATATGACAATATGCATCCTGACCTGGAATTGCGCGCTCAGCACCAACTCTGGCAGCTTCTGGAAGAGCTTCTCCGCTGACGTCAGCGTGAAGTAAGCCTCCTGCCACATGGGCGCCGCGGGCTGGCCGTCATCCGAGGGGGATCCCTCCTCTGCTGCCGCCTCGGGGGATCCCTCGAGCGCGTTCTGGCAGCGGTCGAGCATCGCGAGCGCCGCGGCGCGCCAGGCTGCCACGTGGCGCTTGAAGGCAGGGCCGAGGACCTCGACACCGAAGCCCAGCACCTGCGGATGGGTCAAGAACAAGTTTCAGGAAAGATGAATGCAGAAACATGATTTTTGGATCAGCAAAGTTGGCAAAGCTTAGGAATAATGCTGACAGCTTGACAGCATTAAAAACCGAACCGGAGGTTAAGAATTTGAAGAAGTCGAAACAAACACCCAAATATAACAGTCTTCCTTTTCGATACCAATCCAGTTTGCTCTGACCAAGACTTCCGCTCAAGCCAGATGCAATAGACAAGGATTCAGTGGCTCCGACAAGAAGGACCGGGGTTCAGTAACGGTCGGAAAGTAATCAGAATGTCCCAAGGAAACAAACGAAAGAGCTTTTGCAGATGTTCTGTGCAGGTAGGTCTCTCACCTGCGCGGCTGGCCGCCACAGCTCGCGCCTCTCCCCTCCATACCACGCCATCGCAAAATCGATCATCCGCTGCCGCGCCGCGCTTCCCACCCGCCCCATCAGCACTTTCAGAACCGCCCCCACCATCGCGCGGCACTGCTGCTTATCGTCGTTAACCAGGCGGGTAACTAGGGGGAGGAAGAAAAAGTCGCCGTTCTCGTCGACGATCTCGGGCGGGAACTTGACCAGCACCGCGTGGATCATTTCGAGGGCGGCCTCGCGGCCCGACGGGTGCTCGTACGCGAGATTCGCGGCGAGGAACTCTAGGTGTTGCTGCAGGCGGCGCTGGCCCAGGGGGAAGTCTAGAAGGAACTGGAGGAGCGTTTGGCTGCAGAGCGTTCGGACGGTCGTGTCCTGGCTCCGGACCATAAGCTGCCCGACTCGTATCATAAGATCGTACATCTCGGGAACGACTAGTTTTCGCCCGACGATCGCTTTCAGCAGCCCGAACGCCGTCGCTCTCGTCGTGCCCTCCTCCAAGTCGATGAAAACCGGCGCAATTAGGATAACCCGCAGCTGGGCTTCGGAAAACTTGGCCTCCTTCCCATAGCGCAGCAGGGTGGTTAGGAGCTTCAGGCTTTCCTGAAGGAGAGGCGACGCGGCACGGCCCGACCGCCGAACGATCACAAAGAGCCGGTCCGCAATCTCGGGTTCCGAAGTCCGGATCGCGGTTAGCGGCGTCCGGACCAGATAACCCAGATTCTTCATCGCGAGGGCAAGCACCGAGTCGTGGCGCGAGTCGAGGCACCGGTTAAGGAGCTCGACCATGGGGTTAAGGAGCGGCGCCAGCTTCGGATCTGAGCCGTTGATCTTGTTCCGCTTGAAGCAGCTGTGCATCAACTGCAACCCGAACTCCATCAGCATCTGTTGGTTAGGCACGGTTGGCTCCTCCGCGGGGCCCTCTAAAGCTTCCCGCTTCCCCAGGCTGATGCCCACTTTGTCCAGAACCGTCTTGAGGTTCCCCCCCGTGGACCGCGCCTGCTTGTCGTCCTTCTTCTTCCTCTTACTGGCCGCCTGATCCGCCTCCCAGGTTAACCCGTCCTCCACTAACCCGTGGGTTAACACCAAAACCTCCAGCCCCCCAGTCGCGGGGTTTTGAATCAACCCCGACGCGATGTTCCTCAGCATCTCGTCGAGCTTCCCTTTGATCTTCGGGTTCAGCGACCGGGGCAGGTTAGCCCTAACCACCCCCACTAACTCCCTGCAAACCGCCGCAAACCCGCCCGCCTGCGCAAGTAACCGCAGGCTCTCGTACGACATCGTATGCCGCGTCTCCTTCATCTTCTTCGCCAGCCCCTCCACGTCTTTTTCCTCTCCCGTTTCGCCCAAAATGTCCTCTTCGATGATGGGAGTCATTCCTCCCAGGCAGTAGTCGATCTCGCCGCTCTTAACCGACGGCAGGGTTTTGACGAGAACCGCGTGCAGGGTGTAGCCGAGCACGTGGACCTGGTAGCCGCGAGTGAGGCTCGACGAGAGCGTCTCGACGATGAAGTGGAGGTACCTGAGGGATTGGCGAGAAAGTAGTGAACACGGGAAGCCTGTAGACGTCCTTCGAGACCGCTTTTCTCCATAGTCAACCTAGCCGATCAAAAGTCTGATTGTTGAACTCTGACGGCCTTTGGAGGTGCGTAGCGTGATGGTGACGCGGGCTTTGGAAAAACGAATCAGCATCCACCTTAGTGAACGAAACTAGAACGTCGGCCGGCTTCAAAGTCCGATGTTTTCGTGGATACGAGTCACGAAAGGAGGGAATGTCAGATGCTGAGGAGTGAGATGTTCAGTTTCCAGCACTCAAGGTGACGCTCGTGATCTCGTCAGCTTTCGAACCGAGTCAGCTTCAAGTTGTTGCAACTCTAAGCGATTCGCCCGCTCTCACCTGGCCCCCAGCGCCTGCGCCGCCGCCACGATGGCCCCCCTCGCCGCGTCCCTGACCCACTGCGCGCGGCTCTTGAGCAGGTTCGCCACCTCGTGCAGCAGCCGCGGCAGCTCCACCTCCATCGCGCGGGGGGGGAGTAACGCCAGCACCTGGACCAGGGCCAGCGTTACCGGGGTGCTCACCAGCCCGTCGTCGCCCTTCTTGTCCGGCTCCTCGATCATGCTCTTGCGCAGCTCGGGGAAGACGCGTTTCAGCAGCAGGGCCTGGATCGGCCCCGGAACGAGCCTCCCCCCGGCAGACTTGACGCCCGCATTTGCTGGAGTGGCGGTTCCGGGCGTTTCCGGCTCCGTTCCGGTACTTCCCGGCTCCGTTCCGGTACTTTCCGGCGTTCCGTTCGCTTCTCCGCCGTGGGCGCCGCTTCCTTTTTCCCCCGCGTCTTTCTCACCCTCGTTTCGCTTCTGATCGCCATTTTCCGTTCCGTTTGACTTCGCAATCTGACCCCCCGTCTGCGCGTCTAGCCCCAAAGTCACACCGGGAGGTGCAACCGAACCCCCCACCCCGCCCCCGCCGGTTCCGCCCCCCTCGCCTACCCCAAGGACTGTCCCCACGAAGCGCTCCTCGTTGGGACCCTCCTCCTCGCCGACAAAGAAGTGGAACCGTTCCAGCACCCCGCAAACCGCGCGCACGATCGCGCGCTGGTGCGGGACGCCCTTGCCTGACGTCAGCTTGAAGAGGCGCATCAAGAGGCCGTAGTAGGTGCCCCACTCTAGTTGGCCCGCCATGGTGGCGATTGCGGCGACCGCGGCCTCGACCAGGTTGCCTTCCTTGTCGCCCTTGGCCTCGAAGAGCGATTGCGAGAACAGCGGGACGAAGATGGTCATCAGCGAGCCCTGCAGAACAGTCGTCGGAGTGATGTTCAGCAGAGAGAAGAATGAAGCTGTGAGAAAGACAAGCAGAACCTGCGACTTCGTTCAACCAAAAGGTGTAGGCACCTGATTGTGCCAACGGCTCAGTAACTAGCCCAAGCACTGCAGACCTCCTTCTCACATTCTTGAGGGATCCGACAGACAGAGATCACTATTACACAAGAATATTGCTTTCGTTCGAGTGTGAACGTGTGGTACGAAAGAAGAGGCCCGACCACCTAACCCAGCAACCCAGCAAGCACCTCAAGAATGATTAAACGCCGTCGAGCTCTTGTCGTAGCCAACCGAACCCCATGCACATGTAAACGAAAGACTGGAAACCTTGCAAAACCTTGGAACCGTGAACCCCGAAAGACGTGAGACCATTTTAGAGTTCCGAACTGCAACAAGCCCCGGATCGTACAAACCATGCCCACCTGATGGAAGTGGCCCTGGTCGCAAAGCGCTCGGAAGCGGCCAATGGCGCGGATACGACGGTGGACCTGCAGGTGCACGATGTTGTGGAAAACGTCCGCCTCTAGATCGTCGGACAGCAAGCTGCGTAGGCCGGCCAAGGACGGGACGCCGGGCAGCCGTGCAATCATCTCCCTGCAACAGGCACAGTACCCGAGAGTGTGAGTTTAACAGAAAAGTGGACTGGTGTGAGAATGTCAAATGAGGATGCCAGGGTGAAGGGTCGAAATCCACCCCCTCACAACTGAGCGGACATACCGATGGCAGAGCGCAATCATTTCTCTGCATCGAGCACCGTGCGGGGAGTGTTTCAGGACGACGACACTAGAGACCGGTCCAAATTTCTCAACAAGAGATTCGAATGAAGGGTTACGAACTGGCTCTAAGGATTGACAGGAGGATTGCAGTGTGGAAACTAACGGTGACATCAGCGTTGGCTTCTGCGAAAGGGGCAGGTTCGGCCGAATTTCGCAACCACTGCAGTCTGTAGATTTGCAAAGCGGTGTGGCGAAGGAAACCGCACGAAGTCGTAAATAAGGATCACACAGAGAAAACCTGCCCGGGAACAAGGAGGTACGGCAGCCGTTTACCCACCTGAACAGCAGGACGTACTCCCGGCGCACGACCAGGCTCTCAGACGCCAATCCCCTCCGGACATGTGGCAGCAGCAGCCGGGTTACTAGAGCCACCGCACGGGGCCCATCCAACGGTCCATTCTCTTCAAGCCCTTCCGCGGCCCCCGGTTTCCCTACGACCGCATTCACGCCCGTCGCCTCCGCCTTAGCAGCAGGAGCGCTCACACCGCTGACGTCAGCGTCCTCTTTGCTGAAGGCAGCACCTTCAACGTCGTCCTCCTCCATGACGTCAGCCTCCGCGCCGCCGACGTCAGCATCCGCCGCAACGAGCCCCTCGTCAGCGTCGACGTCTGCCCCCGGTGTGCCGGACTCCGCTATTGTCGCCATATACCGGATGAACACCTCGATTGCATGCGCGGCGGAACTGCGCAGCGAGAGGTCGTCCTCTTGCATGTCGTGCAGGCACTGCCCAAGCACCAGCTGCGCTTCGAGCCGCGTCATCTTCTCGAGTTCTCCCGACTCTAGTTTCCCGTATGCGTCCAGCCGCCGGCCATAGTCGCACTCGTCAATGCCCGACGGGTCCATTGCGTTCAGGTCAGAAAGCAGACCCGCGACACGCGCTAACCCAAGCTTAACCCCGCTCGAACCTGCGGCATATCCGTGGGTTACTCTAACCTCCACGGGCTGAACGGCCGACCCCTCCGTGAGTTGCATGGGAGCAGCCCTTGAAATTGCAGAAACCTCAGGTGAACCTCGCCCGGCTAACCCCTCCAACGCCCCGCTGAGCGCTTTCCTCGCCTCTCTGGTTTGCAGCGAGATGAAGAGCGGAGCCAGGATTGGCACGCACTGCGCCACGCTCTCGGGTTCCAGAACCCGACCTAAACCCTCCAGAACCCTGAGCGCCGCCGCGCACGCCTCCTCGTCGATCTTGCGCTTCCCCCCGGGTGACCTCAGCAGCGGCATCAGCGCTGACGTCAGCTGCGCCGCCGCGTCGCCACCTGTCACGTGCCGGCTGACGGTGACCAGGATCGCGAGCTCGCGCCGGAAGGAGGGCTTGCGGGTTTTGCCGGCCCCAGGGTGATCCCTCTGGAGCGTCAGAAGTTGCTGGAGGTTGGTCAGCAGCAGGGGGAGGTGCGGCAGTAGCAACTGGTCCTCTGATGTTACCCCCCCCTCCGAATCCATCTCCAGCAGGTTTTCTACTATCGTCAAAACCGTTCCGATGACGCCTTGAGAGGCGCCTGGAATCGAGAGAACGGACAGCAGACCGGGAACTAGGTTGGGGTCGAAAGCCAGGAGTGGCGCCAGGGCGGGGTGCCGGCTCATGGCCAAGAAACAGGTCAGCAGTGCGCTGGGCTTGTCGCTGCTGGCGGAGTCGTTTCTGATTCGGGCAATGGGCCCCGCCATTGCGGCGAAGAAGAGCGCCCAGTAGCTTGGGGGAGCTGCTCTTAGGGTGTTTCGCGCCTCGGGTTCTAGGGTCTTGGATTTCAGGGTTTCGACTTCCGGGGCAACTAGAGTCGGGAAACGGGAGAGCACGGAGGAGAGCACACGCAGGGACAGCGAGCGAAGGTCCTTGTCGTTGCCTCCCGCTGGATGCGAAGAACCCGCTCCTTGCTTTCCTGGCTTCTCGCTATCTTCCTTCCGTTCTTGGCTACCATTTTGACCTCCATCCTCTTCCCGCCCATCCGTCTCATTCAGTCCCGCCTCCAGCGCTTCAGTCGTCTCGATCCCAACCACAGCAGCCGCCGGCACTTCGCCGCTTTCGTCCGTGTGGCCCCCCTTATCTGCCCCGTCTTCGACCCCCCCGTTTTCCCCCCCGTTTTCCTCCCCGGTCTCCACCCCCCCCGGAGTTGCCCCGTCTTCCCACCCCCCACTCCGTCCAGCGCTCTCCAGAATCCTCACCGTCACCCCCAGAAGCCCATGCAGGTACGGCCCCAAAAGAGCTTCCCCCCAGCTATCAATAAGCTCCCGCGCCATATGCAGAAAGCCGACGCGCCGTTTATATGGCACGGCCGCCAGCTTATCCGGGTCCACCCGCTCAAGAAACGAGGCCCCCACTCCGCTTTCTAGCTCCCCCTCCCACGTTTTGGAACCGGGCTCGGTTTGCAAGGCCCCAAAACCCGTAACTGGGGCCCCAGTTCTAAACGCGGGGCTCAGGGGCTGTAATAGAAGCTTGAAGAACGGAGCGAGCTCGCGCGGGTTCATCCTCGCCAAGAAGCCGAGCACCGCTGCGCGCGGCACGCCGGCAGTCGCCTTATTGGTCTGCTTGGTCGCCTTTTTCTTCAGCTTGGGGTACATGATGTGGATCACCACGCGCATCAGCCCCCCCCGGTGCTCAGCCAAAACGGCCCCCCCGTCTGGGCCGATGTCCCAATGTGTGATCTCGTCACGCGCCGTTTTGGGCGCCACCAACCGCTGCAGGTTCTCGGCGTAGGGAACTAGATCGGGGTCTTTCCAGTTGAGCAGGCACGCAAGCGCCGCCTGCTGGACGGCCGGGTCGCTGTCGAGCAGCAGCCGTGACGTCAGCAGATCCTTGACCTCCGCTTGCCGGAACAGCGAGCGCGCATTCCGCAGCTCCTCGAGCAGCGCCAGCCAGTGCTTCAGCCCCTCCCGCCACGCTTTACTTCCCCACACGATACCAGAAACTGACTCTCCTCCCTCTAGTTCGTCCATGTCTTCGCCCACGGTTCCGACGGCCTTGGACGGGCCCCCAAGCCCGAAAGTCTTGCTTTTCGGGATGTGAGCGAAATCTAGAAGAAGGGGGACCACGTGGCGGCTGTGGGCCTCTGCCACGTGGGCGGACTGTTGGAGAGTCCTAAGAAGGAGTCCGGTGACGGTGGGGAGGTCGGTGCCGTCCAAAACAGGAGAAGCTGCTGCTTCGAAAGAGGTCTCGAGATCTGCGGAAAGCAATGGAAGGGCTGCAATGTCAGCTCCAGGCGCTTGAGAGTGAACAGCTGGAGTATCGGGCATTTTTGACAGCAGAGAAAGATTTCTCATTGGAACAGAAAGCGTGGCGTTCTGAAGCTCGCGAATGACCCGTGCTCTCTTGACAACGTGCGTGCTGTCAGAAGTGTACCACCACACACGTTTCCTTGCTGCTCGGCAACCTATTGAACTGCTTCCTTCAAAGAGGACAGTCGCGGTCGAAAGTATGCCAGCTTTGAGGCAGCCAAACCCAGGCAGTCACATGCTTAAGCAATTCTGAATCTCGAAGCTCAAAGCAACACGTGATCGTGCCAAACGTCGGGTTCACAGACAGAAACTCTTCACAACCGATCGGAGCCAGGAAAACCCCGGTCAGAGCCAAGCAACGCCAAACGCTGTTCTGATGACATCAGCCGCTCACCTTGCACTGCTTCTCCGCCGTTCTCTTCATCCCCTTCCGTCGGAGCCCCCCTTCCGCCACTCTCCCCCCTGAGCCACGCCGCCTGCGTCTCCTCCAGGTCAGCTAACACCGCAGGCCACACCACGAGGGGCTCCTTCACACCCTGACGCCCCCGAGCCTCTTCCTCCTTCTGCACAGCGGTGTACACAGGCACTCAGAATTATCAGGAGTCGGGCAGTCGGGCAGTTGGGCAACCAAGTCAGCGGGCATCAGAACCGATTGGGTTGGGTGGCAGTTGAAAACTATTTGGTGGTGGAATTGAACCCGTTTAGGTGGCCAACACAGTTCCACTCGACATCATCACTGTTTACTCGCAACAAACTGTTGCTCTACTGCTCACGACCTCAGGATCAAGTCCTCAGAGCCTGGAAGTCGTCAGCATGTGACGCGTTACCAGCATTATATGACGTCAGGTCCTACCTGTAACAGCGCAGCCAAGGTCTCCCTGGCCGCGTCCCACAGCAGGCTGAACCGGATCCTCAGCACGCCCAGCATGGCCTGCGCCAGCGGCTTATGATAAGCGGCCGGTAGCCTATCGGCGACAGCGTGGACGCGCAGGCGGGTTATGACGGAGCTGCTGTGGCGGCAGTCCTCCAAATTGAGAGGGGCGGTCTCAATCTCCAGCACTTGCTGGAAAAGCTGCAAGCAGAAAACGAAAGCTGGGATTTAGACATGTGGTAATTTGGAGGCAAAGGGTGTAAGGGGCTAACCATGTAGCCGAGTGCACTTGCAAGAACTAGCAGCTGCTAAAAGGCTGCCGAAAGCGAAGGCCTTGTGGGACATCGAAGGCTCGTTTAAGGGAATCTTCAGTGGCAAGAGGTTTCGTAACCTACTTCGAACAGGTGCTTGGTCAGTTTTTTGTTCCCTCTTGCGCCAATGACCCTTTTCGACACAGCTACCTCTAAGTTCCTTTTTGACACAGCTAACTCAACGCTTTGACTGCTTCCATTTCCCCACCTTAAAGTCACGCGCTCCTGGCAAGTCAAAATCCTCACGAATGAACCAAGTAACATACGTACTGTGGTCGAAAGCAGAAACAAAGAGCAAACACAAGCAACACGTAGGAAAGCAAAAGGACAAGGATTTTAAAGAATTAAACAGGGCTCAAAGCCCTCACCAGATACGGCTCCCCCGTGCTCTGCTCCTCCTTTTTCCGCTTCTTGCCCACTTTCCCAGACTGCGTCTCCTCCTTCTCCGCAACGGGTGACGTCAGCGGGTCGAAGGCGCCAAGGACCCGGAGAGTGGCAATGCGCAGCTGCTTGACGGGGGAGCGCAGGTTGGGGTGCAAGAGTTCGATGAAGGCCAGGCCGTCGTTTTGGGAGAGGAGGGGCCGGGCCTTGGACAGGTGCTTGGGGGACCTGCACGACAATTCTTGGTCGGTTAGACAGGTCTGCGTATGATAGACTTCTGCAAGAGCAGGGACAAGGAGAAACAGTGTCTGCACGATCGGGTCCGAGGACACCGGTGGAAACGTATTTGTGACGTAAGGCTGGCCCCTAAGTTGGTTCCAAGCATCGGATGGTCTCGAGAACGCAAGTTGTCGGTTCAAGTGACACCCTAAGTGGAACCTGCACGGGTTGAGCCTTGGTGTCTCCGAGGCACGTGGGTAGATTGAAGCCGTCATATCTGCGTCTTGAAGCATTAAAGCCTGAGGGCACCCGCCATGGCACCAAAGTCCGACACAGACACCGTACGTCCAAACGCGTCCCCGGCTTCGATTCTGCGAAGACTGTTTCTCCTTTCCGGGCTCTGAGAGACACTCGCGTCCTGGCGGAACATCTTCCAAGATGAGAGCTGGTTCCAATGGGAAACGAACGGTGTTTTCAGAAAGCGACGGGAGGCTCACAAAGCTGGAGCGAACAATCGCCGACTCTCCAAACACCGTGCAGACCGTATCAAAAGTATCGAGGAAATGATGCCTGATTGTAGTTCCCGTGCAACAAAAGCGTCCATTGTCTCCGAAACCTCCAGTAGACACCTCGAGCAGTAACGGACGACTTGGACGGTTGATATCAACACAAAACTCGCTCAAAACGCCAACGACAGGGAGACCCTTACCCTCTGATGATCCCTAGAAAGTCCGCCACAGCTGCCATAACCTGCGGGCTGCTGTATGCACTCTTCGCAAGCTCCAAGTACGCCTCCGTGTGTTTCACCAGGCTGCCCTGCTTGCTCCGCTGTAAGAATGCGGTGTGGACTTCAAGAGCCGCGCCCAAGAGCGCCTCGAGCCGCGCCGTCGCCTTGCCGGAGGGTTTGGAGGGTTTAGACGGGGGAGCGTCAGGTTGGCTGCTGCTTGTGCTGGCTGCAGAAAAGTGGGCGTCGTCGGTTAGAAGCATGCCACAAAAGTTGTTGAGCGGATGCAATAAAAAAGTGATGAGACGACTTTTCAGAGCTTTGAAGAGAGGATCCACAACTCCACGGGAAAACACTCTCAACGAAAGGCCAGCTTTTCTGTGTTTCAAGGCCTTGAGGAGACGTTGAGAATGGAAAACGAGAGCTGCTAAGCTGTCGTGACCACCTTCGGTACAAAGCGGACTAATTGTGTGATCAAATCGTGAGGACGAAGTAAGCTCCATAAGATTTATCGTCGTTGCTTGCAGAGCAGCCTCCACAACAAAAACGAAGCGTGATGAAGCAAGCCGTACCTTGAGCATGGGACTGCTGCCTCTCCGCGTCAGGTTTGTCGCCGTCCCCCAGCTGCGCCCTCACACTTTGCACCAAACCCCAAACCCTCTGCGCGCCCGCGTCCGCATCGCCCTCCGCATACGGCAAAAGTCGCACGGCAGCCCAAACCTCCGCCAAACCCTGCCCCTCTGCCGCCGTATATCCCGCCACCGCATTGGTAAGATATCGCACCAGATTCTGGTGCTTCCCGTCTCCCCCTCCTCCGGACTGAGCCAAAAGCAGGGGGGTAGCCAAGGGCGTGGGCTCGATTCGCCGGCAGGTTGCCAGGAGCAACGGAAGCACGGGCGTCGGATGGCCGCCGATCAGACGGTCCAGGGACGTCAGCATCGAGTGTGCGAAGAACGGCAATGAATATGCTCGGGCGGGGCTCAGGAGCGCTTGGAGAAACGGGATGAGGTTCCGAGGGTTGGAGAAGTCGAAGGCGGGCTGCCACATGGTAGCAGCTCGCGCCACGGAGGAGGGCCCTTGGCTGGCGCCCGCAATGCGCTCGTGGCTGGCGATTAACGCCAAGAGTAACCGTAGGGTTTCTTTCTGGAGCGTCGGGGTTTCTTCGAGTTCGGTCCCCAAACCGGGTGCTAACCCGGTGCCTGAACCATCTTTGGTGTTTATGAAAATCTGCGGCTGCAGCAGTGACTGAGCGAGAGCGAAGAGTGGTCGGTAGTCCAAGACCCGAGAACCCCGGTGGTGCTCCACAGCGTTGTTCAGCAGATGCAGCGCCCGGGCCAAGTCCTCCCGAGCACTCCCCCGGTCTGCACCTTCAGCTGCGTCCGAACCGCCCATTACTCCGTCCGGTTTGTCCGAAACCTTGTCCGAGGCGTCCTTAACCCTGTCTGGTTCATCCAGACCCTTCTCCGAAACCATCTCTAATAGCCCGTTGACTTCCCCTAACAGGCATTCCCACATAACCCCGCTCTTTTCCCGGGTCGTGTTCTGGCACACCCGCTCGACCGCCTCCGCGACCACCGCCACCGATACTGCTGCATTCGCGGCCGCGTCCTTCTGGGGGTTTCCTTCCGCTGCCATTGTCACCCCCCCGTTCAGGGTGGTTCTGTCCAGCATCAGTTGGAGGAGCTCGGGGGCCTTGCTATGGAGGCCTCCCTTGGCGCCTCTGACGGTGTAAGCGAGAAGAGCGCCCATGCCGGTTATCTTCTCTTCGGTGGGGTTCTTCTGAGCCTCCTTCATAAGGTGGCGTACACCTGCAAACGGAGACCAGGTCTTATAAGCTTGAGCAGCTAACTCGGGCATTAGATCGGCACGTGATGCTCAACCACTCGTCTTTGGGATGCAGAACCAGAGGAAGTGAAATCACAGTCTATACAGAATGGTACAGACACTGTAACCCACTTGTGTCGAATCCATTGAGCGAAGATACATGCAGGGTTGGAAATGCAATCTGCTTGGCAACAGCAAACATCGGTACGCCTGCCAGAGCTGCCAGAGCGTACAATTATACATTTTAGGAACGGTCTTTTGAAGCTTTCCCTCCTCAATAACCCTGAAAAAACATCTTTCGGCTACACCGAGCTCCGCTGCCATGTGCCATCGTCGAGTACACCAGAATCTATCGAATTCTGAATGGCCTGTATTTCAGCATTTTATCGAGCGACCAGTGTTTAGAATCGGGGTTACGTTGCTCTCACCTTTGATGAGCTGCTTCAGGGGGGCATTGCGGAAGAGGAAGGACACTGCCTCAGCTGCGAAGTCCCGGACGTAGTCCCGCCGGTGGTAGCGGATCAGCCGGGTGTATCTGCAAGAGGAAAGAGCTTAACGATTGAGTCATTGCGAACCTGCACGATACGTGAAAGGGACAGCCTCCCTTCTAGGAGTCGTTTGAGAAAAGGGAAGGCTTATTGAATTGTTTGAGAAAAGGGAAGGCTTATTGAGAATCCATACATCTCTTCCGAGTGGCCTAACGAACAGCATTTTGCAAGCGGCAGCAATTTTTTGTGGACGTGACCCAGGAGTTGGGCCGAGAAAGCTAGATGTAGCGACACCCTGTGCAAACATGTGCCAACCCAGTCCTGCGTTTCGAGTTCACCAACTGCAGCCCTCCGCTGACAGAAGCGGAAAGTCATATCAGAATTAGCCTCTGGAAAGCTTTTGGAGTTGTTGATAGACTCTTTGGAGGAAACTGAAGAGACATTTGGACGAACGGAAAGGAATAACAGCTAGACTTTTCTGGATATCATACCATTCCGCTGCATCTTCCCACTGGCATGAAAGACGGGAAACAAGAAATCAGGTCAGACCCTCACTTGAGCGCCTGCGTGAGGTCTTTTGCGAGGTACTTGACGAGGTGCTTGAAGACGTACGACACGGACGTGAAGATCTGCTCCAGGACGTCCGGCTCGCGGTCCGCGCCGCCCTCCAGCAGCCGCAGGCACGCGCCCAGGAACGGGGCCACGAACGGGAGGAAGTCCTCGCGGAGGTCGCGCGAGAGGACGGCGATCAGGCTGCGGAGGACAACGAGTGTGCTCTAAGACTCTGCTTTAGAATTTCAGTTTTTCACGGTTGAAATGTTTGACAACATTACTGCTCAGAATCGGAGGCCGACGTAGGGCAGAAAATGAAGTCGGTAGATGTGAAAGAACAGGGTGGTTTTTGCAAGAAGGAGGGTGTTAGCTTTTAGCTATTCAAGTGTCGAGGACAAAAGGGGTAGTAACTTTCAGCCAGACGGCCTGAAAACGGGCTGAAGACGATCGATTGCTCTTGCAAGGATTGCCGACGGGAAAACCCAACATTAACAAAGGAAAACCGATGCAGCAGGTTTGCGCTTTAGCTTTTGCAATCTGGACACTTCGTTGACACCTCATGAGAGAGAAACAAAACCTGGCCGACTCTGAGTAACGACGTTAAGAGAGGTCTGACAGAAAATCGTCCGAAAAAGCGACACCGGCACAACAGCCTCGCTACGTTTTCGACCTCCAACTGCTGACAGTGCGCATCAGAGAGATTCCCAATGAAGATTTTTCGTCCGCAGTCTCCATAAGGAGTCGGATGTCCCTATCTTCGTTTCATCACTTGCGCACTGTCGCCTCTCATGAGTTCTTTCACGAGAATTGCTCGAGAACCTGAGAATCTCCCAAAAGGCTCCAACGATCCAAATTTGAAAAGTGAACATACGACTCCGAATCCTGCTGAAACAACATCTGCATCTGTAGAACAAGCCTGCCAAGTCAGAACCAACCTCAGAGTCAAGAACAGATAGTGTGATTTGCTATACTGGCCCGTTCCTCTGGCCAAGAGCTGATTCCGGCACCGATCTCCAAAGCAACAACCCGGCAGATGCAGTGTTCACAGTTCTGTGACCCCCCTTCGCTAACCCGTTTGCTGAAGATCTTCTCCACCTGAAAATATCCTCACGTTGAAAGTTCACTCAGCCCTGCCGGTAATCCTGTTACCCCTGAGTGCGCCAGCCCCAAAACAGTTCCGACTCAGAAATTGTCGATCCTAGGAATCCGAACCACTTGGAAGCAGGAGCATCCACAAGTATCATTACTACACAGATCGCTGCGGGGCTCCCAGACTGCTTCCTACACTGACCTGCAGGGCAGGCTTTTGTTGAAATCATACCTGCTTTGCTTCTCTCAGGAGCTGCGACAAATGCAAGCTTGCTATTTCCAACCAGATTTTGCAAGACTCTCCGGACTGACTGACCTCAGGACGGGCTCCAAAGAGAGGAGCGCTCCAATGTGCATCCTGGCGAGCAGGGCTCGAACGACCGTCTTCTTGTGCAGCAGCAGCTGCGGCAGGCTCTGCACCAGCGGGTACACCTCGCCATACAGCAGGTTGAAGTCGGCCGCAGTGTTGAGCTCCTGCAGAATGGGACAATAAAACCGTGTGCATTCTGTCAACTTGGGTGTCTGTTGTAAGAGGAAGACCCCCAGATCTAAGAGTTGAATGACTTGATATTGAGAGGGGGGCCAGGGGTGGCGGAGCATATGATAGAATCTTGCATATATATATGCACCCACTCAGAGACAGGAAGAAGCACGTTGTAAAGCCAGCTCGAGCTCCTTCTCAATCGGTGTCAAACGACTGCTGTCCACCAGCTAAGCCTGTCACTCTCTCAAAACTTAGATCCTAACAACACTCTGAACCCAGTCTGTGCGCTGCATGAAAATTTCCTTCGGCAGTGAATCACTTTTACACCACCACCACCAATATCCACAATACGAGTAAGTCATTTTTAGGAACTTGAATTTCCCCTGAACGCTTCTGATCACCAGGTGATCAGACTGTTCGCATCGCCGCTTCTACATATTCAGTGTGTATGTGTAACTAGGTTGGGCACATATGTCCTGCCACTCACCCTCCATTGCAGCAGATTCTCTTGGAAGAACGATGTCCCGGCGGTCGGTTCAAACTTGACGGGCGCAAGGCTCCGGAACACATCGACGTCGACGCTGGCGACCCGCTGGGCAAAGCTCTTGAACTGCACGAGCGGGGGCAATCGTCTGAGAAGCGACGACAGAAACTTGTACGATGGAGTCCTTCTCTGGTCCTGAAGCAATCTTTGAAAACTAAGGTGGGAATTACAATTGAAAGCATGAAAAGCCAGTGAGGTGGTATGGCCAATGACTGAAATAAGCTCAATAGGGAATGTAATCCTTGATGGTGGTAATATTAGAAACCAAAAGTTAGAGCACAAATTTGCATGCTGCACTGTCCAACTGCATGATTCAACTTTACCAAGAAACTGAGGCTGATGGAATGCAACATCAGAAGTGCCCTGTCAAACAAAGAAACTTCCATGTAGGTATGGTTGAAACCCGCAACGTTTGCGGGCAAAGCTACCACTGCCTCTGTGAACCTTGACAAGAAGAAGCAACCACCACCCTTCAATCATAATAAGCCCTATCGACAAGGAACTTGGTGGTGTTGCAACATGGAATACTGTCAACACCACCAATTCGAGTCACTGCCACCACTACTTTCAAAAATCTCCAGCACCACCATTACCAAAATCTGCCTCACAGTTCCTTCAATCAACCAGTACAGCATGGTGCACCATCAACCGTGACCAATGCTGCGACAAAGTTGGTGGCAAGCTTACCACAAAGCGCTTCGTCCCTGGCCCGGAGTAGGACTTGTTGAGCGACTTGATTTGTCTTCCAGACGCCATCCTTGAGAAAGTTATAGCTCCTGATGCAGCCAAAGAGCGGCCACAATCAACCTCCACCCATTGAGCAGTCTCTTCAAGCTTTCGTCCTGCGCACTTCAGATTTGAGCTTCTGCGTTCACCCCCCCATCAACTTCCACTTCAACTTCAAGCTGGGAGTGGCTGCATGAGATCAGTTTGGAGTCTGAGGCTTCTTAAAAGTTTAGAAGCCTGACATCGAGAGTCAAGGTCTGCCTGAGCATGTCCGGTAACGATTCTTCGTGTATGGGAACGGTTTGCGTCAGGACCTGGGCTACGTACCCATGACTCTGAGCTCATAGAGCTCTGCGATTGAGGTGAAGGCGGACGCAGTTTTGAAGAGAGGCTGGGGCGCTCGAGTGGCAGGTTGATTGGCGCCCGGCACAGTTGATAGGACCTTGTCGCTCTGCATGGGCGCTGGTTTAAGCTGCCATTCTTTGGCGAAGGTGCCTCTAGCACGTGTCTAGCACACGGTTGATTGCTTCGCTTGGAACAAGCACGGCAGTTCCTCGAGAGCGCTGGTCCAGTTGCTCCGCATGCAAGTTAAGCGTGTGATGTGACCCCTTGTGCTGCTGCTTATAGACGACGTGTGTGTAGCGGGAAAGATCTAGCCGGCGTTCATAGGTTGGAGCTTAGGTGCAACACAGACACTGTTTCATAGAGAGAGATCTGCACTTACCGAGGGGCGGGCTGATTGTTTGCGCAAATATTAGAGATTTTTGGTCGTTACCAGCAGTGGTCAGCAGCGGAAACAAGGGTCATTCAGCTCAGCCAGCTATGTCTGGGGTGGATCACGGGCGGGAGCCTTGCCCCGACCGGATCTTGGATGACATCGGCGGTGCGTTTTCCATGGGTGCCATCGGGGGCTCAGCATGGCATTTTATCAAGGGAATGAAGAACTCGCCCAAGGGGGAGCGCTTCCTTGGCGGGACTCAGGCGGTGCGGCTGAACGCGCCCCGGATAGGCGGGAGCTTTGCGGTGTGGGGGGGGCTATTCTCTACTTTCGATTGCTCGATGATCTACCTCAGGTAATCGGACTTTCCTCTGTTCGCTGTCGTAATAAAACCCTACTCTTCAGTCAGGGGGCTTTGGCTGAGAAGGTCCCTGTAGTTTTTCCCCCCCTCGCGCGAAGATTTGTTTCAAGCAATTCTTTGCACACCTCCGTTTGAGCGGCGACTTGCTGTATCGTGACAACATCATGCAGGTGAATCCGACAGTGTGGTGTCTAGCACTCCGATAGTGTGATATAGCACTAGCGATGCGCTATCTCCGTCCGTTGAGGCGGATGCTTTTTGCAAATAGTTCTCTGTCTCGGAGCTATCCCAATGTTCTGGGCCTTACCCTTTCTGATTTGTGCAGGGGTAAAGAGGATCCATGGAACAGCATTGCAGCCGGAGCAGCAACTGGTGGGTTCCTGACACTGAGACAGGGGATGAGGGCCAGTGCCAAAAGCGCAGCTTTCGGGGGCGTCCTTCTGGCCCTGATCGAGGGGGCAGGGATCATGTTGAACCGCATGACGGCGAACATGGCGCAGCCTCCGCCTGAGCCTCAGCTAGCTGGCGTGGGGGGCCCAGCCATTCCCGGGGGCTATAGAGCACCCGCCACTACTTACCAGCCCGCCGCAGCAACCCCGTCCTACTACCAGACCACCCCCAGCCCTGCCCAGCCCTATCAAGGTCAAACTCAGACACCCCCCTCAGCCGCCGGTCCGGAGCAGAGCACGGGGTCTTGGTTCGGGGGCTTGTTTGGAGGTAGTGCAAAGAAGGAGACGGAGGAGAAGAGCCCGTTCAGCTTTGACACGGCGCCGCCACCCATGCCGCCAGAGTTTGCGGGAGATGATAGCAGATTTAAGTAAGTGATCTGAGGCATGGATATTGAGATGCCAAGTAGACGGGGCAGTGCCGAGGGCCTTGCAACGTACGAGATACTCTTGAAGCATGAGTGCACGAGGTAATGTAGTCGCTTGCTTGGGGCTCTGGCTGACGATGAATATCCACTTTTGGCATGTGCTGTTGCTAAACCGAGGGCATCTTTAGCATCGACCTTTCCGAACGCGGAAAGTGGTGGATTATGAAGTACTGGTCTGGTTGTTGAGTCGTGCTTGGTCTGTCTGTGCTATCATCACTTGGCAAGCAAAACATTGACGGCTTTTTCAGGCAAGCAGAACATTGACGGCTTTTAAATGCACATCCGACTACTATCACCATCTTCTTTTCATTCGGATACTAGGTTTCATATGGACGAGTTGTGACATGCTAGGCGTGTCTTCATGATTTGATAGTCTTGAATGTGAGTGCATTGACTTGGAGAACTTTAAATGCCCTACTTGGCAAAATGTTTTTGTGTTGCCACGCGCTGGCCATGCTTCGCTCGAAGTCCTCCAGCGCATGTGGTACGGTACACAAGACTGTGCTCATTATAGAACCTTTTCTGTCTTGTTGTGACGAAGACATCTTGATTCTACGATCCTGACCCGAAGCATTGACACAGCTAGATAAGCATGAAAAGATACCAAAGATAGTCGAAACAATGCCAGCATGCATACTTAGGGACCGTCACCAGAGAGTGTAGACCCATTCAGTTCTAATGGACATGGAACATGATACCTATGCGTACGCGCTCGTCCTGTGACTCACTGAACATTGTGCAAGAAGAGCAAATACAAAGTGCATGGTGGACAATACGAACAAGCTTCTCCCTGCCTGCTCGCTGCCTCGAAAAAGGGAATTTTTCTTTGGCGCTCATGCATTCATGAGCGCAGCTCACTAATCAGATCACATGTCAGGGTTTCTTCAAACAAGGCCTGGTCTTGGCGACGTTCTTGTGACACTTCTCCTACAATTCGTGCCTATCGCCCGGCCAGGTTGTCAGTTAGTGTCCAAACTAGGCGCTCTAAAAACTCACGCCGCGCCAACCCGAGCTGACTCTTGCCAGAGCTCGCTTCAAGGTGCGAGAGACAGACTGTTCTGCAAGCCGTTCTGCAAGCATTCCAGTTAGTGTTCAATCTAGGTAAGCTGCACCAAGCAGAAAGCAAGTCGCTATTGGGGCCAGCCACAGGTGCACTGTGTAGAGCTTGGGCGGCCATATTTGACGGCAGGCACCATTGTACGGGGTAAGATCCTGGAATATTGCACGGGGTAAGATTCGGGAATTTGGCCCAAGAAGGTGAAACAGCTTTACACGATGGGGGCCGCCCAGAAGCTGATGGGGACGGCGGCGCAGCAAGCAAAGCGGGCGGAGATTAGCCTTATCAAGGAGATTGGGTATGGCTTGTTAATCGGTATTGCGTGTAAGTTTGCGGCAATCATACGCTCTTCCCTGCATTCCTCGTCAGATTTGCACCGCGCCGACTTTATCAGAGCTCAATGATTCCCTCGTTTTGCCTTGTTTGTTTGAGTGTTTGATCGGGGTACAAAGTGAAGTCGGACTGGAAGTCGGTTTTATCAGCTGCACCAAGCGGCTAATTCAAAAAGACACGGTGACACGTCGCAGTAGAGTATATCTGGGTTCGCTCAGTCCGCTATGGACGATTACTTGGAAGCAGACTTGATTTTCGTGTTAGTGTGAGGAGTAGTTTCCTCAGTTGCAATTCAGGAGGGCATTGCCATTGCGCAAAGTAGGTCAGTACACCCACATCATGCAACTTAGCCAATTGATCTTTGAGGCAGTTTCGAATGCACCTTACTGGAATCGCCAAGTGTGGATGGAACAAGGATTGGAGAGATCCAGAAATGGATCCAGCGGGAGTTGGAAAGATTAGGGTTTGCTGAAGGGAGACTTTTAGAGCCCGGTGGATTTTGAGTAGGATCGTCTGGTTCTAATAATTTGGAGGTCATTCTCTAGAAGCAGGCTCAATCACAAGTTCTTGAAAGCTTGGGTAGTATGAGGTGGTCAAGGTGTCCGAAGGAAGCTTAGAACCGCAGATGCTAGATAAGTCCATCACATTTTAGATTAGTGCTTGCGTATGTCATTGCTTCATTCTACAGGTTTGCAGGTTACATACTCTGTCTGCGATCCATTGGCCGCTGTCATGTAACAGCCTGCTAAGAGTTGAGCATGCCCGGCCCTTGTTAGTGGCACAATATTCCAGATTACAGTAGATGTCTTTTGTGTAATGCTATAAGATGCTGCAAGCTATACCTGTTGGTTACTTGCGCGGTCGCTTGGATATGAAAGGCTAACTGTCTCCATCTAATTCAGGTGGGGCCGTTTGGAAGGTGAATCACTGGAACGAGCGGAGAAAGGTCGAGGAGTTTTATGCAAACCTTGAGGCAGGCAAGATTACCACCGTGAAAGAGGAGTCATAGCAGAGGTAAGAACCTTGCCCAAATAATATCCCCATATCCTTCATTATATAGCAGATGTGAGCATCACTAACGCAGCACAGATATGGTTCTATCTTGCAAACTTCCGCGGAGCTCGTATCTTGTCTCGTATGAAGTTTGACGAGCACGGCGGATTTGTTCGAGTCGAGTCGCTGCGCTATGCAACGGGTAACACAAACCTTCAAAAAGTATGGTTCTCTCACCATTTGTCAGTATGCAATATCTTGATCATTGATCTGGCATGTGCCTTGCAGATTACACATGGATTCAGATCAAGCCCCGTTTTATAGAGGAACTTCAGATGGCTTCTTTAGTGATAGAAGATGGAAGACGTATAACAGGTTGTGAGATGGTGATGACTCAGTTCGTCATAAGCACACAAAAAGGTGTGTTAGAAGTGCCGTCTGTGCTTCTACACAAACAAGCAAGCAAGTCCATCCTTTCAAGCTTTCCTTAAGTTGACAGTTGGGAAACAAATACGGGCGTTTCATCGGTCACTTGAGCCCCTGAGCTTTCCAAGCGTCCCGCTTTTCGGACCTACTACTCAGTGAGGTCAATGCAATCATGTCAAGTCCAATACTGAGCTGGAAGCCTAAGGAAGAGCAAAGCAGGATTGCAAACCAGCTCTTGGCATGGTCAGTCAAGTTCATGTGTGCTCTTATCAGGGCCATAGAAATCCTTAAACATGCCCACATGCATGAAATGTAGCATGTGCAGTTGCACCTTTTCGCAGTCAGGTGCAGACATGATCATGCTCGCGTGATTTCGCCGCGCTGCCGCCAGCCGCCATAGCTGGCGTATAGCCTGTCCTGAGCTACATCTGAGTACTATGTACATGCCGCGATGTAAGATCACAACCAGTCGATTATCTTTATGCAGTTGCAAACATGTACTACTAATCCGGGCCTGCAAAAATTTATATGGTGCATGCATGCTAGATTGATCCAATTCATGCGACACCGTACATATCATTGCGGCACAGTATTCAAGCTCTGCATGCTTCAAGGCAGACGACTGTTGTGTCTTAATCCTAGCTTTCTTCGCGCCATGAATCTGGCTGGCTGGACTGACCAGCAAGTTGCATCCGATGCATCCGATAATCATGTGCCAATCGTGTAAGCTGGGACTGCCACGTAGTAAATAATATGCATATAATCTTAAGCTGGTCGCATCTGGTAATATTATTTTGACGGTTTATTGACAACGATGCCATGATGCATATGTATGTTTGCTGAACTCTACGGCTCTTGAAGTGCCGGTGATCATGAGTAATATATCCAACACGTACGCAGTCGTGAGTGTTGTTGAAGCGCCTTCTACAGGTTTACGGATGGCGGAAGTCTCGGAGATGGTCTGGATTTTTCCTGCACGGTCGACGAAGTAACGTAAGGCCAGTGCAACCTAGACGTGCGGATTTCTTGAAAAGGTAAAAGAGGACTTACCGCATTTGATTGAGCGATGGAAATACAGACTGAAGAATGGCCGCAGCGGGGTAAATGCAATGATCTAAGTCACCTCTCATGCATCGAACTTCGACGAATCTTTTCATCCTCAAGATTCGCTCACAAAGTCACGTGTCCTTGTCTTCAACAAACACAACGCTTCCGTTGCCTTCCGTCTCGAATCCAAGCGAAAAACGGAGGCAGACAATCTGGCCCTGCCTTTTGCAAAGCAGAGCAGACGGCACGCGCCTTCCCAAGAAACGGCCTCTAGTCAGAACCAGCCAGGATATTTATTAAGTATTGACACTGTCTTTATGTTGAGAGACGGACAACTCAATACAGAAATAGCAAGCCCAGAAGCACCTTGAGGACAAAGCAAGTAGAAACCGGCTTACTGCGAATCAATCGTCTCCTCAAAAATAGATGAGTGGAGACCTTGTGGCCTCTGCACATCACGTACCTGTAACACTTGCCGCCGTACTTGCACATCGGCCGCGTATCTGTGGCGGCCTGCTTTCCCTTCGGCTTCCGCTTTGGCGCATTTGGATCCTCCTCATCCTGCACCACGTGATACGCCTTGATTAGAGCTCACTCCCAGTCAGCTTCCGAAAGTCCGTTCTTGTACGTACCGCTCTCTTATATTCTGCTCATCTGGAACCCGCCTCGTAAACTCCGCTTTTTTGCACCCTGCTTTTTGCGCTTCGCCCCTCCGTGGGTCAGCTCGCTTGGAATCCAATTCGTTTCGTCTCTTACTCTCTGCTCTCTTACGATCACCTACTGAATGTCGCTGGCTGATCCTGATGCTCCATCGCATCTAGCTGAAACACGTACACTCACGAGCACAGACCAGCATCCCGCCCCTCTACGGACACTGAATTTTTTTCGATGCTCGCCATGCTCAGATTGTCAAACCACTTGACTAGGTTGGGAGATGAAAGTCTCTCGAAATTACTCACAAAAAATAGATAAATATAGCTCAGAGGCTCAATAAATCGGTAATCAAGAGCTTGAATCAAAAGGGTGATGGCGCCACCTATTAAGAAACTTCAGGGGACTGTCTTCGAGAAGGTAGAGACGAAAACAGTGGTTTGGCCATGCACGAATCTGGAGCAGAGTCGAATACTTTAATTGCAAAATGTGCGGGTCAGCACAGATTGAAAACCGCCCAAAACGAACTCATTCTTACTTCCCACTCCTCTTCCTCGTCTTCGTCGCTCGCCTCCTCCTCCTGCTCCTCTTCTTCATCCACGATGAAATCCAGATCCTCAGCGGTTGGCTCGTCCTCTCCAGACTCCTCTTCGCTCTCGCTCTCCTTCCTCCCTTTCCGTCCGCCCGTCTTTTCCGCCGAAGCGGGCGCCTTCCTCCCTGCTCCGCCTTTACCCTTCGGCGCCTCCTCTTTCTTCCCACTCGACTTGGCCCCTTTCGCACTTCTCCTTCCCCCGCTTCTTCCTCTCGCAGAAGTCCCCTCGTCCTCAGATCCCCCCTCGTCCTGAACTTTGTCTGCAACTTCCTTTGCCTTTCTCGACTTCGCACTTTTTGCACTTTTCTCTTTCTCTCCCCTCCATCTCCGACTGAGTTCTTTGTCCTCAGACTCATCAGCGACCTGCTTTCTCCGGCCCCTTGACCGGTCGTGCGACCTTGTTGCGACAGCTGGCGCCCGCCCCGAACCCCTCAGACCCTTCTCCACTTCTTCGACCTCCTCCGCTTCTTCTTCCGAATCGCCCGTCCACTCATCCTCATCGTCTTCCCCCTTTTTACTCCTCTCCCTCGCCGCGCTTTTCCGGGGGCCTGCTTTTGCGCCTCCCCGCGCCCCCCCTCGAGGCGCTCCCCCCCCCTTTTCTTGCTCTTCCTCGTCGAATGGTTCTTCGTCCGAGTCGTCTTCCTTTTTGGACGGCCCGATCTGCCAGGTCCAAGGACGCGTGTTGTGGGCCTTCTTCTGGTCGTACTGGTCGAACTCCTCGCCTTCAACAAGAAGGCCGTATTCTGCAACCACAAACGTCTCCGTCAAGGTCTTTTTCTCCGCCATTCCCTGAGCACACATTTCCGGGGGTTTCACTTACCGCTTCTCGGCCGCCTCGGTCGACATAAGAATCTTGGATCATGAGCTCCGTAGATGCAGATTCCATGGTTCTCTGCAATTCTATATTCGCGTTCTGCGAACTCGGAACTCTTCGAAGATCAGTTCTGAAAGCAATGGTGAAGCGATCGATTCATCAACTTAGAAAGGCTGCCACTCAAACCGAACTCTTTCTAATCGACCGGGGGACCCCCATCTGAAATTGTTCTGGACGTCCAAACCGGATAGTCCAAAGCATCACGTTGCTTTTAAATCCAGGAAGTCCAGAGCATTGCGTTCTTGCCGAAAGGGACTAGCTGTCAAACGGACTTCGAGAAGCGCCAGCACGGTTGATTTGAGAAAGCTTCCTACATCGACTCGTTTCCCAATTTACTCCCGGACGGACAGGAAGTCTCGCTGGCTCCGCAACATCTCACGTTCTACTTCATATCAGCGGTAAATGCAGTATGGCCTTTCAGCTAAACGTGCTCAGAGCAGCGAAAACCAAGAAGAGGACAGACATTCTTGGTGGAGCAAAGGATCTGAAAGTCTGTAGTCCTCAGACGGGAACGTAACCACGTCCTGCGGATGTTTGCGCTTGCCTTTGATTGGGTCAAACGCAGCCGGCGGCCCCGCTTCTTGCTGGCCCACTCCAGATCTCCGCCCCCGCTTCGAGTCTGGAGGCGTGCCCTCATCAGCACCTCTCTCCCTGTCGCCATCCTCGTCGCCACCCAAGTCTAGTTCCTTATCCCGTTTACCTTTCCGCACATCCGACTTCTGTACTGCGCTCCCAACTGCCCGCATATCTGCCATCCTACCAACGTCCTCAACTTTCTGCTCTCGTCTTCGCTTGCCGTCACCTTGCACGCCAATCTCGTTCCCCTCTCCTCGCCCTCTCTTGCTTCCCGCCTTTCCCCCATACTTCGACGAGTGTCCGCTGGCTGCCTTTTCATCGTTGGGCTCTTCCTCGTACGCCCCCTCTTCCGTGCCCACCGCCCCTGTAGCATGCTCTTCTTCCCCCTCTTCCCCTCCTCGGTCTCTACGCTTTCTCTCTCCATGCTTTGTCGACCCTTCCATCGCTTCTTGCACCCTCCCTGACAGCCCTCTCTTCTCGGGGGCCCTCACTGTGTAAAAACAAGGCTTCACTATCGACAGTGAGACTCGGTCTCCAGGGTCCAGCCAGCACCCCTCCCCCTGCTCCAGAAACCTCACCTCCGTCTTCCCCCCCACCCCTTTCTCCTTACTTTCCACCTCCCCTTGGAGCAAAACGCAAATTGGGTTTGGCCCCAGTGCCTCCACTCTAACCCTGTGCTTCTTTCCCCCCTTTCCGGAACCCCCTCTGAGCGGAGCCTTTTCCCACCAGTTGTCAGGGGGAGGCGCATCGTCTTCCTCAGTGAAGACCTCCTCTGCTTTTATGGAAGCTTGGTTCTTGGCGATGGTGCGGTCTTCGGTGGAGATCCCGGAGCCCCGCCCAATCAACTTCAGGGAGGAGAGGGGCAATTGGACGAGGGTGCCGTCGTCCCCAACAATCTCCATGGCCACTGTCGATCAGCAGTCTGCAAGACCGAAGGCAAGGGGTTAACAGGAAGGGGCATAGAGAAGTCGGGCATGGAGAAGGTGTTGCAAAAAGTATTTGCTCGGAGGCTAGCCTATGGCCCATTCAGGGGGTCCTTCTGATGAAACATAGTTGATTGCAGCTTTGTGAAAGATTTGGATGCTGCGAAGCACTGTGTACCAGAGTTGTTTGGTATGAGGCTGATCCAAAAGGAAGGGTGTCCAAAGAGGACGGAGCGAAACTCAGCGAGTTCTACATTCGAGCCATCTTTTCAGAAGCAGATGCTCGATCCTTGGAACCTTCCAGAAGGTAGCACTGAAACTAAAAGGCATCTTCAGATATAAGACGGAGGGTGAGGCCCACCCCGTTGGGTCTGCCAGGACTTGTGCAGGAAGAAGCTAACGGTCGAACAAGCTGATTCAAGGGAAAGAAGGGTTGCTTACACTTAGAACAACCACTTCTTAAAATCCTGCTTGCAAAAAGTGGTTACAAAGTGCAGCTTGGTCGGCAGACCCTCCCTGCCCCAGTTTTTCGATGAGCCCAAAGGCCCCTTGATTCCTGACACTCCTTCGCAATGAGACACCGCCGCTATCAGATTCACAGTGAACAACTGTGCCTTCGTCTGAAAATGCATCCAAGCGGGATACTTTTAGTCCATTGAGTCAAATGAAGAGCAAGACACAGCTTCAACACTGCGAGAAAACTTCTAATGCTGCCTCTCAGCCTTTTCTTACTGGGGCAACGCGAACCACTGGAATATGGATTCCAGCTCACCACTTATTGCACACTGCGGCTGGACAGCTCCGCCCTGAATCCTGCGCATTACTGTGTGTGGACTCTGGAGCTCCTCCTCAGCCTGCTCTGCACAGCTCGCATGCATGCTCGACTTTCCTTCCTTGTGAGGCTCAGCTAAAAAACTCGGTCCTTAATTTTCAAAAATACACATAAGTACTGGATTTCAGCTCAAATTGGGAAAACCTGGGGTTTCAACCGGCTGCCGGCGCGCTTAAATCGAGAACCGGCGGCTCTCGCCACCGCCGGTGACGCTGTTCTAGCTTGGTTCTGCCCTGGTTCTGCCGTCTTTAGCAACCGTCGACTCTCGTTCATGCAAGTTGCAGACCTCGGGACGAGGGCCCGCGGGATTTTATCGTCAAATTCCCGCGGGCCCTCGTGTCCACACGAATTTTGTTGATCTCAACATTGTCAATGCTGAGCAGCCAAAGTTGTCACTGTCAGCCGCCAGCAGGCAGCTCCGACAATGCCAATGGTGTGCGTGTGAATTGGAGCTCCATCCTCAGTCCATGATTCTGTTGCTTTGATTTTGCTCTGATCTGAGCTACCCCTAGCTTGAACCGCAACCTTGAAGCCATGTCTCTGATCGCGTGTTGTGTCCCAGCCTCTTGAAGTTCTTTCTAGTTCCACCAACCCTTTGTTCTAGCACAATCTCAGCACAATAAGCTGTCATGTTCTTTCCTGTCAATGTGGCGAACGTGGCTTGCCTGTGGGGATCTTCTGGCTGCTTAGAAATTCTCTCTGGCTGGTGCGCTGTCGAGATTATGCGCTGCTAATTGAATGGAACAGTATCCTTGGGCCTCATCAAGCTACATAGTTGATGCTGCAAAAGTAGAGCAATGGCTGGCGACGCTGCGGCAGCAGATGGTGCAGCGGCAGTCACATTTGTGGGAGCAGTGGCCCTGTTGCTCGGTGTGGTCACCTTGAAACTGCAAATGTGGCTGCCACTCCCATATACGGCCCTCTTATTGGTAAGCACAATATGCCTTCTGGATGGCCTTCACATAGGTACGTACTTGCCAGTCAGCTGCGGTGCAATTGAGAGGCTGAAATGGTATCTCATAGACTGTACCTGCTGATGTTACTGAAGTGAGCTGAACTTGCAACCTGCAAATGCTCTTCGTCCACCTGGAATATATTAGAAGAAGGCCTATCAAAGATCCTCTCGTTGAGAGACAGTGCCAGAGACTTGAGTTAATGCTGCTAGGTTGTCCAGCTTCACCAACGCCAACCACTAACAAACAGTCAAGCAACAGGGGTTTGTTCTTCAGCCTTACTCATAGTATCCATGTGACAGCTCGTTGTGCGTTCTCTCCTGTAGATCTGGGGCCTGGTCCTTGGCATCTGCAACGAGACATTCACTAGCGGCTGGGGTGTCTACGGCGAAGGCGTCACAAGTTGGCGGGTAGGCATCTGTTTCCAAAGTATTCCCTTCACTGCCGCTTACATCGAGGGGGGTCCAGCCTCTTAAAGGTCAATCTTCTCTGGTTCCGTTGCTGACGTTCTTGTTCATCCCAGGCACGTTTCTGAGTGTGGGAGAACTATACAACGAGTCACTGTGGTTTACCCAAAACTTAACGCTGCGTGTCCTGCAGAACATCCCCCCTCACTTCATCCTCAGCGTTCTCCTCCCTGGCATCTTGTTTGGCGCCACCTTCGCAATGCCCAAGGCTGTGCTGCGGCGCAGCTTCCCGCACATCCTCTTACTGGGCGTCCTTGGCGTTCTCATGGGGATTGTCCTGACTGCCGTGTTTGCTCGCTACGTCCTTCCCTACGATTGGACCTGGCACGAGTGCCTGCTCTTCGGCTCAGTGCTGTCGGCAACGGACCCAGTCGCTGTTGTGGCTGTACTCAAGGAGGTGAGCAAGCGGTGCCTCTAGTCTTCTTTGAACAGAGTTCGTACAAGAGCCAGGTATGGCTGCTGACGATTAGGCCTTCTTGTTGTTAGGACATTGCATTGATTCACAAGCTTGTCAGGCTCCGCAATTGCGTAGAAGACTGGTCCTTATCACCTCAGCGGGATCTGTGTGTTATTCGGTGTTAATCCGCCACTAAGCCTCTCTTCGCGTTAGCTAGTCTTGGAATCCTCACTTGTTCGCATGTGCCTCTCCAACCTGTTTGCATGTGGAGTTTCAAGCCTGGAAGTCGATTGAAGCATCGAAGTTTGTTCGCTCTTTCCTGATACATCAGGCGAAGTAAAGAGAACCGGTATGCTTCCAGCGTGCAGCTTCGGGTACCGGATGAGTTGACCGTCGTGGTGGACGGCGAAGCGCTTGTCGATGACGGCGTGGCTGCGGTTATGTACATCGTGTGCACTGTGAGTGCGGCTTTGCCCTCTTCCCTGAATACAAAGACGGCGATACGCGAGATTGCATCCCGCTCTCAATCCCGGTTCGAGTGCTTCGTTGCCTTTCGTCGCGTGTCGTTGCTTCGTGAGCTGAAGTCATCATCTCGCTGTTCATACTTCCTGCTCAGGTCATTGATTATCTTCGTGAACCCTGGCCAATACTACGATTATCAGTACTGGACAGAAAACGATTGGTCAATTTGCAGGGCCTCGTACAAGGAAACGGCACAACTGCGGGCGCTATTGTGCGCACGCTCTGCCGCCAGTCGCTTGCCGGCCCCGCTATCGGGCTCGCCTTTGGGCTGCTCTTGGTATTCGGAATCGATTACTGGCCCGCCGACGGATACATCACGGAGCTCGGCCTGACTTTGGCGGCGAGCTTTGGGGCGTTCACGCTTGCAGAAGACGTTCTGCAGAGCAATGGCATCTTGTGTGTGGTTACGTGCGGCTTCGTGTACGCATTGCTCGCGAAGCGGGAAGAGAGCGCGGCAAAGGCGCTGGAGTCCTTTTGGTGAGCTTTGAGTCACCTCCATACTTTCAAATTGTGTTCGTATCTGCACAGCAAGTCCGAATGTTTCACTCCGTCGCTGCTTCGAGAGCAGGGTCTCAGCGCATCTATGCCACGTGTACTATGAGGCACCGAAGAACAGCGTCGCGTCAGGAAGCTCTTATTCTAGATTCGGCCTTCCGTGCGCTCTCCCGTTCCTATATCCAGAAGATTTTCGCACCATCTGTTAGGGCAGCCTAATCAAGCAAGAATTTGCGGATTGAGCGAAGTACACACGGTACTATCACCGCGAATGGCTTCCCGCCGATGGACGGCCGCTTAGACAGCTTCTCAAACGAACGTGAGAACGCGTCCTTTGCTCATGGTGATTTTGCTTCTTCTCTGCCTTTCAGGTCTTCGTTAGAGTGGTGCCTCAACACGTTGCTGTTCGTGTTGATCGGTGTCGTGGTGGCGGGGCGGACATACGAGGGGCATGATGTGTTGCCAGGCAATGACAACATCGATTTGAGCGACTATGGTTTCGCGGTGTTGCTGTGGCTGGCCTTGCTGGTAAGCACGCATGCCGCGCGCTTTGGATGCCCATCTATTCGACTACGCTTTCGACGAGCGGCCTTCACCAACGACTCTAAGCGCGAAGTGCTGTTTAAAGCTTGTAAGCTGACTTCGCAGAAGTTCTTCACCGTCGTAGTGGGGTGATAGACAGCAGAAGCACAGGGAGAACACAGTCTTCCAAAAACTTGACTTCGAAGCAATGAAGAACAACTTGCACGTCAAGATTCCAATCCAACGTTCGGGCCGTCCTCGCAGGGCAGTTGATCAGAAAGCCACTAATGTTAATCTCAATGACATCGGGGTCCCACTGAGAAGTACGTTAAAACTGCCGGCCTTGGAGCACACTCCGCACGTTCGATGCCTTTCTAGACAATGAGCCGCCGTTGCAGTCTGAACCATAGTGCAAGCCCGGTGATCACCTGGGAGCCGTCTTGCCAATTTTTCTGATCTATCTTCCGCAGGTAGTCCGGACGATTGATGTAGCACTCCTTTGGCCCTTGCTCGCGCACACCGGACATGGTTTCTCTATAAAAGGCGCTCTGGTAACCATATGGAGTGGGCTCAGGGGAGTCGTCGGTGTCGCACTCGCGTTGCTGGTCTTCTTAGACCCGGCTATTTCTAACGAGGGGTATAAACTGCGGGTGCTTTTCTTTATGGGTTCCACGGTCTGCCTGACCGTGCTCGTGCAAGGCAGTTTGATCACACCACTCCTCAAGGTGAGTTTATTTCATTGACTCTCCGTTTTAGGAGTATGGTGATGGAAGGATCGAGCACGGATATGCTCAGTCTTTGGAGTTGGTGGAGACTCCTCACATCTTTTTGTGTGGAACTTCTCCTATCTTCGTCTCTGTTTTCCATTCTAAGTTGCAATTGCGAGTGAAACGCTTTGGCGCTGATGTCGGTCGGCTACCAAGACGTCAATCCATGATGTTTCTGTGCAACGTCTTTCCATGTGTATGTTGTGCAGCATAAATCAATGGGAATGTTGTGCAGGTACTGCAATTGGTAGACACCACCGGAAGTTTCCCAGGCGCCCAAACCCCTTCAGATGAGTCAGGTCGGTCTGTGACCCGAAGTACCGAGTTGACGGCAATCACGTTGCAGCCGAAGCAAGAATTGCGTTGACAAGCCTCTACAAAGGTGGTTAAACATAGTTATCCGAGGGTTTCCGCTTTCTAGGTCTGGTTGGCGCACGCATAAGTAGAAGGTCGTGACTCTGCGAGTTTGTTGAATCACTGATTGCTGCTGCTTGACTTTTTTGCATGAGAAGCAAAGTGACTTTTTTTAAGTCAAATCGCTCAAAAGTGCCGCATGTTCTGGCTTCAGCCTTACAGTAAGTTTGCAGTTTTGATGTGTGGATGCAGCCGTGTGCAACATTTGTCTTGTACTCTGATGCTTTGCAAGTTGTGCAGCATGCAAGTCGGTAGTCATGCACCATCGAATCCATATGCATCAGATACCATGATGTTATAAATCTTTTGCTCAATTGCTACACGAAATTGGATCATGCTCTCCGGGCATACGTTACACGAACTTCTTCATGCATGTGTATACCGGTATATTTCATGACGTCAAGGAGCTCTCAAGCCTTGAGATTGTGACTGACGGCATCACAGGCTGGGGTCCTGGAACTGGGACGCATGCGGAGATGCGGTGCTGGAGCAAGCACCCCTCTGGAGTCTGGACGAGCAAGATTTGAAGCAGACTGGCGCACATGTGCGCTGGTTATCCAATCAGAATGGCTGACCTTGTACGACGTGTTCCACGTGGACTCCTCTGAACGAATCACAATCGAGCCTCGGCTCGAGCGTTGCACTGAACATTTCAAATCTTCCGGGTGGCCTGCTTGCTGCTCACAATTGCTGAATTGTGATTGACAAAGCATGCAGACCCAGGTCCAGGACTGGGATGCAGGAGGTACTTTGCACGTCCTCTGAGACGATATTTTGCCAATGCTACCCTTAGCGACCAATTGTGCACGATGTTGCAGCTTGCAAGGCTGGTTTGATTCAGCGCTGGTGGACGGTTGCGGGCGGTGTTGGCCTGTGAAAGGCACATCAGGCACTTTCCGTTTTGACTGGACCACAAGTCTGGGGAGCAGGGCGGACGAGACAAGATGGTATGCTTTCACTTGTCCGAAGTTCTTGCTGGAGTAGCTCTTGAGTGTTCACTGCGATCCCTTCAAATCAGCAACTTTTAGCAAAAACAGCATAAATCACGGCTGTCTTGTCTGGAATCCAGACACTCAAGTGCAGTGCAGAAAGCATTTGCCTGTGTTTGGGGCTCTCGCATGCAACTCAAAGACCTTGAGGCAGCATCGGGTCATTGTGGCCCTATGCCTTCATGGTTCACCTTTCAATTTGAAGGGGACACTTTCAATCACATTTCTGACTTGAGAGGGCACTTGCTTGATCACTGTAACTTGTAAAACATTGGCTGCTCTTACACACCAGCTACCTTCAGGAGCGTGGCGTCTAAAAATTAGTGTCGCGCCTACGAATCGCTGAAGCATACTGGGGTACCCCCTCAAGTTGCTCCTCATTTGGTTTAGTTGAAAGCTTGGCCAAGACGGCCACGGATCGTCACAAGAGTCCGTTGGACACCTGTCCTATTGGTCACCCTTCTCTCAAGCATGCCCCATTTTAAACCATGCCCTCAGCCACCTCTATCTCAATCATGCCCCAACTGGCATCCTACGCTCTGCTTATCAGCGCAGCTGGACCGATTGCTTTGGTGACTCACTGCAAATCCCATTCCGCTGCAGGCGGAGGAGTCAAAGTCCACGCTTTCGACATTCCTTGATATGCTCCGTGAGGGCAGGTCATTGGACGCGGCTCAGCAGTTTGGCGAGCTCGTTGGTCTGGTGTGCCCCTCTGGGATGCGCATGACGGAGCAACAGGAGCAGGCGCTGCAGCTGAAACCCACCCCACCCTACAAGAAGGTGCGCTGATGTCATCAATCCACCCCGCAAAGGATTCTGGAAGATGTATCGTGGTGCTTCACGTCTGGCATGACTTAGGAGGGCGTTGAAGAAGGCTTTAGTTTGAGAGTGCTCTGGGTTCCTGCTGACATGTACAGGGGTGTTTTCAGAACGTGTGGTGGAAATTAGATCAGAATCGAGTGCTTGAGTTCTGAACCTCCGTAATGGGTTGAGGCCACAGATTGGATGTAGAGTGATTGTCATGACCACGATAACCACGTCTATAAATGGGCACAAAACATATTCTTGGGATCTGCTGTAGCACCGCTTCACAATTCCCTTCTCTGGGTGTATTTGTGGCGCAATGTCCTGCTCCACTTTGGTTGGTTCCCTAATTGGGCTTGTGTTTATCCCTTTGGAACGCTGCCAGCAAACATGCCTAAGAATCACAGTATCTGGTGCCTTCTTTCCCTTTGGTTTACCCCTTGGTTCAGAAAAGTCCATTCCGGAGAAAGCAACCTTTGAACCCTCAAAATCGACCTGTTTCATCAGCTTGAGGATATCAAAGCACCGCAACAAACTCACAACTTCGATTCCAGTTGCGGAAGCTGACGGAAAGCAGAGACGTCGTGGAGGGTCTTTTGTCCATCCTTAGCCACGACGGCGAGGCGGCTTACCTGCTGCTCGACTCCATCTGCCTTCTTTCAAGTGCTCCTGGCTTCGCAACTCGGGTAAGAGACTTGGTTCTCACGGCGGAGCGCTGAAGCCGCCTTTGGACGCCTGGATCATACTCTTAATGCCATCTGACGGCTTTCTCTTAGCTTCACTCAGTTCCGGACGTTCTTCTCAGTCTTTGATTGAAGCGTAAGGTGAATATATACAGCAGACAGGAAACATGTTTCCTATGACAGGCAGCTGGACGAACGAGCTCTTCTTTCACGAAGTTGTTATACGTCGATCCAGATACCTCTTGGTGTCTTCAGCAGTACTGTAACATTTGAAGACCCGTGATGCAGAGGATAATCTGACGGCCTCGTGATATTGCTAGAGTACAAAGAGCGCCCAACAGGATCAGGCGTTCTGTTCTGTTTGTTGGAAGGTTTAAGCTTTACCCTGTTTCCAGCGATGGGTAAACAGTGGGACGCCATGTGGCAACCGAACGGTCTTGTCAAGCTTCTCGCGTTAAATCTTGCTGTAACGGTGACACTGAGAAAAGCAACGAAAAAGGCACCCTTGGTTTCTCTGTCCTCTCTTTCCTTTCTTTGTTTCTTTTCCTGATCTCACACCAACTCATCAAGGAGGATAGGTTCTGACCAATAGAATCGACGTTCATCCTTCGCTGGCCGTTCTTCTGACCAATGTATTGAGCATTCCTAGCTCGTCCACATCCCGCAGATTGGTGACTGCGGTCTGGCTGCCGCCCTCCTCGCTTGCGGCGGCTGGCTCTTCCCCCGCACTAGTTCTTCCCTCCAAAGCCCCGACCCGCGGCGAGCGCCCCCGCTCAGCCCCCTTGACGAAAAGCTCCTGCGAGCCGCAGGGGCCTTTGTGAAAAGCGTGACGCTTTGTGTGGACCGCAGCAAGCAATTTTACGAAGAGGCGCTGGAGTTGGGCCTGTTGGACGCGATCATGGCCTTTTTCCCGTGGGGGGATCCCCCTCGGGGCCGGCGCAACGCCGAGCGCAATACCTTCGTTCTTCTCCTGGCTAAACACGTCGCGAAAGCGTTCAGGGGATTCGTCGATGAGCCCGGCAAGGAGCAGCGGCTGATTGGTTGTAACGCGGAGCTCACAGCGTGGCTGGTGCGTTACGTCCACTTTTTGACGCGCACCGCAGAGGCGCTCGTGCCCAAGCCGGTGTACGAGCAAGAGCATTCGGACATCGGAACTGCGGCGCAGAATGTCGTCGAGATGTTTAACAGGGGCCGAAACTGTCAGCTTCTGCTAGACTACACACAGTTGGAGGAACTAGAGCGGGCGGTTAATGCGCTTCTGCCCCACCTGGAAATGGGCGCCAAGTTTCAGGTGGAGGGTTTCTTGAGCACCGTTCACGGCCTGCGGTGGGATGTTCCGCTGGAGACAGAAGTCGCCATAAGCGGTTTCGTTGACCTTAACGAAGAGCTCCAATCTCTTGTGTCCCTCGTCTCTCAAGACCGCCGCGCATTCTCTGCCCGCTTTGACGCCTTCTACAAAGGTTACAGAGTCCTATCAACGGAGTCCTGTCCCCGTGGGTTAATTTCCAAGGAACTCTTAGACGTTCTAACAACCGGGTCTGTGGAGCGGGTTAAGGCCCCGGGGCGACTCTCCGAGGAGTCTATAGCAGTCCTCCGGTCGCTCAAGAATGCTCTGCGAGTAGCCCTCGACGCAGGTTTCGAGCCCGAAGCGTTTGACGACGTGGCACTGCCGCTGGTGCGCCACGTGGAGCCTGCTCTAACTAAACTGGGCGGCATGGCGTTCCAGCACCTTCTGGGGGGGCTGATAGAGTGCTACAAAGGGGGGGGGGAGCGCACGCGGCCCGCGAAGCTGTGGGCGCCGCTCCTGATCTCCGTCCTCGAACTGGATATCGACCAGACCGCGCTGCGCTTCGCGTGGCACTTTCTCGCGGTCCTAGTTGGCGCCTCCCAGGGTTTCGACATTGCGCTGTTAAAGGCTAAGGGCGTAGATGACGGACCGGACGAGCCCCCGGGGGAGTGTACCGGTCGCCCGCTTGCCCCCCCGGAAGAAAGGCGCGCGCTCGCGACCGACATTGGCTCCAAGCTGCGCGCGCGGATATTCGCGCCCGCGTGGCGCGTCTACTCGCACCACGCTGACTTCGGCATTTCGGACGGGGACCGCGTCGAGGACGTGTCCGGCGTCCTGCTCTGGTGCTGCGCGGATTCCGGCCTGGTGGAGCGGAAACTGCTGCCCAAAGCGGGGCTCCTCGTCCGGATCCTGGCGCTCGACTACGGCCGGCTGTCCGAACGGTGCAATCGGGACGCCACGTCAGCGTTTGTGAGGGATCCCTGGCCGGACAAGTGCCGCCCGCTGGCCGCGATGCTGCGGCTGGGGTTTGAAATAACTTTCGACAACCGTCACGCGAGAAAGGCGCTAGTGGAAGATGTTTCGCGGAGCGGGGGGGTAGAATTGTGCCGGGCGGTGGAGAGGGACGCGCGGAAACCGGGGGTTCTGCGGGCGGGGGCGGTGAATGAGCCGGATTTGGCGTGGGTGCCGAGTTTTCAGGCTTTATGTGAGGAACTGTGGGCGGCGATCGCGCTGCGGTTCGGGTTGAAGGAGTGCAGTAATCCGGTAAGCCGTTAGCAGTTTGTCTGGTGATTGTTTGTTGGATGGAATCACGTCGCAAGGATCTGAAGAGAGGCTGTTGAGAACTTTGTGTTTGCTGTCAGAGTACAAGATTCTGACAGCATATCTCAGACGAAAGGCGTGCTCTTTCCTGTGCGGCTGGTTGCAAGGCGGATGTCATCGAGTAGCCCTTCGCTGGAGTTCTGTGGTGAGCTTCACAGTTCATCCAGGCTTCTGGATTCTGGCGACTACCGGTTTTGGTAATTCCAGTATAGGTCCCATGTCGTCTGTGCCTCTGACTTGAATGATTCTAAAGATAGTGGTAAATCCCCGCCTGACACCTGTCGCACCGACTAGGTAGCTCGGAAAGGTTGAATCTACTGTCAGTTGTAATATAAGCTCAAGATTTGCTACTTTGATGGGTGGGGTAAACAAGCGGGTTGTGGGTGGCACGGGGTGCGGAGCAGGTAAGATTTCCAAGTTCAACCCTTAGGTCAGCTCCTTCTCATTGCAACTTGAGCTCTTTGTAACTAATCTAGATATTATCAGAACCGTGGTGCTGTTTCTCAACCTTTTTGCGCTCTGACTAATTTGTGTTTCCTGTCACACAGGACTGTACGCAAAATCTATACGAGACCAAAAAGAAAGACTTCCAAAAGTGCAGCAAGTGCTTGCGCGTTCAGTACTGCAGCAAGGACTGTCAGGTGAGCGGCGCTCCGTTTTCGCCTGATCACAGGCTATCCGCGGAATCTGTTGTTCCTCTTCGAGCGCGGCTTTAAGCCGCAATTTTCTCCGAACGCGGGGCTGGCGTTCGTGTCGTTTCTTTGTAGTCCTGGTCATCCCAGGCTTTTTGCTGGCATCAGCTCTGATTCGGGGCTGGTACTTGCCCCTCCTTTCATGCGGGACCTTAGTCTGTTGCTGTTGGGTCCTTATGAATCTGCTGTTGCTTTGAGGCGAAGGTGAGGACCAGTTGCAACGCTCTCAAAAATACACCCCGATCGATGTAGTGAACAGTAACAGCCAGTGAACAGTAACGGAGACGGGTAGGGTTAGTTAGGGGGTTAGGGTGGGTACGGGTGCGGAGCGGGTGATCTTCTGGATTAGGGTTTTTAGTAACTCCAAAAAGCTTACTGTTCACTGGGCTTTCTGTTCACTAGATCGGAAATACCAAAAATACAGGTACGGGCGGGCCAACCTACTCCCCTCGGTTCACGGATGTGCCGTACATCTTCGTTGCTAGACGCAGTTCTGCAGATGGAAGATCCGCGATTCACTCGACGCCTTCGCTTTGGAACCAATTTACTGGTTAGGACTCTAGCTGATTATTGAGCGTCGTGGTCTTGCAGACAAGTCACTGGAAGGCGAAGCACAGGCACGAGTGCCAGAGGGTTTCTGACGCTTCTCTATGCGGAGTTACTTGATGCGGTCAAGACTCCGGGGAGGTTCTAGTGGTCTGACGATAGATGCGAAGTGGACTCTTTGTTCACAGAAAGCGTGGTAACATCAAGACTCAATCAGGGGTTCCCACGGCGGCTATGACGATGCGTATCTATTCTACATTACTGGTTGCTTATTCTTGATAATCAGAACTCAGCAGGCTATCGGGATGTATTTCTATTATTGTACATTACTGTTTTGACTATACTCAGTAATTAGAAGTCCTCTTGTGCTGCTATTGCGATATCTTTAGTTGTTGCAGTCAATCCGTGTAGCAAGCGGCGAAGCGCATTGAAAGCGAAGCGCATTGAAAGTTGTTGCTCGATAGACTTTAATACCCGACTGGCGACCGCCAGCCCTGGCTCACGCCATGCGATGAGCCTCTATATGATACGAACACACCATGTATGAATGTGGCGCTGTCTTGGATTCTAAAAGAGCGCACCACTGCGCAGACCAGCCGACTCGATCTGCTATGCATGCGCGTTCTGCTGCTTCATGCACGTTGCACTTAAATCAAGTGATCGAGTGTGCACCGCGCATCGTGATTGTCATGAGCATGTAAGTACGCGCGCATTTTTTGATTACGAACCTTCGCTATGGCAGCCGCCTCGCGCAGTAGCCGTTAACATGCACCCAGCTCTCAGTGCGAACATACGCATGTCGGCACTTCCGACCGTATGGCGAGCAGTGTGTTGATATAATATGTGCCCAATGGAAGAGATCGAAAAACTACAAACACATAGAATTTCCAACCTGCCAGAAGCGGATCCAAGGTTGATTGGAACGCGGTTAGCATCCAATGTAGTTGTGCTTTGCCGTAGTTCCCACATGGCCCACGCCCGTTAGAAAGTGCACAAGGTATGGTCGCTGATAATCAAGTTACCGCCAGCAGACACCATGAATTTAGGTGACATCGCTTGTTGCACTACCCGGCTAAATTCAAAGCCGCTTGCCGCCCTCGAAAGACAGCGGCCGACACTCGTTATCTGAAGAGCATCCACAACTCCAAGTCCTTTCCTCGCTCATACGGATGAAGGTACTGCGGAATCCCCTCGATATCGATCAGTCTGCCTCGTAGCCGGGCAGGTCCTGGATGGAGTGAAACAAGCCAAGACTCGTCAGTGCCCGTAAGTTGCATCTGCATGAGCGCTCCCAGACTCAGATACGTGAGAAGGGAAACCGGATCCCGGTCAGATTGGGATCGGCTTCTCCCGTGCTTCGGCCTGCTGAACGACTGAATGTTAAGGGAGACAATCTAGAAAGAAAGCGTCTCAGCTTAGTGGCCGAGCACCCGCAAAACGTTGACAGCTCTCGACCCGTCAAATTGAGCAAAGTTTGAGCGAAACCTCCACGTTACAAATCCGCAATTGCTGGAGCATAGCTCCGTTCGGAAGGGGGAAATGTCGATTTAGAATGGGGCGTTAGAATATAGATTTTGACTGCCTGTAGTTGAGCAGCCTTACAATCCCATGTTTGAAGTTCTTGGGCCGCCTGCCCAACGCAACAGGATGCAAATGGGCACCCACAAGCAAGTTTCTCAGCACTCAGCAATCAAGGCCTAAGGCGGTTCTCGAACGTCGGCCTGTTTTGTCCGCACGCACGACCACTTGTCCTTCGCTTTCTACATTCATTTAAAGACACGTGGTGCTCACCTGTCCTGTGGGGCTCTGAAGTGCTGTCTGAAGCAATCACGGAGCGGATGACGTCACCAGATCCGGCGCCGCTGACGTCATCGAACTTGGCCCGGAATTTGCGACACCCGTTGGCGACCACGGCCCTGTCGTTGAGCGAGAAGTTGTAGCGCTTCTCGAGGGCCAAGTACAGCGTCTGCTGCGCAGAAGACCCGCTCATGCTATCACATGTCAAAATCCGGGACTGTAATCCACACCCTGACATGATCCTGACGCAACTGCAACTGACGGCCGCCTTGACTTACACAAAAGAGGAACGAAAAGCTCGCAGGAATTCGGCGACACACCTTTGGTGTCCCTACGGCCATCAGTCGCTCCACACACCCGAACAGGGCGTCCGTCAGGGTGTCGTCGTAGATGACGTCAGCAGCCAGCAGCACGGACACGTGGCCCAGGTCCTCCAGCTCCTCCGGGCTCCAGCCGTAGTCCCCCGAGGACCCGCCCCCAGGACTGTCTGTGTGAATACGCCCCAAGAGCTCCGCGTTTAGATTCAATGCACAAAGAGCACCAGCCAGAGCCTCAGCCTCAAGAGCCCCAACCACAGCTTTCGGACAAAACGAGCTTGAAAAGCTATGAGGAGCTGTATGATACCTGTGCTGGCTCAATGGGTACAACGTATCCATATCTTAGCCCCAGGTTTGACTGCTCCAAACGCAGGAGCAAGTACAAGCCCAACTTGGGGAGAAGGGTTGGTCGCAGTGGTTTTGACAAAATCTTACCCTTTTCATTAAGTCTTATCGTTGGATACATAGCTACCAATAAGCTTTCCGTTTTGTTTCTGAAGGATCTCGCTTTCCGAGCTTTCGGTGTTGTCTGCCCCGTTCCTAAGCTTCCTCTTCCATTTTGTGCTCGCTTCACCATAAGGTGCAAAACTTGCGGTAGCCAGTGTGTGAGAATGGTAAACACTTTTATCCGAAGTCGCCTCCTTTAACAAGTGCAGGCAGAGCTGCTTCTGAGGGAGCATTGAATTCAAAGTCGATGAGGCCAAGAGGTAAGCATTTGATCGTTTTCTGAATTCTGGCTGTGTCAACTTTACGCTATGGTTATGAAGAAGTCTTGTGGAAAATGTTCCATCCAAGCCCCCACTTACCAGGCCTAGAGAGTCGGCCTCCGCCGTTCGCCTCCCTCGAGGCACTCTGTGGAAAGTGGCACCAGTCGAGCTCCCTGACTGCCACATGGCAGCCGCTCGTGGGAGCGAACGTTGAGTTGCTGATGACATTCCGAAGGCACGTGTCCAGCACGTTCTCGCCCCTGTCTGCACCAAAAAGAAAAAGCATTTTACATCTGCTTATAAATCAAGAGCAGCTGTCGAAGTGCAGAGGGTTGAGCGCACCGCGCTTCCAAGTTTCGTTAGCCGAAGCTTCATCTTAGAACCTTGAAACTACAGGTATACCATTCTAACCCGTGGTTATAAGGGCACGGACATGGTCAGCCATCAAGCAGACACGATAATTCACCGGACTGCACGAGGGGAAGAAGGCGAGACTGGAGCGCGTGTCGATTGCTGTTTAACCGTTCGAAAGGAAGCTGATCTTCGAACGGAAACCGTTCTTCTTTCAAACAGATTGGCGCTACGCCTTGGTTGCAGAGGGGCACCTCAAGTCGACCTCTAGTAGAGGGTCAGGACTGACGTACCTGTGACGTACACTTTCCTCGCACTGCGGGCCATGATGATGCCTGCAAGACCTGCAGAATGGGCAAGTTTTCGTGTCCGTTGTTTGCGGGACAAGACCTTTGTCATCTGATTGAGGCAGCCACAACCCGGAGCACGTCAAAGTTCAGACTGTATGGGGTGTCGTTCTCGATGATGTAAACCCTTCGATTCAAAGGCAATCAACAAGGGCCCTGTCAAGCTTGGTCGCAAGAGAAAGCGCAATCTTCCAAAAAGAAAGGGATTATAACTTTGACAGAGGTCCTCACAACTCATTTGACTGTCGCACATAGGACTCGCAAGCTCAAATGAAGATCCATTCAAAACCTGCGTCGAGTCAACCCAAGGCCATCTCCAGCCCATTTGCTTCTGCAGGAAATCGTATCGCACGCGTACCTGTGCCTGCCCCTAGCTCCAAAGCTGTCACGCCTCGAAAGCATCCCGTTGTGGCCTCTTGATGGAGGATGTAGTCCGCTAAGAGAAGCGCGCCGCGCCAAACCTGCTCACAGCAGAGAAGCCCTTCTTGGATGCAGTGACAAGACTCTCAAAAGGCCGGACGAAGAATATCTCTCTGAGTGAGATGAGTGTTATTGTTCTCAGGCAGCGGACAAGGCAAAGAGGGGAAAGGGGTCAGGAAACCACTCTTTCCCATCAGTACAGTACCTAGTAGATTACGGATGTCACAAATAAAATCTGCAAGTTATTTTTGACCAGGCCCTGCTTTCAATGCAACTCCATCTTATGGCAGGAGATAATCAGTCAGTTCAGTATAAGGACTTACAGTGTTTAAGGTTCTTAATTAGCATCTTCATAATGCCAAACGTGTTGCAAGAAAAGAGTGTAACAAAGTGATGTGGAGAGCTTACTGTGTCGCCCTTACTTGCAGCCCAACGTCTGGCAGGGAGGTGGCCAGCGAATGGTGGATAAGCACGCGATTTGATCCTGTGTCTTCCACCTCTGCAGAAAAAGCAGAGGCGTCAACAGGATGCTATGGGGGATGGATGCAATTGTGGGCGCCTCCATATAACAGCCACACTTCATCATTATTGTTAAGTACTGCAATAGTCATGGATGGTGGCTGCAAATGATCATCTTGGCCAGTCCTTAAGAGATGTTTGTGCGGTTAATCCAAATGATACTTCAATTGCGTCACTAGAACGGATACAAAGGCAGACCCTGACTTAACATCACTTTTTACTTGATCATCAAGGGTTTTGGTCAGGACGTTCCTGGACACAACTTTGAAGCACAAATCTTGTTTACGCAGGGCCACATTACCTGAGGCCTCTAGCCGCTTCCGCTCTCTTGGAACAACCAAGTCCCCTGTCTCGTCAGTTGCAACTGCAGTCAAGCTGGGCTCAGCTTCACCATGGAACTTTCTTGCCAGCTGGCGGTCGTCCCATTCATTTGCTTCCCAACCCTCAGCACCTGCGCAGGATGGAGGCTGCATTTATGACTGGGAGTTCTTGACAGCTTAGCAGGATGAAGGGAGCCTTTTCCCTTTCTGTCAAGAAGCAATCGCTCAGCCCCCGAGCTATTGCATAGATCAATGGTTGTGCATCTGCAAAAAATCTTGCAGCCACACTGCTTTTTGATAGCCAGTGGAAAGCCAAGAGTTCATCGACCATTTAGAAATGCAAAACTCGCCCTCCTCACTTCCTCCTGCATTTGCTGTCGAAGCCTTCTCCACTGCTGTGTCATCAAGCACCCCCGGCGGTCGTATCCAGAAGCAGGTGCTGCCAGTCCGCTGCTCAGGATCGGACCCCACATGCACGTCACTCAGCACCAATTCGGTTGATTCCTCCATGGCCAATGTTCTTCTCAAGTGCTGCTGGCACCAGCTCTCTCTTGGCTAAGTGTGCGCAGCATCTTTGGAGCTTGAAAGGCGACTGATCGACCTCACGACTGCAAGCTAATGCAGATGTCTTGAAATTGACAAGAACTTGAAGAATGAATGAGAGAAGGCCCCCTGCATAAATTATTATCGAGTGCTGAGCTACTAATAGCAAGAAAGCCTGCCGTAGGTAGATTGAAACTGTCGATCAGGACCTCGAAGTCCCCCGAGCGGCTCAAGCAAGAAACTCAGGAAAAATAAATAGTAAGCCGAGATAATAGTGAGGTAACCGCACTGGGACGGGTAGGGTTGGTATGGTGGTTAGGGTAGGTATGGGTGCGGAGCGGGTATTTCATTCAAGGTTAGGGTTTTAGTGTTAGTCGGGGCTTACTACACTATTATCTTACGTGACCTTAACATGCACCGGCCGTCTGGCGACGGCGGGGGCTTGCCAGCCTCTTCCGACTAGGTATTCGAACGGCTGGAAATCAGCACACAGAGACGACCGGGGCCCTGCATGCTCTAGCGGCCGGACGGCCAAGTCATGCTCATTCCGGGGGGCGAGTACACAGGTCTCCTCCCGAGCCTCGAAGTTTCGACGTCGGTGCACGAACTTCGACGGCGAAGCTGTCGAAGCACCCGTGCTTTAATATGAGCGGCGACCAGATTCGTCGCATACACAAACGGAACTGCACGATACCTAAATCATCGACGGACGACCCAAACGCCCAGCCAGGGCTCGAGCGCACACAGCACCCAATTCAATGATTGCTAACCGCAATTAAAAACCAATAAATGCTGGTCGCCCAACACAACTGCACGTCGACATAAATTTGGCCACAGCTAACCACAACGCCCCACAAAGTATGTCGCCAGAATAACACGCACGTCTCGACGCGAAGTCGAGCATCCACGCCGCTCCGGGCGCAAGTCTGACACGTTATATGGGAGGTATTCTCTTTTTTCCTATACGTTTTATCGTCGAACGTCGGCCAATCGAGCAAGGTCGAAGCGCCTCGATCGCCAGGACCGCGTCGCGGCGTCGTACAGTGCCGAAATCGGCGTCCCCTATGTCTCCCAGGAAGAGGCAAGCCAATATACAAACAGCATCGGGGCACCGCCGGGCACCATAAATGGGCACAGCTGATGCACTGATGCAAGCGCGAAAGGGGTAGGTGATCCCTCTAGGATCCTACCAGGGTATGACCCTGCGAAACCCCTTCTTCTACTGATTCTTCAGGGAACCGGTAGTGTCGGTTCTGTTCATTGTCTCGGATATATTCCGATGACCTTTCAATAGCCTATGAAGGCAGAATAAAGGCCAAGCCGGCATGAAGAATGAGTAACCAGAAACCTCATTCCACTGCAAAAGACCTTATTCTGTTTAGAATCAGCGGGCAACCGCATGTACAGAGAACAGCTTGAAATTGCGCATTAGAGTCGCTCGGGCTTGAAGGATGCGGAGGGATTTGGGGGAGTCTATGTGAATCCGGACCGGACGCCGGAGGAGAGGGAAAGGGTTCGAAAGGCGGTTGTGGAGATGAAGAAGTTGCGCGCGGAGAAGAAGGAAGCGTACGTATTGTTGCAAGGAGACTTGATGGTGGTTGGAGAAGGGGGAGAGCGGCGGCGGACTTCCTTCAAGCTTGTGTCGGAGTCGCCATGGGCGGAGGAAGCTGCAGCAGCCAGAGAGGCACAGTTGTCTGAAGAA